TGCAATTAAAGTTCTGACATACAATACTGGATTGTCTCTTTCAGCTTTTTCAGGCAACCTTTCAATTCTAATGGGCAATGCACTCCATAATGTTTTATAGAAATATGCTTATGAGTGTGAATATACTGTAACTGGAATATGCTTTATGCAAAAACTCTCTTGTAAGGTATCATTACAAAGCTTATAATCTACTGAGTCTGTTCATCCTATTTGTATGAATGTATCATTCTTGTATCTGAAACTAGGAATATGAAGTATAACTCTGAGGTCGTATTGTAAGTATGCAAAGTGTGGGCCATTAATGGTGGTTTGGAAGCTTGACGGCTCCCATTGACTAGGACAATTGGTTGTAAATGGTCTGTTTACTTGTAAACCTTTCTGGGTGCATGCGGGCCAGCCCTGGAAGAATGCAGGCTGGGGTCTCACAGGACATGTGAACATGTTACCTGATACTGGAATCCATCTTAAATCTGATGCTTTTCCTTTTAGAAGGAAGGATGGGGACCCAGAGAGACAAAAGATTCCCACCTTGTGCCAAACAGAACAAAGATTGCTGCCAGTCATGAGAAAACCCCTAGTTTCCACCTAAGATGTCTGCTGAAACTAACAAGGACTGTACCAGGGGAAAGGATTGGGCCCAGACTAGGAAGGAGTCGAGTCTGTGAAAGAAGCTTATTGGAACATCTTGGAGGGTGAGATTTCACCTTGTGACAGGGTCGGGCCAGATGGCTACAGGAGAATAGAAGGCAGATATATTAGCCCCAGGCTCAGTAGGTCCCTTTTCCCTGGGTAAGGTAACAGAGAAGGTTCCAGAACAATCAGGAACCTTCTGGAGACAATTAAGACAGGCTGATTAGAACACCTGCAGCCAATCAAGAAGCTGCTAGAATTAATTAAGGCAGGCTAATCAGGACACCTGGGTTTTAAAAAGGAGCTCACTTCAGTTTGTGGTGTGCGTGTGAGGAGCTGCAAGCAAGAGGCACTAGGAGCTGAGAGTGAGAACGCGGATTGTTGGAGGACTGAGGTGTACAAGCATTATCGGACACCAGGAGGAAGGTCCTATGGTGAGAATAAAGAAGGTGTTGGGAGGAGGCCAGGGGGAAGTAGCCGAGGGAGTTGTAGCTGTTACACAGCTGTTCCAGGAGGCACTCTAGACATCTGCATTCCACAGGGCCCTGGGCTGGAACCCGGAGTAGAGGGCAGGCCTGGGTTCTCCCCAAATCCTCCCAACTCCTGGTCAGACACAGGAGGAGTCGACCTGGACTGTGAATTCAGAAAAGCGGCCAAGCTGAGGGCTGCCGTGAAGCTCCAAGGCGAGCAAATCTGCCAATAAGCACAAGACCCACCAAGGTAGAGCAGGAACTTTGTCACAACCTGTAATCAGTTTCTCAATGTATTAGGCTTAGACTTGTGTGGTTTTGCTTTATTTTGCTTGATGACTTACTTTGTTCTGTCTGTTACTACTTGAAACCACTTAAATCCTACTTTTTATTCTTAATAAAATCACTTTTGTTTATTAATGAACCCGGAGTAAGTGATTAATACCTGGGGGAGCAAACTGCTGTGCATATCTCTCTATCAGTGTTATAGAGGGCAGACAATTTATGAGTTTACCCTGTATAAGCTTTATACAGAGTAAAACGGATTTATTTGGGATTTGGATCCCATTGGGAACTGGTTATCTGTGTGCTGAGCAGGTTTTGGTTAAAGTCTGCAGCTTTGGGGGGCGGGGTGGACCAGACATGGGAGGGATAGCTCAGTGGTTTGAGCATTGGCCTGCTAAACCCAGGGTTGTGAGTTCAATCCTTGAGGGGGCCATTTGAGATCTGGGGCAAAAATTGGGGATTGGTCCTGCTTTGAGCAGGGGGTTGGACTAGATGACCTCCTGAGGTCCCTTCCAACCCTGAGATTCTATTATTCTATGGGTCTGTGTTGCAGCAGGCTAGTGTGTTTGGCTCAACAAGGCAGAGTTCTGGAGTCCCAAGCTGGCAGGGAAAACGGGCTCAAAGGTAATTCCAGCATGTCAGGTGACAGTTCCAAGGGGGTCTCTGTGACCAAACCCGTCACACTAACATTCTTTTTCCCTGATCTGTTTTCTGTGCCATCTAATTTAAGCTTCATATCTCTCTCTGCTGCAGCAATGCCAAGTGGCTCTGCAGCTCTGACACGGTCATTTGTTTTTCCTTGGCCAGTTTCTAGAACAGTGACTCAACCTTCCAAGTCAGTCTTGTCCAAGATTCTAGGAGTAAAGAAGGAAATAAGATTACATCTCATTGTGATTTCAATGTCCTTCCTTAATGCCCCATCTCTCCCTACCATATTGTTCCCAATTATTGGGGCAGCATACTATTTCAATCAGTAGAAATCAACAACAGCACAGGCATTGTTCACCAGCCAACAACAGCATTATCTTCTAGGGGTGCTGTACTGTGGAGTCATACAGCAATTTTGTGGCATGACACACCTGAAATGTATGGGTTTCCCCCCTCCTCTTAACCTTAGTTGTCTTTTGAGATTTTAAATAAAGCTTTTAACCAACTAACTAAAACAAAACAAACCAAGCAACCAAACAACCCTCCTTTGAAACATTCCTCAGACCCTAATAAATAGTTTGGACATTTTTATGCCAACAATCTACTGATAAACCTGTGGTGTAAATTCCTCATCACAATAGTATCAGATGATGTTATAATTAAGGCTACAGGGCCAGATCTTGGCCCCTGGTATTCACCTTTGTGCTGCAACACAACATATTGCTTATACTCATTTGTCTTTTCTGAGAACAGGCTTCTTGTAAAGAGAATGTGTGGCTTTCCAAGTGCTGTTCCTCCATGGATCACAGTACTCTTAAAATTCTGGAATGACTTGGCATAATTGGTTTTAGTCCCAATGATCACTCTGGAGTGGACTACTGGTCTCAGTATCTGTGGATATGTCACATGTAGCAGTACTTTACCCTCTAGTTTGCCGACAATACTACTGACTTGCAGAAAAATCTGGAATTGGGATGGTCACCTCTTACTCATCTCTAACAGGTCACATGCCACCAGGGGCTATTCATATATTTTGACCTGGTACACTTTTAGAAGCTACACAAACATATAAGAAAAGGTCTCGTGCAAAAGACATGGTTTAGAAAATAGACTTCATTTATTCCTGTCACATAGCAGGAGTCAATATATGCTCTGTCTAGTGGCTGTAAAAGGAACATATATAGGTCAAGATGAAAGATGGCTGTCATCTGCTTAAGTATTTGTAAATTAACCACTGTTGACTTGTTGACTGCTTAAGTATTTGTAAATTAACCAGATGTTGACTTGTCCTGTGCAGGACATATGAGGTTGAGAGAAAGAGGTATGGTACTTTCCCCTTTATCCAGTGTGATAAATTACATGTGACAGCTAAAGTCTTGGTGCTTGTTTCCCAAGTTGAAACATTTCTGATAGTCACAGCCTCCTGGTGGAGCTAGCTATCTCAAAAGCAGTGTGGATGGACAGAACCATGCCCTTTTTGCACTTAAGGGAGGACGTAGCAACTCCAAGAGAAATGAGACATGAGGACTTGCTTTCCAATGCATCCCTTCATATTAATCTAACCATTCTATGCCTTTGCAACACTGGAACAGTAACTCTGGAAACTGCTACCAGTTTAACATCTGCCCTTTGCACAACTCTGATATTGTGCCTATGAGAGCTGCATCATAGCTTCTAGATATATAAAAAACATATGATTATGATTAAGGCCTTATTTAAATCACGGGACGATTGTCAAAAAATTGTGACTGAGTTGTGGACAAGCCATGGAAAATTGTGGAAAAGTAATAATGGACCTTATTATTTGAGGTAATAAGGTTAATTACTTTTCTGTGATTTTTCTGCTGTTGGCAGCCTGGGGCTGAGAGTGGGGACTCTGACTGTTGGCCACCCAGGGCTGAGAGTGGCCACCCAGGGCTGAGAGCAGCGGCCGGGGCTGCGACTGTCAAAATTGCGGTGGAAGCCACAATTTCTGCAATATTGTGAATTAAGAATGGCCTTAATTATGATTCAGTAACATATTAAATGTATTGTAGAAACAATTTTGTTGTAAATCTTTCAAATAATGTTTGTTTCTTGATCATATATAGCTCACTCACTGCCCTTTTATCTCTTTCTTAACATCAATTAACTTAACTAATCTGAATTTTTAAAAGATTGATTCAATAATCTACTTAATTAAGCACAAGCATCATGCTTTTTTAAGGAGTAATACTTTCTACTTTCTGTTGCGGCCTTTGATGAAAAGTTTATTTAGGACACAATGGGAAAATATTTTGTACTGTTCTCAGATCGCATAAAATAATGCCTTCAGCATATGAAGTCACTATCTGAATAATCTTTTTAAATATGACAGTGGTTCTGTGCTTGTGTCCAAATAAAGACTCAAGGAACTAAGGCAAGATTTGTACCACATAGCTAATCGTGGGTATATGAAAGGAAGCTTTGCAGTTAGGAGTACTGCTGAGAGTATAAGCCATTATATCAAGTGTATGTGGGCGTAGCAGATAAGCATTGCATTTACATTCATACTTTCCCAGACTCATGCTGCTGTGAGTCTTACACAACCTCACCATTCCCCCACACTCAATAACTCTGCATGTTTCAAAAAAAAAAAAATCAAATAAATTGACAGAAGTGTAGTAGAGGGAGAGGAGAATGGAGGATAATACCCAGAGGAAAAATAACTAGTATTACTGAATCTGATACCTACCAGTGGGCTGTGCAAAAGCTGAGTCTAAAGTATCCTAACACACAGGCTATGCAGAAATATCTTACTATTACTATGAGGGTGTGTAGCATATTGTTTCCCAATGTAGCTTGATAAAATTTCTTTACTCCTTTTGACAGCATCACTACTGCCCCCCTCAAAAAAAATCTATAAGAGTATGTGAAACTTCAGAAGCATTGATAAAATGTTGGGAAACTTGGGAGGTAACAAAAGTGATATAATAAATAAAACCTTACTTTTTTGGGGGGGCTCGAACAGGGGCCCCATCAGCCTCAAGAGTACCAGGTTAAGGTCCCAAGCTGGGGTGGGCTGTTGGATTTGAGGATACAGCCTGTCCAACCCTTTGAGGAACCGTCGCACCATATGATTAGTGAAGATAGAGAGGCCATGTTCTCCTGGGTGAAAACGTGAGATGGCGGCCAGGTGAACCTTCATCGAGGAGTGAGACAAGCCCTGCTGTTTCAACTTTAGCAGGTAGTCCAAGATAAAGGGAACCAACGATTACGTTGGAGGGATATGGCTCTGCAAGCACCAAATTGCTAATCTTTTCCATTTGGCCAGGTAAGTAGCTCTGGTGAATGGTTTTCTGCTACCCAAAAGGACCTCCCTAACGGGGTCTGAGCATATGAGCTCTAGCAAGTTTAACCATGCAACTTCCAAGCCATCAGGTGCTGAGATTTGAGATTAGGATGTTGGAGACAACTGTGATGTTGAGTGATGAGGTCTGGAACTAACAGCAGAGTAATTGGAGTATCCACTGAAAGCTGCAGTAGCATGGTGTACCAATGCTGACATGGCCAGGCTGGTGCCACCAGGATCACCGAGATTCCGTCGCTCCGGATCTTGAGAAGGACCTTGTGAACTAGCAGAATCAGAGGGAACGTGTAGAAGAGGTAGTCCTTCCATGGAAGAAGAAACACGTCTGCCAATGAGCCCGGGCTGTGGTTCAGGAAGAAGCAGAATTGCAGGCACTTCCTGTTGCCCTCTGTGGCAAACAGATCGTTCTGGGGAACTTCCCAGCATTGGAAGATATTGCTTATTACGTCCAGGTGAATAGACCACTCGTGATTATGAAAAGACCTGCTGAGGTGGTCTGCTAGCTCGTTCTGAGACCTGGGGAGTCTTCCATGAGTATTGAGTGTGCTATGCAGAACTCCCAGAGCTTGAGGACTTCCTGACATAGGGGAGAGGAGCATGCTCCTCCCAGTCTGTTGATAAAAAACATCACTGTTGTATTTTTCTGTCAGGACTGATATGCATTTGCCCTCCAGGAGAGGCCAAAAGGTCTCAAATGCCAGACAGAATGCCCTGTGCTCCCCCACATTGATGTGAAGCAGCAGTTCCTCCAGAAACCAGAGGCCCTGAGTTCTGCACTATGAAGGTGCGACTCCAGGGGGCTCCACAGCCGACTTGACAGGTGCTGCTAGGGGAAAACCCTTCTGGCGACTGTGCATGCGGTGCGCACATACACAACTAATTGGAATCGATATGAGCAAACACTCGAAGAACTGTGCTCCAGGACAAGGGGTGGGATTATAAACCCTTCTATTAAGTGCTGTGGAGCCAATATGCTTTGGTGAAACACAAGAGTGTAGCAAATCAACCCAGAGCCCTCTTTTGAAGACAACAAGGGCGCTGAATGCCCACAGCAAGGGGCATGTACTCTTTGAAAGGACCATTGTTTTTTCTTTCTCCTGCTGGCATACCCACTTCTGAGACTGAAGGGGCCACTTAATACATGTTAAGGAGGGGGCCACTTAATACATGCTGTTCCATTTATGCTTTCATATTACTCTTATGTATATTCTATAGGTGGAGCAGGTACTGAAGCTTGTTAAGGTTGTCCAACACTAAGTTTTCAAATTGCTTATAATTTTGCCAAATTTAAACTGTTCATGCTCAAAGTACCCATATAGTATGTCTGCTTTAGGCTGAAATGTTTTTGAGTTTCAGCAAAAATAAACAAACCAAAACAGATCAGCAGTTTCCAGGAATGAAATTAGGGAAAAACACGTTATTATACACCTCTTAATGAATAGGTTGCAAGTTTTTGCTTTATTTATTTATTTATTTTTGGAAGCTCCAGCTTCTCCAAGATTTGGAACAAAGACTTGAAATTCAGATGGGGGCTTGCCCTGGTTTCAGGGATGTGTCTTTGGCACTCCCTGTGAAGATCTGGCCAAGTTATAAACCTTCTAAATGTCTGTTTGAACAGGCTCAGTAGTGAGTTATTGAAGTTTGACTGCTAAAATTCTCAGAACAGTTTGTCTGCACTGAGCACACTCCAAACCAGGGTTGCAGCCAGTGACGAGGACTTTATTTGAAATTGCTGCTTCTGGCTGCAATAAGATGGATACAGGATCTGACAACTGCTGGACTGTTTCTCCAATGCTCTCAGTTCCTCTTCCCCTTATGGACATTCAGACGGTGTGGAGGAGGAAGCTACCTCAGCTGAAGGAGAGAGGGGACAAGAGTTAGTATTGGGTTGAAGGTGGGGTAGATGGGACAAGGAGAGAGGGGCCCAAAAAATGGAACTGCCTGGATAAAAAGAGTGGGAGGTGGGAGTGAAACAAGGGGCTGAACAACTCAGATTGGGAAAGCAGCTGAAGGGCATGGAACAGGGTTGCCTGAGCACTTGTAGGAGAAGAGACAGTGCAGGACGAGAAGGAGGAGTTGTGGGGATGAGGGCAATAGGAACTGGCTAGACAAGGAGAGGGAGGGTCTGTGTGTAAAACAGGAGGGCTGGGGAGGACCATTGCGGGAGACTAGAACTGGATGGGAAATGGGGTTAGAAGAGGGGCAAGAAGCCCCTGGAGACAGGGAAGACTGGGATAAGGAAGACTGGGACAGGTTCAAAGGGACTGGGCAAAAGAGGTCACACTTGCGGGCAACAGGAGAGAAAAGAGTGTGCCAACTAGAGCATGCTCCTCTCCAGAGCCTGAAACTGAACCCAGTATTCCAGTGTCTCACATTCCTCTGCTGTCAGCAAATATCTGTGAAACTCAATGGAGACGTGTCATCCTTCTCTAGTGATGGTTCATGTAGAGAATGATGGCCTACCACCGCTGTTAGTTACTCCATTAGCTCAAGAGTCAATAGTTCGTGTGATGGATCTACAGCTTCCAACCCTGTTGATGAACCACATGGATGTCAATATAACTGTATGTGATGGAATTAGTTTTATCAGGTTTTTTTTTTTTTTTTTAAATTTAGCAAATTACACACACGCACAAAATCCACCCTGAGCTGCTTTGTAAGGCTCACGTTCATTCATAACTCTCCCTCACCTACAAATCTCTCATACCTACCTTTAAGTTTACAAGTAAGCCAACTAATAATGATTAATAGAGGTTAACTGAGATGTATATATTTAAAAAAAAATCAAATGCAAGTAATAGGGCCTGACCAATCTTCACCCTGACCACTTGCTCGGTATATTGTATCTTTCTCCCATCCTTAATGGTTTTCAAGACAGTTAGTGCTTTGGGGCAGGGTTGGTTTCCTTCTGTATGCCTGAACACATACAGGGAGTTAATGTAATATAAACAATAAAAGGATATGACAGAGTGCTGAGTTTGGAGTACCTAAAGTGCAGGTACATCAGGGCTCGTGGCTGAACTATTATATGAACAAGGAGTAGGTGTGCCACCTGCAGTCATAAAATCTGCCATTCTGTGTCCCTGCAATCTTCAGTTAAAATGGGATTAGATTTCATGGTGGAAGATGAATTCCCATTATTTTCCACAAAAGCTGCTATCGGGTCATAAGAATTTTTCTGTGTTTGTAGATGGACCCTATATATGGTGACCATTTGTCCATTTTAAGGAATGTTCCTTATTTGGTGCCTAATCAGGGCTCATGGGTTGGGCTCATTTGGTTCAATCTAAGCAGTAACTATGCAGAGCCCTATAGAGTGTGATGCCCTGTGATTGGGAATCATAAATGAAGTACTGTGAGATGGTGTGTCTGAAATATGTTTTGACGCCTATTAGTCATACATTTGTCCTTTACCTCCTTGAAATGTGCCATCCGTTAATCTGCATTAGAGGGGGCAGGCAGCCAGTGAAGTGACCACCCTCTGTCTTTGCCGAAGGGACTTTGTTTACAGAATCTGACCCCACTGACTTGACACACACAATACCAGGACAACCAGCAAGTGATGAGCTTAGCTGCTGAAACTGACAGGCTGCCTTCGTGCATGGACACCCCAAAGAGCTCGCCCTTGGTGCGGGGCGTGGGATGGCTCTGTCCTCTCTCTGCGAGCTCAGGATGAGGGGCCCCACGCTCTGAACACGCCTCGCCCTGCGGTAGCCTTTCCTCTGCTCCAAGCTCCCACAAACCTACCTGTCCGGGGGAGCGAGATGTGGGGGCCGCGCTCCGCCCAGCGTCAGGGCAGGAGACCCCGTCCTTCCCCGGCGGGGGCGGCCCATTACCCCGGATCCCCGGCCGTGCGCAATACCGAGGCTGCCCTGGGATGGGTGCGGGGCCATGGGGGCCCCGTTCTGGTTGTCGGGCGGGAGGGGCCGTGCAGGCGGGGGCTGGCAGGAGAGGGGATCCCCACCCCTTGCGGACCGGCCAGGCTCGCGCGAGGCCTCGCGACGCTGTGCGTGACAGGGCGGCCGAGGGCTGACAGCCGATTCCACGACGTCGTCACGCGCGGGCTGCGGCGAGGACCCGCCCCCTCCCCCCGCCAGTCACATGACAGCAGGGCGCTGCTAGGTGCGCGCCAGCCTTCCGTCTCGTGCCCCCACCTTCCGGCTGACCCCGAGGGTGCTCCCGTGCCCGCCGCCATGGTGCTGGAGTCGGTGGTGGCGGACTTGCTCAACCGCTTCCTGGGCGACTACGTGGAGAACCTCAACAAGTCTCAGCTCAAGCTGGGCATCTGGGGGGGTAAGCGCGGGGCGGGGCGGGGCCTGTGAGCGCCCCCCTGCCCCGGCTCCGGCCGGGGAGCGGTCTGCAGTTAGCCCTCACCCCGGCGTGGGATGCTGCCCGCAGCGCTGTCTGCACGGGCTCCGACCGTTAAACCCCCTCCCTGTCTGGACGGGCCCCTCCCCCAGCGCGGCCGCCGCACGGGCTGGGCCTGTGGCCGGGCTGCCTCCCTTCGCGCTGGACAGCGCCCGAGGCAGGGGTTCTGCTCTGTCACCGGGGTGTCGAGTTACTGGGGCGGGGTGCAGCCAGCGCCCCCAGGTGTCCCCCGCTCCGCCAAGCCCGGGCAGCCAGGCCCTGGAGCTCGGTGTTTGCAAATGGGGGGAAGGGGTGAGAGGGGAGGCTAAGTTTTGGGATGCCTGGTTTTGGCATGTCCTCCCCGCGGGTGGGAGCTGGGTCGGGGTGCAGGGTCTAGAGAGGAATTCAGAATCATTCTCCCCCGTCGGCCCCAGCTGCTAGAGGAAATTAACATTGCAGGTTAACATGGTCGATACCGGAAGCCTCCCCGAAAAAAACCCCAAAAACAAACAAACCCTACAAAGCAAATTCTGGTTTAGGGTGGTACCTTTTGCAGTGAGTTGTTTGCTCTGTTGGGCTGGTCTGGTCTGAAGCAAGAAGCTGACTGAGAGGAAGGACAATGAGATCATTAAGCCAGCAAGCAAAACAAGTATTTCTTTAAATCAGCTAGTCTGGGGAGCATTAGAGGAACTATGTTGTGTTGGCAGAAGAAAGTTGGTTGTACATATGCAGGGTGTTGCAATGGCTGGGAGATGGAGGAGGTCTGAGCTGCTGAGCAGCACCTGATATATTTGGGGGACAGTACTGTGGACATTAACTTGGTAGTAGGGGAATTGAACATTTTAAAACCTTACTGTAATAATGTCTGAAATAACTTGTCACTCTTTCTGGTGTGGCTTATGACGGTGAGTGCCTGCCTCAGGGCAGACACTTCAAACTGGTAGTATGGTCTCTGATTAGACTTCACCAAGCCAGTAACTCCTAAAGTATTACAATAATCTTTTATAATGGAGTCACAGATAGTCCCCTTAGACAATCCAGTCTGTCCTGCTGCCCAGGCAAGATAGACTATGTGATAAATGGTCACGTACACCAGAAATATCAAATATTCCAAATTACACCCAGTCCCAAGAGACCAGTCACTTACCCAGGTCAATTTGCATACTAGCTCTCTCACAATGCTGGTAGCCAATATTATAGTAAACTAACTTAGGTTTATTAGCTAAGAAAAGGGAATGAGAGTTATTGAGAGGTTAAAGGAGGTACAAATATACACACGAGTGAGGCATTCTCTATAATTCCAAAAGGTAGCAGAGTTTTATTAAACTGCAAGTTTCCCAAAAGTCATTAGGGCTATTCAAAGTAACTTTGGGGATCTTCATCTTCTCATTGGGTTGTTCTGCCAGTTTAGAATCCAAGCAGTCCAGAGATGAAGTTTTTCCTTGTGGCCGTATTTACAGCTTCTCAAAGAAACCAAGCTAACAATAGCAGTTCTCACGCAGGTCTCTTCTTCACTGTGCGGAGGGAGGGGAAAGGAATGCGCTTAAAGTCTTTGGTCCTTGATCTCATGCAATGGATCATTTGTGTTTAATGAACAGGATTTAACATCTTCTTGTTAGAGACCATTAGTTGCATTACACAAGGCTTTCTGGTTTGATGAGCTATTTAGTTATAGGGGTGTATCCAATGTAAATGTTTGCTATTACATTCTATCAGGATACAGATAAGTGAAAATAATGCTTGCAGCGTCCCATTAGTTTTCATGAAGTTAAACACCACATACATTCCTATATACTTAATAGTCACTCTGATCTATACTAATACACAAGTGAATTTGCCTGGCTTCCAGCTGTGAGTTGTCAGTTCTCATCTGATTTGTATGCCTTGGCCAGAGCTGGCACTTGGCTTACCAGCATCACATAACTTATCCTCTGTGTTTATTTCTGTGCTTATACTCTGAGTGGTGCTTTATTGGGCCAATAAAATGGATGAAACTCCTGCTGTAAGGAGTTTAATACTTAAAAAAAAGTCTTAGAAACGTAAAAGGAACAATTCCCCTACCCCCCTCCCCCTTTTTTTTTTTTGCTTAACTGCACACTTTTCCCCCCTTGTTGCAGTGGTAAGAGCTGTATGCCTGCAAACTTACTGATTGCTAAAGGCATGTTTGTTGTAAGCCATGCATGTAAATACAGTACAGGGAAGCTGGTTATGTATGTTTCCATCATTATAATGTAATCCTTTGAGCCTCCAACTCTCATTTGGGAATGATACTTCAATTCTGATGCCTAAGGCAAATGGAGTATGAGTAGCAACAAGTGTTTGAAATCTAGCAAATTTCTGAATAAGTTTACAATAGTTACAGGAACTAATCATCCCAGGATGCCCAGGCAAATTTTGTGATTTTTTTACAATTCATATATTTTTGTTAAATGTGTTTCTTTTCCTATTGTTAAAAGACCCAGTAAAATAAGGGACATCGAGAGACTATGTAGACGATTTAGTGCAACTAACATACTCAGTGCTGTCAAATGAAGAAAGTAAACTGAAAAAAACCTAATATTTTTCTCTTACTATGTTATCTTTTAAAACAAAAATAGTAACTCACACACACACAAACCCTGTCGCATATATACCTTTTGCAATACTTAATTTCTCCAGTGATATCAGAGTTATTGATGTCCCTCTCCCCCCCAATCTCAGAAAAAATGCCTCTTCCTATTTTGTTAAATAATACTGTAGTCCTACTTATTTACAGGAGTATTGATAGTTTTAATCTTCTGCTTTGTAGGTAACGTGGCACTAGATAACTTGCAGATAAAAGAGAATGCGCTGGTAAGTATCTTAATATAATCAGTTGCTTTTTAGGATGCTTTTTTTATGGGTTGCAATGACCAAGCCATATCGTATAAACTAATGACTTAGGAATTTGATTTTTATAATCTTTATTATTCATATTTGAGTTCTGGTGCAACAGTAATACATAGAAGCTTGAAAGGATAAGAAAAACAAGATTTCAGTCTCACCCTTCAGCATCTCTGCCCTTCACATGAATGGTATTGACATACCTTTTTTGAAGATGATTTAAAACAAATTGCACATGTAGACTACTCTTACCATCTTGATGTAAATTCTTACTCCCGTTCCATAACAAATGAATACAATGAACTACTTTATTTTGACTTCTACAGTCATTACATTTTGAATAGTTAAAACCCAGGCTTTTCTCCTGCATGTGGATCTGCAAGGGTGGGTCCTTGTGCCTGTGCTGACTCCAAACAATTTCTATAACTGAGCAAATACTCAGACCAGTTTTACTTGGTAGATGCTCTCACAGATATTTATGTACTACGGAGTGAATCCCACTGCAGGATCTATAATATGCCTCTAGCAAAGTTCTGCTAAAGATAATAATAACCTACACAGTATTGAGAAAATACTTCAGATACTTTCTGTATCACTCTAACAGAGTAACTAGCTTTTCTCTTCTGGCATGAATGGGGACTGGCCACTTAAGTAGGTGTTGCATGTGTCGCTGAAGCACCTGGGCTGGTCACTTTAGCTTGTGCCTTTGCAGGTGGGCAGCTTTTCACTATTGGATTTGATATAGAGACCTCGGAAAAATTGTAGTAACTGAAATGTAACACTAATAAAGCATGTTATTGCTCTTTGGAAATTTCTGTAGCCATAGGTTTTATTGTATTTAGGAAAATAACACCGAAATCATTTCTTTCCTAGCTGAAGGAAGCTATCTTGCTGTAGTGCTCTATTACTGCTAGAAATGTCAGTCCAATACGTAAAAATAAAAAATGTTTTGTTAAGCATTTAAATGTTTTTTTGTCTGTAAGAAAATGTTACTTATGGTGTGTTTGGAAATTATTACTCTGAATCAGCTACCTACTTTGGGATCTTTAATATGTATTCAAATTGATAAATTCTAAGAGTTTCAATTCAAGGACCACATCAAAACTGCTATTTGAAAAATAGCATCTGTTTTAGTCCTGTTGGCCTTCTGCTCTGCCTGTAACCGCTACCTAATGCTCCCTTGACTAGTACTACTTGAAATATGAGCCCAATAGACAGTACTTGGGCCTGCCTGTGGCAATCTGTATTGTAAGAAATGGATGGTGTTTAATGAATATATTTGATTTTGTATGCAGTAGGGTAATAGTGGAACATTCTCCAATATTAATGTAATCTGTGTGGAACTGATCTGTTATAGATTTAATACTTGAATTTAGATTTAACACAATTGCTTAGCATTTGGTTTCTGTCATACTTTAGGTTGGTCATTTCATGTAACAAAATTACCAGTACTACGAAGTGCTGTTCTACCTTGTCTCAGAAGAGAGCAGATACTCCATTCCACTTGCTTTCAAGAGATTCAACAGATCCTATGTGTAATAGAGCCCTTATGCTAACTGTTGTGGGTTCTTCTTTAGTGTACTTACAGTACATGATCATGGTTAAACAGAACTTCTGCTTTACAGTTCAAGGACTAACAAAAGTGTTCCCAACGCAAGATGTGTTGTCATGTAATTAGTAACAGAATAAGGGCTGAAAGAGAAGTAAGACAGTTTAGAGAGAACTAAAAGTGAGCACTACTTTACTCAAGTTGGTAGTATGAGTACAGTACCTTTAGGCTTCATGGTGGATCGGAGCAATAGTAAATGAAAGGTTTCAAAAGGTAGGTATTGGAAATGCAGGTTAGGTTTGAACTGCATGTTCAATTATAGGACTGTAGATCAGTGAAACAGGTATTTCAAAGCTTGTCCCTTTTAATTATAGTTTCAAATGTAACTATCTATCTGAAATTTAAATAGTCATAAGAAAAAAGAGAGTGGGAAGAGGAGACTAACAGTGGCATTACAATAGGAAAGTGGAACACTGCTAGCACAAACACAATACCAAACATGGGATGATAGCTTCCTGTGTGGTGAGAAAATAATGAGTGATGTGTATAATTAACTTTATTCACTCATGCTCCTTTTCATACATTAAAAATAAGATTTTTTTATAAAAAATAAAGCTGATGGAAAAGCTTTAAATTGAGCTTTCTGAACAGATGACTTATAATATGCAGCTTTCTTAGGAAGGAATGGCCACTCAGGAGAGAGGGATAAACTTTAAAAGCACAGTGTATAGGAGGTACACACATTTTCTTATGGGACTTCAAGTACACAGTGAATCTCAGTATTAATATGCATATATAACATGAAGGAATTAAAATATTCCAGACCTTTTGATTGCTTTTTAAACAGATGAAGTAAGAATGAGTTGCAATAGCTTTCTGTCAGTGGTCAATTTTAAAATGTTATTGACTCTTCTTTTGCAATAATCAAAACAGGGATGTTGTTCACGGCTGTTTATTTACACTGATATTTAGTTTTCCATGCTATCTTGTTTTTTATCTATTCAAGAAATTGAGGGTTTTTTCTCATTTAAAACTCATCTCTCTAAAAGCCTATTATCTTAATTTTGGACCCATAGTGATTTCAGTAAGAAACAGTTAACATCTTGCTTTTGTTTACACCAAATACAAGTTGGTAAGTTTTAAACCAGATACTTTGTTTCTTGACTGGGGGTGGAGCTACTTCTTTGGGGAGTTTTTTTGCTTTTTCTTACCAAATTGTAAAGGGAGCCAGGCTCTAGCATCTGTCTCCCAGTCAGTGCGGAGAGGTGGCTAACATCTGTCTCCTTGGGAGAGATGAGTTTGATTGCTTGTATTTAATCTTTGAGATTGAGAATACCCCCCAGGCTCCTGAATCTAGTAATTGATATGATTCATTAAAAAAGCATCAGAGTAGTAAGGAGTTTCAGAAACTAATTGGGAAGTGAAAGAAACCCCATGTCAGTTAAGACATGCTCCAAAGCTGGCAAATCTTTCTTTTAATGTAGACTAGAAGAAGTTATATTTTGGTTTAGTTAAAATGAATTTGAATGAGTATGATTAAATCTTAGACGCATTTGGTCCCTCTATTAAGTGGTGTTGGTATTTGTTTCACTGTCTACTTTGTAGCTTAGGTTCTTGACTGTGGTTAATAAACTGTCCTGAGTGAACGGTAGTATATCTTCGTTGTATGGCTTTATGGGTCTGCTCAGTCCTTGATAATTGGCAGGGAGTTTTGTGTTGAACTTGTCTTTGCTATATTAATATTATTACACCTAGCTCTTATTTAGTGATTTTCATCAGTAGATATCAAAACGCTTCATGATGTATTTATCGTACAACACCCCTATGAGGTAAGGAAGTGCTTTTCTCCCCATTTTACTGATGGGGCACTAAGGAACAGACTGCCACCTAAATGACTTGTCCAAGGTTGAGCAGGAAGCCTGTGGTAGAGCAGGGACCTGAACCTGGGTCTTGCAAAGCCTAGGTTAGTGCCCTAACTACTGGAAAGCTGAGGAAAATATTTTTCTTCCTTTTAAATACCACAAAATATAAGCCAATAGTGCTATTTTTTCTTGTGTGAATAGTTGAGCTTGTGAGTGAATAGTGAAGGTTGTGGGTATCACAGATTTATACAATAAGTTATTTAATACCCCATTTTCAGTAATAGAGACTATTTTATAACCAGGTTCCTGTCAGTCTAATTATTTTCTAATGCAGTGTCAACTTTACAGAAGAAAATTTCACTATAAACTTATTTTTTAACTTTTTATAAAATACATTTATTTAGAACTTAAATGACTTCTTTAGATCATCTTAAGCTGACCCACATGGGTACAGGGATCTGCCCCCCGAATCAGTTTTGTGATTAGGGCTTTAGTGTATAGAGGTTGCTCATTCAGTTTCTGATCTTTCAGAAAGACTAAATCCTGGTTCCTGTCAACTCTGATTTTAATCAACTAATATATTTGAGATTTGCCACTTACCAACTTCCACATTGTGTGTGGAGATTCTTCTCTTCACTGAGGCTTCAGTTCAAGAAAGCATCTCTGTTTAGAAAAGGGCATGCTAAGATTCAGAAGTAAATGGGATTTAAGCAAATACTTAACTTAAAGCATGTTTTAAGTGTTTTCATGTGTGTTTTGTCTAAACTATTCGAATTACACTAGAGCAAGTTCACCTTTTTGGCAGAAACTTACTTCTTGGATTTGATGGCTATCTTTAACCTTTGTATAGAAAAGTGATTTTTTTTTTTAGAGTGACTTTAGCTCTGTTGGCATTTGCTGAGAGCATTATTTATCTGTAAAGAAAAAAAGGTTATGCTAATAACTTCATATGTTGCAAGTCATACTGAGGGGTGTGAATATAGATACACACACGCACATAACAAGTAATTTAGGTTCTACCTTTTTTTGTGCCCTAAAGATCTGTCTATTGGGAAAATATCTGATTTTTAACCTCTTTGCCACATGTTCTTAGTTGTAACTTATTAGCTTGGTCTTAAGTTTTATGAACCTCATTTTAACTATTATAATCTACAGTACTTGATGGAAGTTTATTTTGAGTTTGTCACACTAATTTCCTAATTTGTAATTTCACAATTACCACTGTTACGCCATTGTCTCAGTCTGAAGGAATATTTTTGCATAAGGCAAATTTCCTTGTCAAAGAAAAATAACTTGAAAATCAGTCCTAAGATTGCTAGGATACCCTGGTTTCTACAGCAGAATGAGCTGATCTTAAAAGTAGATGATAGCTCTGAAATTTAATGGGTATACTATTACTTTTCTCCCTACAGAGTGAACTGGATGTGCCTTTTAAAGTTAAGGTTGGGCAAATAGGTAAGTAAACACTTCTTACTACACAAGCTGGGTTAACCTAAGCTTTCACTCTGAAGAGGAAGTTAAAGTGTAAGTCTTAATGCTAAACTGTCTTGCTCTCAATTTTCCTTTTCCTTAGAGTTCCCTTAAACGGATCTTTGAGTGCTTGATTTCCATGACTGACTTGCTGTGTGGATGTCTTAACATTGATTCCATAGCAAGTGTTGAAATCTTTCCTGAATGACAATAAAATCCTGTTCTTGCATACCGACATGTCATTCCTGAAAAACCTGTCAGTAGGGATCTTGCTAGCAGATATGTGGGGTCAAACCTGAGATCTGGTGTGGACAAGCTGAATTTGAAAACGTTTTCTTTTCATATACATTAGGTACATTATTCCTGGTAGTAATCACTGTGCTGCAATATAGAACCCATTGCAGAAATATATGCTTTGGTAATGGTCCAGACCTCTGATATGGAGATGTTTGAACCTGAACACAGATCTTTAATGTTACATTTATTTTTTCATATGTTCTTATCACTTAAATTGCTTTTAAAAATTGTTCCCAGGCCCAAGGTATTACAGCATTGTCTATTTCTGAGTAACTCCCCACCCGCCCCAATTTTAGTCCTTTTTTAGTGATTGCCACTGCTTATATAGCTTGAGGCATTGGGGGCTCTGGAAAAGTGAAGTGATGTACTTCTCAGAAGTTACCAAAACTAGAAATGCTCATGTGCCACTGAGGTAACCAAAAGTGAACATCTGCTAAAGACCTGCTTTATCTTACAGTATCAGCAGTATTTTTCAGTGTTTGAAATTTAGCGCAAACTAAATTAAGCTCTAGGCTTATTCAGTTTTTTGCTTTGTAGCAGAAGAAGCTGAATGTGAATTGTATTTTGGTCTGTTTAGATAAACTTACTCTGAAGATTCCTTGGAAAAATCTGTATGGTGAGGCAGTGGTTGCAACACTAGAAGGCTTATATCTGCTCATTGTTCCTGGAGCAAGTAAGTAATGTCATCAAATTATAGTGAAATAGAATAATTCATGGTGCAAGAGGAGTAAAACTACTACTATCAGATGATGCTATATGGATGAGTACAAAATGGAACTGTTAACTAATGTAAATTACTCACTTACACATTGTTTCCAGAGAGAAACATTATTAGAATACTTTTATTTTTAGCCAAATATTGGCAAGTGAAGAAACTTGATGCTTTTACAGACTATCTTGTCCCTACATTTGCTTCCCTATCCTTTGTCAACTTGTGAACCATAAACCCTCTTAAACTTGCTTATTCTGTCTTCTGTAGGTTTTTTCCAGAATGGACTAGTTTATTAGACTTAGGCTACATCTGCACTAGAAACACTACAGCGGTGCAGCTAACACTGTTGAAGTGCTTCTGGTGAAGACATTCTAATCTGACGGGAGAGAGCTCTCCCGTCGGCTTAATTATTCCATCTTCCACGAGAGGCAGTAGCTATGTCCGCGGGAGAAGCTCTGTCTATACTGGCGCTTAGGTCAGTATAACTTACATTTCTCAGAGGCGTGGATTATTCATACCCCGAGCAAAATAAGTTATACTGAGGTAAGTTCTAATGTACACAAGGGCTATTAATTTATTCTTTTACAGGAAATCTTGTCTAACTTCTAACCATTGAAAATGATATGCTTCTTGATCTTGCCTTTTTTCTCTGAGGACATGGTTAATTTCCATGAACCTTATCTACATTAGTGGTCTTATGAAACTTAAAAGTTCTCATCTTGACAGGAAAATCAGTAATTCCTAGATCCAAAAATGCTGGTTTAATAGAATTTATAACCTGCACTGTCTAATTTTTTACCAGCTGCACTTCAATGGAAGAGTTTTAATTCTCTTAAATCAGAACTGTCTCATTGATTTCATAAACCTACCAGGTGCAACTTGTAAGATTAATAAGTTTGTCAGTTCCAGTATCCTTACTTTTCTCATAGAACTTTAGAAGCTCCATGATTTAGTGGGTCTGGTGCATGAAGAAGTCAAAAGACATAGAAATAGCTGTGTTTGATGGCACATGGATCTTGTATCTGAGATATTCATATGAGTTGCCAATTCTCAGGCTTCTGAGTGGATCTTAAGTCAGAGTATCGAGAAGGACTTGTGGACCTTGTGAAGTCCTCCAGCTATGTTGCATAGTGTAAGACCTGTGAGCCATTGAAAGAAGGATTCACAGAAGATGAATTATGTTGTCTTGTTTGTTGCGCTTCAAAATGTCATAAATAAGTTTGGAATGATTAGAGTTTTATCATAAATGTTGAAAAACGGTGATTTCTCTATACTCACAAGCTGATGAAAAAGCATATTCATCAGTGATAACTGAAATTTATAAGTAGGCGAAATAAGAAAAATGCTGCTTGAGAAATTCTTAGTTTGATTTAAGCATATTTATTTAGTATTGTTTGACATGTGATATTGACAATTTGTGGTTTAAGTTTCAATTTTTTGAATCTCAACATATACCATTATTAAATAATTGTCTAATGCCCCTTCATAATTTCCCTCAACTGTGAAAATTTAAATAGATAAAAATAGAAAAAATGTTTAAAACCCATAATTTTGTGCAACTTTGAAAATTTATAATGATAGAAATCTAAAAAATGCCTAAAGAAATTTGATATCCATCAAAATTATATTAAAAAAAATCTAATTCTGCCAAGTTTCTTGGTAAGACCTGAAATGAATAATTTGGTGGTGATGGTGGTAATTCTCTTTTCAGAACATTTTGCAAAACAGATAAATTTGGTCATGAAGAATTTCAGTTATTGTAACACTTGTGCACCATATTTATTTAAAAGGTCCACAACTATAGACAGGTCAAAAAGGGTCTAAAGGCCCAGCCTTGTAAGAGTCCTTGAGGGAACCTATAATGTGGCCATCTTACTTTGACAGCTAGCTCAAGTAACACCTGTGAAATTTGTAAGCTCCCTGTATAACACTTATGGCTTGTCTACACACACATCTAGTCCTGTTTCCAAGAGGACAAGGTCAAAGCGTGTTAACAGTTAGTCCATGACAGGCTAGTGTAGGGTAGATTCGTGCCCTGGCTTGCTGTGACCTAAATATTTGTGTAGACAAGCCCTTGGTTATTAGATACTAAATATTAATTAGGCTTTAATTCATTTATATTATATAATTAATTATATTAGTTTATATTATGCTTTTATTTAACTTGTGCAGTTGTATGTTGAATTAAACATGAAATCTAACCTAATTTTTGTCTTCTAGGTATTAAATACGATGTGGAGAAGGAAGAAAAATACTTGCAGGATAATAAGCAAAAAGAGCTATCAAGAATTGAAGAAGCTCTGCAAAAATCAGCAGAGAAAGGTATTATATGTGTACAAAAATAATTAAAAGTTTTGGGGTCTTAGACAATACTGTGGAAGTCGGAGAAACCTTATTCTATGACTGACTTCACAAGTGGTACACCTCAACATTTTAATTAACTGATGTAATTTTCATGCTTTTAAAAACAATAATTTCTGTGAAACTTAAAGTAAGAGATGTAATCCTGCGTGTTTACTCTCCAGTTGCTTATTTAGTAATGTCCACTAGAAATGTGAAGTTGATTATCTGATATACAATATATGCCTTACCTCAAACAATAGCAAAAATATAGATCTTGATGCAGCTGTAGAATGACAGTGTGTTTGTTATCAAGTATGTTTTAGCTGTGGATGTTGGTATATGAACATATGTTTTGGAAATTCTTTCAAACTGAGTCTTGTTAAGGGTAAGGAAATATTGAGCCTATAGGGAACTGGTAACTTTGTGAAAAATGCTGTAATTTTGGTGCTATAATAAGTAAACCTATATTTTCAGTTTTTAATGTTAAGCACCTGATGTTCAGTTTGGTTTTGATTTGTGCTGTCACATCTGAATATTCTAGTCAGCGTTAGAATAATGGTTAGTAAATAAGAGGACCATTAAATAATTGCAAGACACAGGAAAATGATAATCGAAAATAATGTCGCCGCTTAATTTTTGGCTCAGGTCAGAAGGGGCTGTTCTATGGACAGCTGTTTGGCTTCACAGATGGATGTCCATGTTGCAAAAATCACTAGCTTAATTGGCACCTGTGCCTCCCAGTCCTGACAAAGGCCAAGGATTTAATTAAATACTCTCTACCCAAGGTGGCCCATCTGAGTCAGGGGTGAGACTCATTAGCTGGGTAGCGTGAGGAGTCTTCAACTATTGTTGCTTATGTTGTGTCCTTTAAGATAAATAGGTGACTGCCATTTATAGGGGTGCAGATCATTTCACTTTCATGATAACTCTGAAGTCAGTGAAAATTAAATAACACTTCAAAACGTCTTTAAAAATAACTTTGGAGTACAGTTTCTTTGAAAATTAAACACACAATCTTCACACTTTATTCTATTTTTCCCGTTTTTTGTGCTACTTTGAAATGTAAGCTAATGGTTTCCTTAAACTGCACATGTTCGGCTTCCATTTACAGTGAAGAGAAAAGCCCTTATTCATTGCACATGTTCTTCTAACATTCCAGGAACTGTAGATTTCATGGTGAATTCGTGTAATACTGATGGATAATCTGATCACTTACGTCCGTTAGGCCCAAAGAATCATATGCATAAATAGAAACGATCAGAGTTACAGACTTGACTACTACATAAATTACAACTGCTGCTCATCAGACGAGCAGAACTATGGTAGAATGGGGCAATAGTGCCAGAAAAATTTGCCCATTTTTATGTTACATACTTAATTCATCATCTTCTCTATACAAGCATTTATAATACTGTTAATGTGCAGCTTTCTGAGGGAAGGCATCACACTCTTTTATTACAACCAGCTGATGCTATCTTGGTAACTGGATATAATTAGGCTTTGTCTATGCATATGGAACAGGAATATTGTTTAAGACACTATGAAAGATGAGACTTTCATAATGGCTATGGCCATCAGTAAATCTGTATTATTAGAAGAGTTTGATTGGACTACTGAAAGAAATGTGAGGTATTACATATTTAATTAGTAGCTTGATTGCTTCATGAAAAGACAGTAGTGCTGAGGTTCTATGCTGTGTCTCGGAGAGGTGCAGCCCTGAATTCGCAGTCCGGGGGAAGGGAAGGCCAATGAAGTTTTAAGATGCCTTTGTGCCATCCTGATCCTGGGCTGTTCTGGGAGTTGGAGAGGCTCCTGGAGTAACTTAGGCAGCACTGGGCACCTGTCTAAATTACTGTGCATCCTGTGGAGCCCTATGGGTGGCGTTGGTGCCTGGAATCTCTCCAGTGCTATGGCCTTGCCTCTGGCATGCTCCTTCTGCCCCGGCACAACCCCTCTTCTGGAGCTTGCCAGTGGCTGATTGAGCAGAAGTGTTAGAGCTGTCTTGCTGAATGAATCTCCTTGACCGCAGCTAGGGTACAAGGCTTTTAGGGTTCACTTACGCCACTCTGGACCTTTCACACAGCATAAAGGGCCAGAGTGGAGGAGTTAATCTCATTCCATAGATGTTCCTTCAGTGAAGTGAGAAGTGACTGTTCTTTGGGATGTACGTGGACTCCTGGCTCTCAACATGCTTTTCTTAATAATAGTCATAATCAAGATGCTTTTCTATTTGCTAGTGTACATAATGTATGGCAAAAATAATTTGAAGTGAGAAGCCTATTACTCACTAATTACACATTAAGAGAAGCTCTTCATTGGCTTAAAAAAATGGCAATTTTTAGGAGTAGTACTTAAACTCAGAACTACATGAAAACTGGGTCTATAGCTAGAAAACTCTTACCCAGTTACAACAGTCAGCTGTTGTATGTCACTTGTGGGGAATGCCATAACCTTCTGGGGTACACTTCAGATGTACATGAGCGTATCTACTGGACAAGCTTTACAGGCTGGCTGTTTAAGCCTGACACTTTTGGTTTGAAATTGGAGCTTTCTTCTCCAAGGTGAGCTGCCTGCCAAGGCTGATGAATCCCAGTCGCCCTGTGAAGATTTACTTTAAGCTGGTCTTTATTTGCCTTGCTATCCTCGTCATAAGGCCTAGGTGGCATTTGACAGAGGCAACCAAGCCACCAGTTATCTCACCATGCCCTGCTGAGTGGTGTTGCCAGTTGGTCTGCAACTGCTTATTTAATATTTGCAGCTGTCCTGCATACGTACAGGACGTCCCCTTCTCTGCCACAAAAGGGCATGCTTGATGGGAATTGGTTGCTCCATCCCAGAAGTTACATAGCTAGAAGAGTGACACAGTGTGTTTGGGGAGGGGAGAGGAGGAAGGAGACAGACTGCCTTTGTATATAAGTGTGTTGGGTATTAGATAAAGAATTAAAGAAAATGAGACTTGTATATTGTGGGCAATACAAAAAACTGCCAGAGCCTTTCTCCATTGTGTTACCAGTGTTAGCTTAAAACTACTTGCATATGTGTTAAAAAACCTAAGTTTAAACAAGTAACTTACATGCATAAAAAAGCAAGTTTTTCAAATGAATCATTTTGCATTGTCTATATTTATCTTCTAAATATCAGGAAAGGATTATCCTTGTGTTTAAATGGTATGTAAATGTGCTTTGAAGTTCAAAGATTTCATTTTGCTCTGACATTTGAAAGTAGATTTCCTTTAAAAAATTTTATTTTTGGTTATTGCTGCCATGTGGATCAAGGCACGCATTCAGGAGACACCATATATGGCTTGGAGAGTTTTGTTTGCAAGGATAACAAGCCTGGTGGGTATGCATGGCTCATTACCTTCTTCCTTTTAAAAAAAAAAAAAAGCTTAATTTTATCATTGACAGTATCAGAACTCATATACTTGACAGTCAAGTGTGTTGGCACGAAGTGAAATTTAGGAGGCTCTGGAAACAAGATATTAAGTAACTTGTCGCTGAGAGAATGTTGAAAAGTAACGTACTATGTTACTTGAATGTTACGAGAGTCCTACTTTCAAAAGAAAGATAAATAGCAAACAGTGAAGTCTGGTTCTACTCTCAAGTGTCACTAAAAACAGTATTGTTGCTTTTCTCAAGGAGGTTCAAAGACACAGATGGCGGTTGGGCACCCAAATCCCATTGGCTTACAGTGGGAATATCTCGCCTGCTATTGGTGCCTTTGAAAACGTCCCCATCAATTATCATTCTACTGTATTCTAACTGTGTTGGTTAAGGTCTGTCTGAACTGCTGTTTCAAGGCCAAGCTGTACTACTACCTTAATAGTGCAGCCAGTCTTCTTTTATGAGGTGGCTGTTACTGGGCCAGGTCCTTAGCTGTTGCAAACGGGCACAGTTCTTTGAAGCCAATGAAATGAAGTGGATTTGCACCAGTTGAAGATCTGGCCCCATATTTCTTATAATGTGAGATGACATGATCATGTTTTGTGTCCTCATGTAACCATGGTATTTAGCTGAAAGGTGCTAGAGTTGTATGATGTTTGATTAATTCAGAGAAGTTGCCATATATTAGTTGAACTCAGCGTTAGTTTTTTGTTTTTAATACAATCCATTCTCCTCTCTCCCACTGCTACCCCAAATAAGTCAGTTTTTGTCCACTTATCTTTGAGGCTGTTGAGATTGAGATTGCTGGGTGACAATGTTACACTCGTATTTACCTATTATGTTCTTTACAAAAAAGCAATTGCTTAAGACGAAGGAAACTTATTACTAAGGATTTAGGAAATATTCAACTACCCATATAAGAATTGCCAGACTGCATCATACCAGTGATTCCTCTTAACCACAGTCAGATGGGAGACTGGACAATAATAGATGACTTTGAGGGTGGTGCAGAGAAGCCTGCATTAGACACTTGTGAAATAGCTTTTGCATTGCATTGAAAAATTTAAGTTTTCTTCATGGAGAACATGTCTAGTTTTCAAAAAGTGGCAATTTCCTCTCACATTTTAACATTTGAAATCTGCTTTTTACAAGTCAATGTCAAATTCCACCTACATCTGTGTGGTGTGATTTTTTTTTTTTTTTGGGTAAGCAGGTAAAACAGTGAAACTAACTCTGCAAAAATTTCAGAAAGTTTGAAGTTTTTATGTATCAAAAATATGTCAGGTCAGCTTTCAGGGCACATTCTAGTTGTCAATGGGAGGATTTTTGGCAGAGGGTGAGTTTAAAGGGATCTTAAAATAAGGATGCATCCATGATTTCATGAGCCTGAGCTGTGGAGAGATTGTCTTTTCACTAACAGCAAAACCACATATCCTCACAGGACCAGGTCCAAGGTTTGGGTTATACAGACTCAAAAACATATGACTCCAATATTCATTAAAGGAAGTAATGTAATTCAATGACTTAAATGACAAAACTTCAATTTCAGAAATATGAGATGGAAGACGAGTTTCAGTAAATTTAAATAGATTTATTTAGCAGCCATTATTGTGCATTGAAATAGCATGTTTAAACTTGAATCTCAAAGGATTAATATGTATACATGGTACACTGGGTGTGTATTTATCCTTCACATTCTTAAAACGATGATACCAAAAGCATGGAAAAATTATTTTAGTGTTCTTCATTTGATCAGTGTAAAGAAGAGCATGGATAAATGCACCCTGGGGATACAATGAATAGCTCTCACTGAAACCATTTTAATTTGTGTTTTGTGACCCTGTGAGGCAGGAGTGGACTTGGTGGCCCCATCCATATGTAAATGTCTTTTATTCTCCACTCAGTGCATTTAAGTAACTGCTTGAAATATTGTATTGGTTTAGCTTTTTGTGTCTTTGTCGATTGGACCAAAAAATAACTGCGGCCGTGTAAAGGATGACCGTTTTGGGTGCTAACAGGTACACCTTTCACGTGGAATTCTACTACCCTTTTTCAGAACAAAAACATTGTTTCTCTACCCAAACCCTAACCATTTTTATGTGGACTTGTCTGTCTATGTGTAGAACTGAAAGATGAGAGAGAATTGGAAACAGATGATAAAACATACAGGATAGCATGTTGCTTCGCTGAGTGAATTTGAAATATTTTAAAGGTTTTGAAGAAAGGCAACTGTTTAAGATGAATCATTTTCTTTTTAGAAAGCTAGTTAGCTACTTTTCCTCATTTTCCTTCTTACTTTTACTAACTTGAATTTTATCCTTTTCTCACAAAATTGCCTGCATTGAGAAGGACGTAAGCGTAAAAAGCATAAAAAGCATTTTAAGAAACCCTTTAAAAGTCATGATCACTCAAAAGGTGGGTACAATGTAGCCTTCTACATTGCATATTGTATTTGCTATTTGGTTTTTAATAGCAAATGGGAAAAACATAGACTTCCAGGGCCAAATTCTTCTCCTCCATTGTACAGCTGGAGTAATGCTATTGATTTCAGTGTAGTGAAAAATTTAGGTTAACAGGCTTTATCGCAGAATTTGGCCTATCCTCTGCATATAAAAGTTCAGTTAGCTTGAATTTTACTGTTGGAAAAAGAAGGCACAAGATTTTAAAACCAGAATTTATTTTTGTTTGTGTCAAATTATTCCATAACATGAAAATAGTTGTGGTCATATATCAAGAGGCTTGTGATGCCTACATGACAATGGTTTCCTGTTGTGCCATCAATGTTTTTCTCAACTCCACTTTTGTTAGCATTTGTTATAAATAAATAATATTCTAAACGCCAAACAGAGTTACTGTGGGCATATAAGCTATTGCAAAGCATATAGAGAATAGAATTCACATCCTCTGATAAAGTTAATGTCAGTGCTGAGGCTCTCTTTTTTTCTTTCTTACTGATTGTACATAAAGCAATAAATATGAAGACTTTTCAAAGGCATGAAAGGCAGATAATCTCCCATCCCTTAAATGAAAATGAAAGTGGGAGTTGGGAGTCTGTTTAGAATAGAATATCAGGGTTGGAAGGGACCTCGGGAGGTCATCTAGTCCAACCCGCTGCTCAAAGCAGGACCAACCCCCAATCAAGTTTCAGATGGATTAATTAGAGGGGATGGGAGGGGTGGGGGGAATGGAAGGTACTTTCTTGGATATTTTGGGATGATTTTTCATACCTGGGAGGAGCTAGGTGGAAATGTGCAATATATAAATGAGAGGGGAAAAATGAATGATGAGTCAGTGGTCTTGACATACAGTTTTTGCTTGCACACATTTCTGCTCAAAGTTGCTGATGATCTGTTTGTGATTATGTGCTTTCCATTGAGTGAGCAGCATCCTCATTCACCTTCAGAAGCAAGACACGTGCACCTTTCCATTTTTGAACAAAATGCTACTGAACTTTGATGCGTGAAATTTTTTTGAGATACAGATATGTTCACTTTTCTCTTGAAATGAGCTATACAGTGCATGTATACTTGGGGTCATATAGTTGATATTTGTGTACAATTCATAATAACTATATATTCTATATTTAAGGACAAATAATACATAAAACAGTCTTCAAGATTAAGCATTCAAATGTCAGATGGTGTTATATGTGCAACCTTAAGACAGCCTTAATCCTGTCACTTGTAAGTGACTTGGCAGAATTTGATTTTTAAAAAATATTTTCTACAGATAATATCCATGTTTCTTTTTAAGCATTTTCCCCATTTTTTGTCTGTTTGTTTAATTTCCCACCACTGTGAAAATATATAGGGGGAGTCAGACTGGGGGCGGGGGACACAATTATTATTTAATGACAATAGATGTTTTGATTCTGAAAGTTAAAGCTTTATAACTGTTAAAACACAAATTGTCAACATCACATGTCAGAATACACACCAAGTAAATATCCTTAAATCAAACTTTAATAAGTTCCTAAGTAGCGTTTTTCTGACTTAGCCTATCTGTAAATTTCACTTATTATTGATGAAAATATTTTTTTATCTTTTTGGGTACAGTGAAATCGACATTTACAGATAAAAATCTAATCCTTCCAAGCCTACTTGTATACAGTATATGCACATTCATGTATACAACCGCTGATAGCCATGCATAGCATTTTCTTCTACAGTGTAAGAGCCTGCGTCCCAGTCAGGGAAATTCCAATTACTTATAAGGTGTATATGGAATGAACAAGGTTTCAAGAAGCCATGTCTCATTGAATTCATCATTGAGGAGAGAAACGCATTGACTGTGTAGCTGAGTTAGCCCTGTACACACGCACTGCGGCCTTGTTTGCTTAAATCGCCACTTCTAAATGGCTTTAGAAGTCTTACTTGGAAGATTGCAAACTCATGTGTGCCAATCAAACCCTATAACTTGATCAGATCAAAACCATTTTTCACCAGTACCCTCTCAAAACTACTTTCCGTCACTGAGGAGTATCCCCTGCCAAATTGCACCTTTCTACTCTTATCCATACCAGTGCTGGCACTGTTAGGCCATTTCGAAAGTGTTGTTTCATTATAGGTAAAACTTGTTTTTTCAATTTCTTATTCAAACCTGGGTTTGTTCAAACTAGGAAAAAAATGAACTTTGAGCAGAGATTGGGTTTGGAAAACGTCAGCCTGAAAGATAAAAGTTGGTTGGTTAGAAGCATCTGGCTTTAAGAGGAAATACAACTATAATGCAGATTGTGTGTTGCTTGCTCTTTTTTGTTACACTTCATGAACTAAAAACATACCTTCTGAATATCAGTATAGGCAGAATTCTTATGATCTACAGAACACATTTTTTAATATAAAATGATTAACAGAATGTTATGGTTGGGCAAAGGATCGGGGAAATTGTCCACTCGAGAGGGATAAACTAAAGCTGCTGCTTTTGCCTCTTCAAGGTCTGCTGAAGTTCTTAGTACAGCATATAGTTTGTCAACTAACATAACTGTCTCCATTCATACCATATTTAATATCTGTAATTCAAACAAGTTTTTAATTGTTCCATTCTTTTGAAATTTCCCCCTTTAATCTTTAATATTTTTAATTTTAAGCACAAAAGGGCTCTAAACAGTTTAGACTAAAGCATTTAAGGCAATACTTAAATGTGAATAAGTGGATGAAGTTATTGAAATATGGTGAACAAAACTTTGTATGTATAGTTGGGCAAAATGTAATGAATATAATGAATGTTGATTTTTGTTTTAAACTTTTTTTTTTAGATAAGCCAAAGGCAGAGAAAAAAGATACATTCTTGGAAAAGCTGGCAACTCAAGTTATAAAAAATGTACAAGTCAAAATCACAGGCATTCATGTTAAATACGAAGATGATGTAAGTGTCCTAAACTTTTTTTTTTTTGCTTTCTCTTAAACCAAATTTCAGCTGAGATCTCTCACTGTGACAATAGGCTATTTTCTATCTGCACTGTGTACTCAGTAGATTTGAAGTAAATCAGTTTTCAACCAACTTGAAAAAGTTTTTTCATGTGTTTAATACAAGCAAAACAAAAGCCCTCCAGGATGACTGAAAACTTAATATGCTGTGATATATAGCTGGACTTGGCCCTTCAGTTTGGACAGACAGCTGCTTTTCATGTCTTTATATAAGCAATTGAGGTTGTTGATCAGTGTATTATGGCAGGAACAGAATAGTAGACATCCATTCTTAAGAAAAAAGAAAACTTCACAACATTTTTAAGGAGTCTTAATACTAATTGGATCAATAATGGAGGATTTTCATGTTAAAAACTTGACTTTTTTAGATATTTCTTTTGGGAAAAGAGGGAGGCTAGGAGTTAACTGTGAAAGTTACACACCTGAAAAGAGGAAAAAGTTGTACTGAGGCTTTGGAAAATGTCCTCTTATCTCAAAATAGCCTCACTTGAGGACCTATTTGAAGGTGAAACTTCAGAGAAGTCTTTAAAAAGCAGAATGATGTAACCAAGACAGCTGTTGGTTGGAGACGCAAAATTAGATGCAAGAAGAGGCTAGAAATAATCCCTCTAAACTGAATGAAGGGACAGATTAATGGAAGCTTTCTTAGCAATTCCTGTGTGATGTCTGATTTATCAAGGGCATAGCTAGTTACAGTGAAGTGTATGTTACATTGGAGATTAAAATTCCAAGGCTACGAAATGGAGTAACTGTTTTAAGATGTCTAATGAGCTGATAGGTGTTTGGTTTGCTGCATAAAATAATACAATATTTAAATAAAATTTCCTTTTTATCCTTTTCTGTTTGTAGATCACAGATCCTCTTCGGCCACTTTCTTTGGGAGTGACATTGGGTGAACTTAGTTTACTGGTAATGTTTGTTGTTTTTTAGCTCTGTTTGTTTCATTTAATTCAACTTATGATGAATAACATGGTTACAGGATTTAGAACATTAATATAGACTTGCTGAACAGATTTGTAAACAGAATACTTGGATCTGTTTACTTAAAGCTGTGCATGTAGTTGAAAGTAAAAACAAACACACAATCACTGTCTCTAAAAATATTATTTATGTTTTTGTGGTCAAACATGGGCTTGAGAGCCTGTAGGGAAGGTCCGTCTGTGGCCTAGTTTATGTCACTTGACCTCGTGCTTCAGCTCATCTGTGTAATTGGATAGAAGGAAGAGTTTACTGCTGATTTTGCAATAACCTGTCCTAGGTAAAATAGGAGAAACAATTCCATATTGCAGAACACATGCAGTACATGGAACAGTTTTTTTCTAGGTCAGCTACTAGTTACAAGGAATTCATAGAAAACACAAGTTTAGTGCGAGTTAACTAGAAAACATCTGCAGGAAAAAAAATCGTATATGGATTTTTTTTGCTTAATATTTTCATGCACCCTTTGACGTTCAGTAACACTCGAAAAGTGCAAAAACAAATGTAACTTTCTTTGTATCACTGATCTGTTGGAGAGGCTTAACATTTTGATATTAGATGAAAAATCTAGAACAGTATTCTGTGAGTTCTGTAGAAGTGGAAGCTGGCACTTGGCACTGGCCGCAATGAGAGCAAAGTTAGTTCAGCACTGAGGGCTTTTGAAATCCCCAGCCTTAATCTTCGTATTCATGTTACTTACACGTAGGTCCCAAATCCTAGTTCAATATCCTTTTATTAAAAAAAGGATATAATCGGTGATTCTGGAGTGTCATTCCTTACGTATGTGAAACTTGAAATTCTTGTTTGAGGTAGCCTCTGCGTACTCCCAATTATGGGAAGGACCTTGTATTCTGTTGCCACTGAGTTTATGGAAAGAGATGCTCCTTGGGACCGCATGACTGGTGCCAGAGGACATTCACTTTTCTGAGATGAGATTATTAAAGTGTCGTGTGGCTTGAACCACTCCAGCCGTTGCCGCCTTTGTGTGTGGTTAGCTGGTGTAAGGCCTAGAATGACTTCCCCCCCCCCCCCCAGCTGAGGTCAGGTTGGTTGGGGCATTATTGATCCACAAATTTCCCTGATTTTATTGTTGATCTGTAATATGGGTTGTAAGGTTTTTTGTTTTTTAAGAAAAAGTTTGTTTTACACCTCCTTTAAAACAAACAGCCAAACAAACTGGATCTCTAGTCCTTGTATATGAAAATTCCGTGGCCAACAAAGCCTCAGAGGATCTGGGTAGGAAGGGCAGTGTTCAGTGAGGCGTGTCATGCTCCTAAATGACGTTGGGCCAGCGTACATACTGCTTTGTTTTGTTGTGGAAAGCCTATTCCTAGATCACTGCTTGGTAACATAGCAGTAGGGAGTGGAGGGTTCCATGCCTTCGTCAGTGAAAAAAGGCCTTAAGACCCTGTTGACTACATCTGGTGTAGGATCAGTTGCGTGGCCCTCTGAAAGCAGAGAGAATCTACTCTCCCGTCAGTGTCAGGCAAATGCTAGGTCATGGGCTGTACCTGGCTCTGAGAGCTGGGAACTGGGTGTCAGTTTCCATCAATAAACCCTGAATTTTGTATATTTAACTCTGTCTAAACTTGATGAACTTTGTAGCTCGACACACACAAGTTTAGCCTTACGTGAACATAAACCATTCAATCCTTAAAAATTTATAACTCCTAAAAAGATTTATATTTAAAAGTCCATAATTACATATTATAGAGAAACTGGTTTTAAACATATTGGGTTATGTAAGTCTTAAAATCCCTTTATGGTAAAATGTATCGACACTTTCTTTAAAAAAGTTATGTCTGAAGTGCTGTTGAGCCTTGTAAATGGGACTAGGTGTTGAAACATGAAATACATCAACATAAGTGGTGAAACTTTCAAAACCAGCCAACAAAATTTGTTTGCAAAATTGGTTCAGAGGATATATCACACAGACACATACACACACACACAGAGAGAACAGGCTATTTTGGCTTTCATTGTTTAAATATATGTTAAGTGTTATAAATTGTGACGTTATCTGTACACGCTCAGGTTAAAAAGGATTAAAAAAAAACCCTTTGAAATAAATGTTACATAATGAATTGAAGATAGCTTTATGGGGAATAACTTCTAATGTTTTTCAATTTCTAGACAGCCAATGAAAACTGGACACCTTCCATTTTAAATGAAGCTGCAAAAATCATATACAAGGTAATATGTCAAAGTTCATTATTACCTGGGTCAGGAGTGAAAAATGGACCAAAATATCACTGATAAATTAACTGAATTCAGTCATCCATGAAAGGGTGGATGGGGGAACATACTGGTTTAATGAACCAAAATAAGGAAATAATGGTGCTATAACTTTGTAGCTCTTCATTCCCTGTGCCCTTGTTTTTCAGTTGTTTTTCCTTTTTATAACTAGTGAGAAGTAGAACCATGATCACTGCTTAAATATAAGGCATTTGTTTTCAACTCTCTGGGTAAATGGGGATCTCATACTAAGCACAAGCAGTAATCTGTTAATTAACAATATTTTAGACTTCATTTAACCTCATGCAGATTCTAGCTTCCTTACTCAAGGAATCAAATATTGACCTCAAAAAGCAAATTTAACCAGACACCCCTTGCATTCATTCTTTTACCCTCACAAATAGACTTCAGGTACAGAAGTAGGAAAAGAAGGCCAGATTTTTGCGCAACACATTAAAATCAAACTTGGCAAAAATAAATTACCATCAAAATGCGGGGTTTCACATACATTGAAATCTTATTGCATTTAATACAGAAGTCATATTGTTTATTTTCATAAATTGCGAAATCCATTGAGTTTTCTTTACTTTGCAGCTCCTGAGTCTTGATTGCCTCAGTGTCTACTGGAATGTGGATAGCAAGATGTATTATCATGGCTCCCGTGAACAAATACTGGTAATTTTGAAGGCTGCATATAGTAAAGGGTTATATGATATAAATATCATACTACTAGATTAATCTCTTAGAGGGAGATTTCAAATGCAAAAATAGAAATTAGGTGCCTAACTCCCATTTCTGATGTAAAAATCTCCTTCGTAGTGTGTGTTGTGCTCTGATCTTAAGGAAATTTTTAGGCAAAGCTAGTAAAGCTGGGTGACTGATTTTTATTCCCCCCCACTCCCTCTAATGATCTAATAATGAATTTAGGAACTGATCATGCTAATATTTACTGGTTGTTCCGCTGACTGAGCGTTATCCCATTGATTTCTGGGATCATAAACACTATCAACTACTATGACTGTAGAATTCACAATGCTGGATGATTATAATTTCTTCTCGGGTCTGATTACTTATATTGTTCAAAAATTGATTGTGGGCTTCCTAATTTTTTTCTCATTTAGTAACTTAATCTGGGCTTTGTGTTGGTTTCTCCATTCATAGCATTTTTAATTTCATTATGGTAGCACCATAAATCTGAATTAGAGATCAGGACTCTATTGTACTACACTCCCATCACAGGGTAAGCTAGCCCATAAAAAGGGTTGGGAAGGAGATGAGTGCTGAAGTCATGTGTCAAGGGTCATGTGACTAAACAAGGCCTGCTGAGGGGGATAAGAGAAGACTGTGGTGAGCAGTCATAAGTGGAACTCATAGGAGCAGTAGACCTGGGAGATCAGAAGAAGATGGCAGGGAGAAGAGACCTGGGAGTCAGCTCTCCATCAAGAGTAGGAGGGCATACCAGGAGGATTGACAAGGTAGAGAGAGGCATTTGGAAGAAGCAGGACAGGTTAATATTTTAGAGGCAAATAATCTGGTGGTTAAGGGTTCCCATAGCAAAAGGTGGGCGTGGGTTCGCCTGTGCTGTTACATTGGAAGGGATGCAGGGTCCTCTGCTGTTAAAGGGAGGCTGGAGAGACTTATGCTGCCACCTAGTGAAGTAATATAGGAACACCTATGAAAAAGGGGAGCATGAAGGCACTGGCTAGAGCCCGAGGGAAGGGGACTGCTGAGAGTGTATTGTGAAAGACAAGACAGATTCTTGAGGAGAAAGGGCTATGCCCGGTGAGTCTGGGACAGAATATTAGTTGTTTTGGACTTGAGATTTACTCTGGAAGGAGTGGGCTTTTTGTGAGTTGGCCAGAAGGCCAAGACATCTCCACAACCTGACCACTTTGAAAGCCAGGAGAACATTTGAGAGAGGGAAAGTGAGGCGGAGGATGGGACCGACCAAAGCCAGACCAGGAAGGTCCTAGCTACACTGGTGTTGGTAGTCCATCGCTGACTATGATGATGATGATATTGTAATAGTTCTCATCTATGGCTCCAAGTAACAAAGATATTCCCTGCCCCAGAGATCTTACAGTGCAGGTGTTGGATAGGATGTGACATATCAATAAAATCAAATAAGGCAGGGTGGGGGTATCAACCTAGTTTTGTTAGGTCAGCATTAAAATGGAAGTCTATGTTTGCAGCTTGACTAACCACTGCCAGATGGAAGTGACTTGTAGCCATCGCAATAGAGATAGTTTTAGAGGAGGAATTTGAAGAATGATAAAGTGGTGATTTATAGTTTATTGTTGTTTTTTTCCCCCCCCAGTCATAGGGAGCAGCATTAACAAAAAGATGGAGAGACTTGAGGGAAAAGCAGACCACTGTATGAACAAGGCTGCGATTGTTGGCAGAGGAAAGATAAAGATCAACAGCTCGATAAGTTGGTATATATGAAAGATAGGGTGGGGCTAAACAGCAATGGGCTTTAAAGACAAACAGAAGAAACTTGTGTTAGATATGGTGGTGGATGAGGGAGATCCGGTAGAGTGATGTGAGTGGACAGTTGATATTATGAGCCAGGAAGATGGTCATAGCAACAGTATTTTGTACATTTTTGAGAAAAGTAGTGAAGCTGACATGAGGGCCAGGGCAAGACTTGACCACAGCTTGAAAGTCTGAGCTAAGAGAGAGTGCCAAATATAGGTTTAAATCAGGAGGTCTGGTTTTAATTCCTTCAAGCTGTTGTTATCTAAATGAGCAATAAATCATAGAATATTGCAATTTTTATATACACAATTTTTATCTCTATTAACTGGCAAAGAACACTTAGTATGTTCTGTAACAGTTTCCCTTTCTTTGCAATATTAATACATTATCTTGTTGTAAGATTAGCTCTGGCAAAAGCAGGAGTTGTGAACATAATGCATTAAAATAGAAGCCTAGCCATGATAGTTTAACTTAAATAGAAACTTAAAGTGGCTATCATGCAGGTTTATGTTCTGCTGTATTCATAATCTAGTATTTCCTCTTACAAAGCTGATGATTAGCTATCTATTACATTTCTTCAAAGCCAGTTTATAGATTTAAGAAACCCTGTAGACCCTTCCAATCTAGCTTTGAATCACAATTAATTTGGGTTTTGATAATAATTGTGACTGGACAAATGTAAGCCTTTTTTTCTGTGCACTTGTTAGAGACCTCTGATGTGCCAAATGACCATTTACTAGTAAGCAGATTACATCATATGGCTGCTTCAGTAATGTGATTAAATGGGTTGCCTCATTTTTAAGTAATGACTAACAGATGGTACTTTGAGATTTGTTATTTAATTGAAGTAGTACATTGTTCAGTATCTTGCAGCTTTATTGTCCTTTGTGAGGAATGCTTTCAGAAGTACTGTACAGGAGTTTTACCTTGCTTTGAAAGTTTTTGAAGACGGACATTTAATTTTTGTTTAAATTGAAATTTTTTTCACTTACTGATGTGAATGTTTAGTCAAAACCTATGTAAACTACTTACCTTTCTGTGCAGCTCATGAAGGAGTATGATCTGTTCAAATAGATGATTCCAGTGTGAAGCTTGTACATTTAGCTAACTAATGGCTTAAGAAATAATTACATTCAGAAGACTCAATTCTGAAAAGTTTGAACACATGGAAAAATATCCCCGGGGGGAGTGTGCACATGGATACTAGCAGAAGTTGAATACAAATGGACATTTCAAAGGGAGAGGTGGAGTGTGACACTGGTGGGTGTGGATGAACTATCCTGTACGGCCAATCCTGTAGCTCCTTAATTATGAAAATGTTGCTTGTGTGCTTTTGCCCCTGAACAATATGTGCTGCTGGTTGGTAACATGCTCCAAGAGGAGCCTGCAGGCAAGTGCCAACCTGGCTCTTCAGTGTATCAGAACAGTAGTATAAGCACTGAAGGTGCTCATTTGGGTTTTACCTAAGCACTTAGTGACTGTCACATGAATATGGGTGACAAAAAAATGGAGCTGAGGGTTTAACAAAAGGTATTCACTTGAGCAGGTCAGAAACCCTTTGTCAAGTGTTCTGTTAGAAAGTGCCGTTTTGATTAAACCAAAATTTTACATAAAATCGTATCTGTTTAACTAAATTTCATGTAGCAAAATGGAAAAACATTTGGAAAATGCCCCGTTTTGACATTTTCAGAATACATTTCAATTTTTCATTTTGAAATGACTTCTTGTTTCAGAATTTACCTTTTGGGTAAAAAAGGGTCAAAATTGAAACACAACATTTCAGATTCATCAAGATAAAATATTTTGATTGTCCCAAAACAAATTTTTAACAAGTTTTTGTTTTGAGAAAATTTCGGCTTTTTGTCCTGATTAAGGATGAAAAAAAAAAACTTTTTCAGGAGATGGAAAATCCATTTTCCATCAGCACTAGAGTTTACAAGTATCCACTTAACCAGCTGTGTTTTGTCCCATTGATCCCTTTTGTGTTTAAGTGTATGTTGTACATACTGTATATACTAATTACTGGGGGAAAAGTGTACTAATTACTATAGGGCATAGAATCCACAAATCGCATTATCAGGAAATATTTGATTGCTCCATGCATGGATTTTATAACGGGATGATTTGTGCATGGATTTTTTAGAGGACAAGTTGGAGGGTGGTTTTCCAAAAATAACTGAGGTTGTCTATCTGTGTGAAAATTGATTGTGATAAGGTTCACATATTGTCAGGATTGGTTTAATTCTAACTCATGAGACTTGTTAAGTGAATACAGAAAAGTAGATCTGAAGAGCATGATAACATTGAAAGAATGGAAAAAAGCTGACTTACGAGGAAAGAAAAAAGGAGGTAAAGGAAGAGTAGAAAACGGGAAGACCGTAAAAGTGGGGCAATTGAAGAACTTAAAAAAAAAAAAAAAAGATTTCAGAGGAGTGGACCTCATCCGATGTCATACTCCCCACCTATTGCAACTTCTATGATCATTACAGAATACAAAACTGAACTGCCACAGCGTGAATAAACTTTCAAGGTCAGATTAAGACGTCATTCGAGCATGAGATCTTCTGCATCTTTGCCAGGACAAAGACTGCTTACATATTTGTCTGGCTATGCCGAAAGAATGACCGAAGACATTAGATATGGGTTTAATCAGGCCACAATTTTATTATTAGATGTCTGGGACTAACCTGGCAGATAAAATGTGCAGTGCAGGTGAAACCCCCACAATTAACGGAGCGGGGAAGGGATATTTGTGACCTAAATAGGGAGGGAGGGTGGGTGTTGCCTAGCTTGCTCTGAGTGACAGGGCTGCCCAGAGGATTCAGCGGGCCTGGGGTCTTCGGTGGGGGTCCTTCCGCTCTGGGTCTTCGGGGCCCGGCGCTGATGACCCGGAGCGGAAGAAGCAGCGGCGGGTCCTTCACTCTGGGTGTGTTCGGCGGCACTGAAGGACCTGCTGCCGAAGTGCTGCTGAAAACTCTCTTGTCGGGGGCCCCTGAAAACTCCCTGTGGGGCCTGGGGCAAATTGCCCCACTTGCCCCCCCACCCCCGGGTGGCCCTGCTGAGTGATGAGGGAGGGTCCAGGCCCAGGCTGACCTTTTTAAACTCCTCATTCCTAGGTGGTGAGTCATCCACCACGCTGACTGGTTTTCGAGCAGTTTTATGTCTCCCCTCCTCCCCGCAAGCCAGAAAGCATTGCCTTCTTCTCCTGGCCAGCCAGACAAGCCTTGTGCACACCCGCCTCCACTGCTTAAAGTGCAGGGCGGTGATTATCACAGTAAGAAACTCTGTGAATAATGACAGTTTCTCTACTTTGTTCTGTGCTTTCCACAGCTTCCTTCACATGGGGCTCAGGGATTGCTGTCCAGGACACTGATCCAGCAAGAACCTGTTCTTCACTGGAATGTGTCCACACTCCGCTGATAAGCAGTTAATAGGTTAATGCCCCTCTGCTTTTTGATGGACTCAGTGCAAAAATATACTGCTCTATAAGCTTTAAGCTTTAAATAGTATGTAACCAGTCACTGGCAAAATTTGTTGTTCTGCTCGAAACAGGTTTGGAGTAACATAGTTAATTCTGTAGTTATGTCAGCTAAATTGTTTGGCTTCTGCCTATCACCTAAATTGGCAAATAATTTTGTTTATTCCCCTGTAGCACAGATGAGACAAACCATGTTTGATTAACTGGTTTGATTGTTCATCTTTGTTCTCATCTGTTTGTGCACTATGACATCCCAGAGTATGTTGCTCCTGACAGACTGACAATATACTGGACAAACCGTATGGAATTAAGATAAACTTCACTGAATTAAATTAAATCTTATTGAATTAGGTTTAATATCTTTGGGGTCCATTAAAAATGCAATTGTTTGTGTTATTGTATGTGACTTCTAGGGAAGTGATTAATGTAAATATTAGAAACTCCAAAGAATGGTTTGGGAAAAGATGTGTGAAGTGGGTTTCCTAGGAGGTATTTGGGAGGCCTGTTGAAGCTACACCCTGGGACAGACCCTTTATCTATTGCTGGAAACTCCCAATCAAAGACCCCCAAACTGTATAAAAGATAGACTAAACTTTTCGTGAGGGTGCATGATCTGAGCAGAAGCTGTGATGAACTGGAAACTACAGTGAAATCCCTCGGGTGGGGTTTTGAAGGGCTGTTCCTCACAGAGCCAATGTTAGGTTTGAGGTGATACTTGGTAAGCTTATTAGCATGTGTGTAGAGTCTTTTATTGTTTTAATGTTTTCTTTATAGTGCTTTCACCTTAAGAATGAAATCGGTTTGCATGAGAAGCGCTGTGTGGTATCTTACATTTTTTGGCAATCACTCTCTTATTAGCCTCTGAAGAGAAGGCAAGTGAAGCTTGCTTAGGCAGCCTATCTTTTGCTGAGAATAAAGCAGTGTAGGCTGGGAACGGTTAATCATGGAGATACTTTGGTCAGGAAGGAGAGAGACATGGGTCTCCACCCAAGAAAGGCAATAGCTAAGGAGCTTGGAAGCCTGAGAGTGGATGTCCTTGCTGAACCACTAAGGGTGCAGTTGCCCTGAACTGTGACACAACTCATTGGCCATGTTCTCCAGGTGCACTCTCCCTTGCTGAAGCAATGAGTGTCCAGACCTTCAGAATGGACTGATAGAGAAAAGATTAGGGAACTTGATAAGTGCGGATGTGAAAAACATAGCTGTGTGCACAAACTGGACCATGTTAGGTAGCAATCCCTCTAACTGTTTACAAGTACAAGGAAAAATGTGGGCAGGATTCCCTGGCCTTTGTGGTAGGAACCCCATGATTCCTTGGCTGCAGAATTGTGCGGTGGAAATGTGGAACATCTAAGATGTCCATTTTAGAGTAGAAGTGTCTAGCTTTCATGGGAATGACAAATTTTTTTTAAATATGAATTAATTGAGATGTTTTCCCAAACTTTCAGATGAACTGAACCTATAATTGAGGAGCATGAGCTATCAAATTAATCTTAGTCTCTGAAGTATATTATGATGACAGTGATTTTACATGTCAAAATCATTTTTATAGATTATTTTAGCAAAAACATCTAGCTGGCAGGCTTACTTATCTACCATTATTGGATGGAATGGGAAAAAAAAGTAATTTTGACTGGTTTCTGTACCAAGGGTCGCTGGGGTGGAGAACTGGTCACCTAGGCAACTCTTATGCTATTCACCCCGCCCCCCTCTTCCCCATTGCCCCTAGTGTTATCACCTCAGACTCTTACTCATAAAGGAAAAAGTAAAGACTAACAACACTGCTTAAGCAAAATTAGTGCTCCCTGCCCAAAGCCTCAGCTGCTTTCTGTGCCCAAAATAATGGGGCCTCCCTTCTTTCACCCCTCTGACTTTTAGTCAGGCACTTTTTCCTTTTAGCTTGCTTTTGCTGCTGTTCAGACTCCATTACTAGTACACTTTTAAAGGTGATGGGGGAGAGAGAGACACTTAAAGAAGCAGAGAGATCTTTCAGCAGATGAAAATTTAAAACTAAATTACTAAGCAAAGGACTTTTTTTCTGTCCACAATTTTTTTCACGCTAGCATTAATATAGGTTAAGCTTTGCAAAAAATGGAACAGTATATCAAGATTTTTAAACAGAGAAACAGATTAAAATACAAACTAAACAGAAATATAAAATTGTTAAGCTTGTACATTCGCTTTCCAATGACTGTGCTGGGATTTTTTGCAACCGTTTTATTCAGTAAAAGGCATGCATCTGTGAAATTAGTAACAAGCAGTGTTGCTCTTCAGTTGGGCTTGTCATCCAGAAGTGGATTCATCAGGCATCTGTCTCGACCTCTTACATGTATACCATGATCTGTGGATCGACACTTGCCTATATATTCCGTAGTTTTATCTTTGTACTAAGAGTAGAATTCTGCTCCATGCTAATCAGAGGAAAACATCTAATTTACATAATGTTCAGTAAACCCTGTTTCCCAGAGGATTAGTTCTTCCTTCTAAACAGGATGTTTGGGTCTTAATTTTAAGCTTTATTCTCAAGAACTCAGTTTGATAAATGGCTAATTAGTCTGCTTTGTGTTAGTGATAAATTGTGTAAGCCTTAGCAATCTATCATTTTTAGAGCAACGGGCTTGGTGTTTCTAAGTAACAGAAATATATCTTTGTTTGCGAGATGGGTTATTGCATATTAAATATCCCTATTTGACTGTTAGCTTTCATTAATATAGTCCAGCAGACAGGATATATGATGAAATACAAATATTGTGAATAGAAAGCTACCTCCTATTAAATTACAAATTAGCTTTACAGAGGAAGCTGGGGAACGGAACACTTCGAAGAAATTTGTTGTGACAAAATCCCCTTCTGGTAAAAACATGATTTTTTTAATATCTGGTTATCTTTCCAATAAAGAAGCACTTGTGTAAACTATTCACTGTATTCTAGTAACATCTAGTAGGCAAACATTGATGCATTTTCGTCTGAATTGTAGTTTGTTCTTAAAAAGGGGGATATTTGGGGATAAATATGATTTGCATTTTGTTACGTATACTGTATTCCAATACATTTCAAGTGCTTCCCATGACTAATTTTCTTTTTTTGGAGTGATATAAAATACATGTTTCTTTTTCCAAAATAAAATTGCTACAACTGTACTTAAACCATTCACCTAATTTTGCCACCTTGTGATATTTTTAATCTAAAAGCTGTAGTAAAAAGAATATAATGCAGTTTTCATACATACAGTCATTTCAAAAGGTATTTGAAATGTGGGAACATGACCAAGATAGACATGAAAAGTAGCTATTTTCAGAATATGCAGGAAAACAAGAAACAGAGTTATCAGTACCTACCGAAATGCTCATACAGGGAGACTGTGTAACGCAATATAAGGGCCAAAAGCATCTGACTCGCCTACTGATAAGCTTGTTTCCTTCATCTCCTAGTTGTGGAAGCTAGTCACAACCATATTCAGAAAGAAGAATCCTTTGCTACAAAGGGGATAGCAAGTCATGATTTCAGCTTTGTTACCTTTGACCTGCTGTGGTTGAAAAGTGTATGCTGAGGCCTTTTTTTCACCTGAAGGAACAGGAGCTGCCTAGGAGTGGACTCCATATCTCTTGAGATGTTTCTGGGCTATGTGGCACACTTCTATATTCCAGTCTTGCAATGAAATGGTGGTGACTGAGTTCTGTTAATTTCTGTTGGAAATATCTTCTGTACAGACAGCATTTACAGGCCTAACTTGAAGTGCATGTAGTTCTGCTGCCTGGGATTACTGGTGTAGTTCTGGTGGTGCTGGAGAGATCTGCTACTTTGCACGCAATAGAGCAGTTGTTGTAGAGCAGCTTTTCAGTGTGTAAATGGATTATTTGTGATGCTTGCTGTTTTTTTGTTTTTACCTTCCGATACTCTGGGATTAGCCATGGATTGGTTACCCACAGGTCATAAGCGGGGCAGTTGGTTAATTGTTTCTACGCTGAATACTGTATCTGCTTTTCTGAGACTCTGCTGCATTTACATATGCATAGATCCATGTTGGATTCTTCAGACTCATGAGTATGGAGTACGTGTAACTGCACTACTATTGCATAAGAAGTGTTACACTCAGGTTGCATATCAGATGGTATTTTAAACCAAAAAAAAAAAAAAAATCTAGAGCGTCACTGTGTTTTATCTCCAGTGTTTGGCTTTGATAGTTTTGGAACTGAGAGAAGCTCAATTGAATTAAAAGTTAAACCCTGGATTAAAGATAGAGGGAAAACTTAAACAGAAGACTTGGTTGGAGTGCAGCAGTGTAAGAGGTAAGGAGTTCTAAATAAACTGCTGCATTAAACTTCTTCCCATCTGATCTGCAAAATGACAGTGTATGAACTTGAAACACAGGCTCAGTTTGACTCAATTAAAAGCTCACTAAGAACTTTCTACACAGTAGTAATCAACACAGTCAAAGCCTCATAAAGTTAAATTGTCTCCAATTGCAGGATCAGCTGAAAAGAGGAGTTCCTTCTAGCAGTAATCAGCCTAAAAACTACCAGTATAGTAAGTATGTTGAAGAGTGTATTTGGATACAGCAGTTGTGAGTACTTTGATGTGCTTAAGGTTTTTAAAATAAAAGTTGGGAATCGATTTTTGTGATAATTTAAAATGGTCTGTTAAACAAGACCTGTGATAATGCTTGTGATTGTAGAGGGAGAGGAAGATAGGTTGTGCAATATTTGGTTTGTTTGCTATATAAAGAAGACATTACAAATTTTATCCATGGTGTCATCTCATTCTCCTCCACTTCCCCCACTTTTTTTGACATTAGAAGTTACGGATACTGTTTATCCTATTTTCATAAATGACTAGGCACTACTGTAGAGGCAGCATAATAGGACATCCTGGGTGCAAGGGGAAACCTGAAAAATGAGGCAGCTGAATACAAGACTCTTCCTTCAAAAACAATAAAGCTTAATTCAAAAGCTTAGAAAAAACAGTAAAATGATTCTTGTTAAATATTTTCCTTTTGTACACCAACAGTTAAGTCTTGAAATAGCTCCCACAAAATTCTTTGGTTCTCCATGGACCAGCAAAACCAGGAAAGTCAGGATTTGATATTCCTGAAATAAGGGTGGATTTGATTTAGTCAGGAAGACTTGATTTAATCATGGATTTCTACATAAAACTGCATTCTTTTTGGTTGTTATAACCTTAATACATATTCTTCACAACTCCGAGAGAGATGTAGGTTTCATTTTTAGAAGGTACACACTATGCATTTTTAAAGTGATTTATATTGAAAACTTTTTAGATTAGTTTTACAGCTATATCAGAAAATGAATGATTTTTTTGTTGTTTCATTTACCAAAGGTAATTGAAGCAGATATTTATGAAGTCATTGGGAGGTGAACTATCTCCAATTCAATAGGTTAATCATTAATATTTGGAGGATTTTCATGCCATGCTGTATTAGGAGGAGAACGTCACCAGACAGACATTTAAATTGTTTTATTTAACTAAAACAACATTATGTATTCTGGATTTTTTTTCTTTATCAGAAACATAGAATATTTTAACAAAACAAGCATATGAATTTTTGAATTTAGTTAAACATTCAAGTTTTTTAAAATCAAGTTTGTTTTTGTTAAAATTGTTTTTAACGAAAATAGTTAAATGAAATATTAAAAAAAAATTAAATCAACTATGTCAGCCAGGTCAACATGAGAAACTTAAAATACTGGCTTCTGCAGCTAACTCAGTCATCTTTACCTGTTTACTATGTTTGTTCATAATCTGGAAAGAAAAACAAGCGTTCCTGCTTTTTCAAGTCCCAAATGATTTCTCAATTTGGAATGAATTAGTCCAAAGGAAGAAAATAGTCTCTCTACACCGGCAGAAGAAGCTACTGCTGTTAAAAGTGAGATTATCACTTCAATTGTCTCTGAATCCAAGTGCTTAAGTGACTTCCTCCAGTTCACTGGTGTGACTTTCTTTAAAACATCATCAGCAAACAGATATTTCTTGACTGGTTCACCCTTACCTCTGAAGTTTATTATAGCTGTCATTATGGAGGGATGATTGCTGGATGTGCATGTCGTAGCCAACTCCTCCTCTTCAGCAGTTAAGGTTTGACCCTGGTACTGAGTATTGAAACTATTTGGAAGAAAATGAGCTGGAGATAATGCTTTATCCCATTCCTTTTTTTAATGCTTGTAATTTAACTCTGTCATTGCCTATTTTTCTTTTTAAGATCTCACTCAGTTCCTTCCAAATTTCAACAGCATCAACAATAAAACAGCTATTTCCCTGCATTTTGTTCAAGGCTACAGAAGTAGGCTTCAGGGAACTCGGCATGTGTTCAACATTTCTCTTAAGCCCAACGTTGAGCACTTTGGCTGTGACAGTGACATCTGTTTTTTCATGATTTTGTTCACAAACTCATCAGATTAGGCCTCTTCTTGATATAGTGCTCAAAACAGTCCACTACTGAGTTCCATCGTACGTCATATAGGAGAGTTCGCTTGGTTCCTCCCACTTTTTTCAGAGCAGCTGCTGCAAAGTGGTTCTTACGGAAGTATTTTGCAATTTCAACATCATTAGCCTTTATTTCTGGAGCACTGAAGCCTTTGGCTAGGAGGTGCATCAAATGACCACTGCAACTGTATGTTGTTAGCTTGGGACACTCTCTTCTAAATAATTTCTTCTCATCTTGGATTCATTCGCAGCATTGTCTGTGACCAAGCTGTGTACTGGACATTTGAAATTTTTTTTCAGTTTGTTATTGCTTTTACTGCTGCTACTTGTAAGTATTCTGCTGTGTGTGCATTTCCTGATCTATCAATTGTTTCTGTAAGGAAGACATTCTCTTCTTCTTTTGTCACGCAAGCACATACAACAGGATCATTGTGGACATTGCTCCACCCATCAAGACTCAAGTTAACAATTTTACCCTCTAGACCTGCTCAATTTCTTTTTCATACACTTTGCCTGTGACATCTGCTCTGTTGGGTGGACTGTATCTTCTAATGACTGAACCATGTTAATGAAGTGTTGGTTCTCAATCATAGGGAAAGGAGAGTTGGTTGGATAAACAAACTAGGCAATTTTTTCATCAATTACCTCTTTCTGTAATCTGCTGGTTCTTGATGGAGATTTTTTTTTCCTTTTTGCTACAGGTGCTATACTGTGGTCATGTGACATACATGATGTGACCGAAACACTATCTGTGACGGGTTCGGTCACAGAGACCCCCTTGGGACTGTCACCTGACTCCCTCTGAGCCCGTTTTCTCTGCCAGTTTGGGCCTCCAGAACCCTGTGTTGTTGAGCCAGATACACTAATCTGCTGCAACACAGACCCAGGGTCTGACCCATGCCCCCAAAGCTGCAGAATTAACTGAAAATGGCTTAGCAAGTGCTCCTGTCTCTAGTACCCAGACACCCAGATCCCAATGGGATCCAAACCCCAAATAAATCCGTTTTACCCTGTATAAAGTTTACAGGGTAACTTCATAAATTGTCCGCTCTCTATAACACTGAGAGAGAGAGATGCACAGTTGTTTGCTCCTCAGGTATTAATTACTTACTCTGAGTTAATTAATAAGCAAAAGTGATTTTTATTAAATATAAAAAGTAGGATTTAAGTGGTTCCAAATAATAACAGACAGAACAAAGTAAGTTACCAAGCAAAATAAAACAAAACACACAAGTCTAAGCCTAATACTGTAGGAAAATGAATACAGGTAAATCTCACCCTCAGAGATGTTCCACTAAGCGTCTTTCACAGACTAGACACTTTCCTAGTCTGGGCCCAATACTTTTCAGACCAACATTGTGGCTTATGGTCTGGGTCCAGCAATCACTCATCCCCCCCCCCACCTCCGCCGTAGTGACTGTCCTTGGTTTTAGTTTCTTTCAGGCATCTCTTTGGCGTGGAGCCAGCTGAAGACAAAGTGGAGAGGCTTCCAGGGCCTTTTATATTCTCTCTCTTGTGGCGGAAACCCCTTTGTTCTTCTGTGCAAAGTCACAGCAACAAGATGGAGTTTGTAGCCACCTGGGCAAGTCACATGTCCATGAATGATTCAGCTTTTGGCAGGCTGGCGCCATTGTTTACATGTTAATTTGAACGTTCCCAGAAAAGCTCAGATGTGAATTGGCATCTCCCAAAGTTCATTGTCTGTTAAATAAATGTTCCTTGATTGGGCACTTACTGAGAATCATCCTTTCTCAAGAAGCTGACCAAATGCTTCTTAGAATCAAACACACTGAGATACAAGTACATAGCCAATATTCATAACTTCAAATACAAAAATGATACACACATACAGACAGCAAATTACAACCTTTCCATAGACACCTTACTTGACCTCCTTTGTACAAGGTTTCGTGCAACGATAGGATCTTGGTTGCAACAATGATCTATATGGTCACAGTTCATGTCAATAACGTCACACTTTCATTGGCAGATAACTCTGAAACTATAGAAAATGATGGTGAACTTGAAGGTGGATAGTCTTCAGAATCCTGTATGTTGAGGATGGATTCTCCTAAATAAAATAAGTCAGTGCAGTTCTTTAATGATTATTACCGTACTTCTCATTTAGTATTACTCATTGCATTCACTGACACTCAGTACTACTTTAAAGGTGAAACTGTAAAAGGAAGATCTGCCCATTTCAGCTATTTATTTTTCATCACAACTGCATCTAAAATGATAGTACCATAGAGTAACAACTATATTTTTTGCTGAAAACATGAGAATTCAAGAATAGTCCAGAAGGAAGACAGGCAGTCCTTAAGAAAGAAGTATGAAGGAAAAAAAAATGATTACCAACCTGAAAATCCTTCATGTTCAGACATGTTCCTTTCATCATCTTCAACGCAGCTTCCTCCTGAGAAGGAGCACTTCTCATGAAGATGTTTCATTCTGGCAACCAGGTCTTGCGTTTCTTTGTTGCACTGTTTGCATTTTGCACGCATGCCTGTCTTACCCAGAGAAACTTCATCAAAATATTCCCAAACTGGGTCTCTTTTACGGCCTGCCATTATAGGTTTTCCCTTTTAGTGGGAGAATGGCATGGTAGATCTCAAATCAAAGAAGGCTACACTCAGAAAGACACTCAGAATTCTGGAATATGCTGCTCAAATAGTTTCACTTTTGTTTCTCCTGCCTGTCCCTCCCTTCTCACATTTATCTCCAGACTTCTTCTTTTGCAGATCTGTTCCTCCCCCAGCCATCTTCTGTTCATTGAACTTTTTGAAACTTTGCACTTTTCGAGAGAAGTAAGGGATTGACCCTGTGTACACAAATTTGCAGAGGGACAATAGGGTTGAGGTCTGTTATTTCTCACCTCTATATTAATTTATTTATTTCAAAACATTTTTGCTGTTAACAAGCATGTTATCTCTGGAGACACAAATCCCCAGTTTGAGAACTGCAAAACTAAGCATCTCTGATGGTATCTTCTAGACTGAGCACTGAGTCCCATTGGGTAGATAGAAAGATAAACCTAAATAATCTATATAGAAGCCCCTGGAACCCCATAAGATTGGGTCCCTAATCTGTGAACTATTGGAACTCATTTACAAAACTTTTCTTAAAAATTACATGAATATATTGTCTCAATATATAGAACTAGAATTTATAATCCCTCTTCATGATGAGATATCTTTGCGCTAGAATGTATCTTAATTAAAACAATCTTTAGATAGGTTTTTCCCTAAAAAAGCATTTTTATCAAAAAAATCTGATTTTTATTTTTTTAAAAAAATCATCTATTTTTATTCACCCTGCCTGAAATTTAAACAAAATATAAACCTTTAAAATAAATACATACCTTGTCTGTACATTATGATGAAGCAAAAAGGGGTACAAATGCCCATCTTCCTTCTTGAAGAGTTAGCTTTAATAAAGCTAATCTTCTTTTAAATGTATATAGTGATTAGTAGAGTTTTTTATAATATCAGTAATTAGACATGGATTTAAGACATTATTATGCCATTTAAGCATGGACTCCTGCTTTGTGTAAAGTGTTCATGCTGAAATAGTAAGGTAGTTGGTATCTTAAAAATATTAGAAAAAGGACAGGTTGCGAACTTGCTGATAGAATCTCTTCAAAAGAGATGTGCTGAGCCAAATTAGCTGGGTTGTGGATGTGATAATCACAGTACGCTTTTCTGTCTTAAAACAATAAAAAAATGAAATTATATAAAACCGCTGAAATGAATGTAACAAGCTATCTTAGTCAGATGTCCTCAGAGTGAGACCTGTACAAAGGTTCTAGAAATTGACCAAATAAACATTTTTCATTTTTCTTATGTTAACATAGTAAGTGGTGTATTATGTTGTGAATGTTGTCCTTGTACTGAATCCCTTCAGTGTTGTTTAAGGAGATCATAAAGAGCAGTGTCGGCTTCAGATAACTTAAGTAACTTGATAAATCCATTACAGACAGTACTGAGGAATGAATCCATCTTCGTTTTCTCCTCTTGCACCCCAAATTTGCCTCATTTGGTTTAAAAACACTTGCTCATTTCCTTAAGTGTGAAATGATCAATTTTCCTTCTATGTTCTAATCTGTCTTGCGAACACTAGGTTTGATGGAGTATTTTTGGTCTCTTTCTCCAGACATGCTATAGTGTTTCCTTCTTGGTAGCCAATACTGCAGTCATCATTTTCTTTTATGGACTCCTCATAGAGTTGATTTGTTTATCACAGAAGCATCTGCCATAATGTGTAGCTTTAATGCTCATAGTTTCCTAACAGCACATTTCTCCTGCAGCTGATTGAAAATAAAAATAATCATTTTGTTGTCATCATTGTAATAGTTTTGAACTGACACAGTCAACTTAAATAATATTTATCTGGAATGTTCACCTACTAGTTAAAGGTAATGCAAGATTAACAATTTGTGCAATGTTTAAGATGAGCATCACCTGCTAGAACTTTTGCTCTTGCTATTTTGGCATAAATATTACACTGTTTTTCTGTAAATATAAAATTTAATAATTGATTTAGGTTCAAACTGTAAGTCTTAAACAGATCTACTACATCGTATTGGGCCCTGTTGATTAGGGATATCACAGAATGCTTCAGAACATCACCAGTGGCAGAATTTGTGTGGTAGTAGTTTTCTTTACTCGGTTTTACTAATTTTGGCCAATCAGAACCATAGTGTTATACATGTTTTGTATCTTGAAGTTTTTAGGCCAGTATCAGCCTCTGCAAAACTCTACATCAACCCGCATGCGGAAACTGAATTAAAAACTCCAAAGCTTGATTGGAATATAGAAGTACAGAATATTGCCATTGAACTCACTAAGCCACAGGTAAGTCACCTTGCTATTTTTATTCTCTGTTCAAGGATTATGACATTGCCTATATATATTCAACCAGACAGGTTTGTTAGTTACATTTGCATACCTGTCTAAACTACCTAATGGTAAACCTGGGAAAGTGTGGCAGCTCTTTTTGTCTGTGTTGTAACAGACATTTCCTGGTGCTGGCTAAGTGCTACCTGTGGGCTGACTGTGGGTAAGATCCCAACTGATTTATATTTAACACTTGTACATTGGCATGTTTCCCACCTATTTGAAGTGTCTTTTCTGCAGGGCTATTATATTGTTTGCCTTTGCCCCGCATAAACATAAGTTTAGCACAGTGAATCAGGGTTATGCATGCTGAGCGTTTTGCTCATATTTTGGATAAGGCAAGCAAACGACTTTTTCAGTCCAAGTTACCGTGTCTTCTAGTTTATCTTTTTGATTCTTGCCGTTTTCAGATACAGGCTTTTGTTTAGTATATGCAGACTTTATGCTAATTTATAACTTGATCTTAATCTAATTGAATTTGCTTCGTGCTAATGTACATTTTCTGTCAAGCATCCACATGAGTCTATGGAAAATTTAAGGTTTATAATGTTAAACAGTATTAATTTCTGGTAGATCATCATAGCATTAATCATCTATATAAAAGCAGGTGGTGGTGCTTAGTGGTCACATAGGACCTAGTTGCTGCATTAGTAACAATGCAAATAAGAGTGTGGTATTTGCGTGACTCTGCATAATACAATCTAATCAAGTAGGAATGGCTGTGTGCAGCAAAGAGAGGACCAAGTATTGAAAGTGATTAGTATGTTCAGGAGAGAACCATGGAGAAGAGCCACACACAGTCATATTTAAAGTTACAGAACTAAATAGCATATCATTTTTTATTTTTATTTTTTTAGTCTTCACTTTGAATGTTATGTAGAAATGTAAGCACATCATTAGGAAGATGCTAATTACAATATAAAATAGACTCTAGAACAATAATGTTCTGCAAGATTGAGAGGTATGTGTAGGAGAACTTGAAGAAACTTAAAGTTTAAGCAAATAGAATGGACATTTGAATAAAAATACAGCAAAAAGGTAAAATTTTAGTGGTTGACAATTTATTTTAAATTGGCCAAGGTGTATTTTTTTTTTAAATAATCCATGTAAATTAAAGGGGAATTGAGGAAAATGAATAACACTGAAATTGTAAATGCTGTTCACGGAAACAATTGCATATGAGGATTTTGAAGCATTTCCACGAAACATTAAACAAGAGATTAGTGTAAAGAACAGCTAGTACCTGGTGTAGGAATTTGGGCTTGATAACAAAGAATTCTTCACGGCCATGATTTTGGGGCTGTTGCATGACTGCGCTGCAACAAATTAAAAGCTGTATGTGTTTTTCAGTTTCATAGTCCTTTTCAGCTGGTTAGAATTTGGTCAAATTTTTGTGTTTAGACTGATGTTTTTCAGGTTTGGTCTAGTCCGAGGGTGTAATCTTGCGGCATACTGGCTGTATTACAGAAACAGCATGGGAAATGCAATAAATCTATATGTGGGTTCCAGTAATACATCTGAGACACACAGGATAGTGCATTGTGGGGAATGCACAGAGGGGAAGTGAGGGAAAGAAACCAATTTGAGAAGCTCTACCACAGGGAGACGAGCACACGAACTGAAATATAAACTGTGCCTTTTGATTGTGATTTACGCAACCAACAGTTTATACCGTGCGTCATGCATGTAACTCTATACTTCGTTATCCACAGAGCATGCATTTCTATATATTTCAGTAAAGACAGAAGACGATTAAATAGCTCTTTGTAATTAAATTATGTAAACCTCTGGTGGTAAGAAATAATGTTTTGTTTCATGTGTGTAGTACCTCAGTATGATTGACCTTCTGGAGTCCATAGATTACATGGTTCGAAATGTACCATACAGAAAATACAGACCAGATGTACCTCTACATAAAAATGCCAAACAGTGGTAAGTTGTATTGTCTAACAGAACTGCATTAAGATATCAGGCTTTGTACTGCATCTCCTGCAACTACTGGATCACTGAGTAATAAATGCTGTAAGCTTTCATATGGGCCATGACCACTATTCATGCTTTCTCTTAAGGATAGGACTATTTGTTACCTTCTTGATTTTACTTTGTTGTTAATATGCTTTAAAAATTGATGAGATGGTCTAGATACTACTTGTCCGATGTTAAGTTCTCACTTCTAAAGTAATGCCAATAAGGAAAACTGTATTTAAACAAGTAGAGAGGCAAGGTGGATGAGCTTTTATCTTTTATTGGACCAACATCTGTTGGTGAGAGAGACAAGTTTTGGAGCCATACAGAGCTCTTCTTCAGGACTGGGAAAGGTACTCTGAGCATCACAGCTAAATGCAAGGTGGAACAGATGGTTTAGCATAAGTAGTTAGCACATATTCTAAATGACCATTCAAGGTAGGGTGGCCTCCCCCTGCTCTCTCCCCCTCCCCCTAAAAAAATGCCAAATTTAATTCTGGAAGTAATGGTATGTTCAGAGGAATTAAACACCTTTCTTCTGTACATCATTTACTATTTGTTTAATAAAGGATCTTGGGTTCCTAAGAGTTGTATTTCAGTGCTTATTGAAGACTTGCAGGTGAATAAGCTTACCCATTCTCTTCTGTAGAACTTCCTTTGAGCTACTGGCAAAATATTGATATTCTGAACTCCAAATGTCTACTCTCCAGGAGAAATGCTTAATAAGCCAACTCCATGTTCTAACTGGAAGCTAAACAGAAAAAAGTGGGAACTTGTTATAGCAACTTACGGGGTCTTCCTTTGAATGTTTAATAGATGAGCTCTTTCAGTTATTAAGGAAGAGACTGAAGCAACTGATACAGAATGTCATAGCCAGTAGCTTTCCGCAAGCTGTTCTAAATGGGTATGCTTGTGTATTTCAGTCAAAACATGCAAAATGTTGTTCCAGCCCATTTTATTTTGAGCAGTGTGCCTATTATGCCAAGTTCTATGTTGCTGAAGTCCAATAGGTTAATTTGCAGTTGGTCATTGGATGAGACCACTTAACATGAAGAATTTGTGATGTGATTTGCTGTTGTAACATAGATCTAGTACAGTAGCAGTTCTGTTCTTTTTCCATCCAACTTAATGTTGGACTGTATTGGCAGCTTCAGCTTTACCCTATTCAGAGTGAAAATATAGTTAAAGCTTATAGCCTGGTGACTAAAGATGAGGTGAATCGGGATGCTGGTGTGCAACACTTGTGAAAATCAGACATTGGTTTCAAATTTAATTTCTTAAATTAAACAATAACTGGAAGAACTTCTCTTCTAGTAAAGGAGTACTTGTGGCACCTTAGAGACTAACAAATTTATTAGTTAGTTCATCGGATGCATGCAGTGGAAAATACAGTAGGAAGATATAATAACACACACACACACACGCAGAGAACATGAAAAAATGGGTGTTGCCGTACCAACTCTAACAAGAGTAATCAATTAAGGTGGGCTATTATCAGCAGGAGAAAAAAAACTTTGAAATGGGCCATCCTGATTATCACTATAAAACAGTTGACAAGAAGGTGTGAGTAACAGTAGGGGAAAAATTAGTATGGGGAAATAGTTTTTACTTTGTGTAATGACCCATCCACTCTCAGTCTTTATTCAAGCCTAATTTAATGGTATCCAGTCTGCAAATTAATTCCAGTCTGCAGTTTCTTGTTGGACTCAATAATCAAACCTTGATTTACTGTTTTTTTTCTTCACAATTTAATTTTAAGTTGTAAATCATAAAATGCAGCCAGAAATAATTAATGCAAATGAAATTCTTACAGGTGGAAATATGCAGCTAACAGCATTCTTGAAGTTCATATCAGAAGATGCACTCGCATGTGGTCATGGAGTAACATGAAACATCATAGGCAGCTTTTGAAGAGCTACAAAAGTATGTACAAGAACAAACTAACACAGAGCAAACTATCAGAAGAAACACGACGACAAATTCAGGTACTTGCTATTAATATGGTGGTATATTTGACAGTGGAGTAAATCTTGATATCTTTACTGATGAATATTTTAGTGTATTTTTTTTTGTAACATCCCTCCGGCCAACCAATATGTTAAATTAATTCCTCTCTTAAAGAAGAGCCTTGCTTAATAGTCACACTTGACTAAAACTAAGAGAAAATCTGGAGTCGTATTCTTTACTTCTGCTATTTTTTTTTAAACAAAAATGTTTTAAAATAATCAACCTTTTATCTAGAGAGAGCGAGAGAGTGAGAGCCTGATTCTTTTATGTAAAATGTGTGTAATCAAGTGTAAAGTCAGGAATAGTAAATGAATTTGAAAAACAAAACGTATCAAAATGAAACATTAATTTTCACAATTTGGTGTTCTAAAAGCATACTAGCCATTTGGATAGTGTCATTTTAAAAAAATATTTCAGAAATTGAGCTTAAAACTTGGGGGAGGTTGAAATTCTAATGGCTATTACTTTTTTTCATCACTGCAATTCTTGACTTTTTGTTAAAACATACATGGGAAAAGAAAGCTAAGATAATTAATTAAACTTAGTAATATAAAGTTGACGGCTGGTTGCTTTCCATACTGCAATTCTGTATGGGTATACTTCAATTTTCAGCTCCAAAGTATCAGAAAACCTCCATATTATTGTTAATATGTGGGCACTATGAAAAAGGATTTGTGAACTTCAGTTATATTCAACTTCCTGAATTATAGATGAAATGCACTCCCAACATTTATTGAACTGGAAAACTGGTTTAGTAAATATTCTGTCTTAAGTCAACTTTCACCTTCTAGTGACCTGTTGTAGAGAGATGAATTCTAAAAGGCAGAGGCTAGAAAGGAGTCTTAAACGGATTTGTGGAATGGATTACTGCAACAATTTTTTTTTAAGAGGCCGTAAGTTAGTTCATCTTACACTAAACAGGGTATTTATTTCCTTTGTTTAACAGGATCTAGAAAGAGCACTGGACATTTTCAACATCATTTTAGCAAGACAGCAAGCACAAGTTGAGGTAACAAAATAAATAAAAAAACAGTTTTTAATTAATGTTTAGTAGCAGGTATTTATGCATATGAAGTTAAGGCCTGGCTTGTGGAGATTTTCTGTCCTTCAGGAAAGAGTTCACAGTGTTTCAATGCTGTAGTCTTACCTACGTTATAGAAGCATAGAAGGTAGATGGAGAGGAGCTCTTATGTTATAATTCTTGCTTTTTGCTGGACAGTTTACTATACTATAATTTCCTAGTTTGGTGTTCAGTCTTAAATTTGTATCAAGAATTGAGACTTCTAATACTTCTGCTGGCATGGTATCCCATAGCATGATACACCTTGCTGTCTTTTTTTTCCTGCTAATACACCTAAGTATTCCCCTTTCTTTATTCCATTACAGAACTACTTATATTCCTGCATGACCTCCCAAATACTTGATCTCCATCCTTGATGTTATACACCCCAAATATGTGACTGTTAGGTCACTTTTCTTTATCACCCAGACAAGCTTATTCCTACTCAGGCAGAAATGGAAGCAATGTGAGACACACCAGAGTATGGTTAAATGCAGTGATCACAACTTAAGCTATTAAACAACAAGGAACCACTAATTGGCAGGCCTGTTACAGTGCAGAATTTAACTGAGTACTGCTAATCTTGGGTTCTACAAACCTGAGTGTGTGTGTGTATGTATATATATAGGCAGTGCCCTCTGTACATCCACTGGCCTAGCTGGAGATCCTGGCATGAAGCTGGAGTCTCAATCTATTCCCTTCATCCATGTTGGATATAGGAGAGGAGAGAGGAAGGAAATCCTATGTCCACAAGACTTGGAGGCAGATCTCCTCACTGTGCAATGTCACGTTTGGGCTCCATGCCCAAGCAGCCCATTGTTTTACGGGGTTTTTACATCTTACCCTTTCTCAACCCACCCATTGCACTGGAACCCACCACAGGGGACGACAGCAATTGGTTTATGTCTACTCTCACACTGCTGAGCAGCAAGAAAGGAATCTGTGTGAGGTCTCGACCAAGGAAATATCTGTACCATATTCTCTCTAAACAGCTCAGGAGTAGTATACTTAATTCTTCAATTAAGGAAATCCATTGTACCCCTAATTGTGGTAGTATACTTACTTGTTTCCCTGTTGACCTCTTTCCATGTCTGATTCATTATTGCTGGTCTGGCAATTCCTTGCCAACCCAGTTTTGGAAGGTTTTTTGACCAGAGGTAGGTAACACCAGGGGAGGGGCTGAAATCTGTCTGACATCTCTCTTTAACGTAATGATCAGACTAATACCTTTTGCTGTGCTTAAATCACAATGATGAATAAATAATGATGACCTGTGAAGGATAGGAACAGCCTGCCTAGGGTGGATGAACGGGGCCAGCAGGTTCCCACAACATTTTTCTCCTTCCCTGCCATCTCAGGTGGGGATCTTAATTGGAGAAGCCTAAATGGAGTCACCATGTTTGCCAGACACCTTTTTTGTCCCCAGTGAAAAATACTGTGCCCAAATACTGAGATATCTATAGGTGTGGCTTTTCCATGTGATCCTGAAAAAGACAGACAACATGTTTAATAATGAAATTTTAAATTGATGTTACCCATTTGGGGTGGCTTAATATAGGATGTAAACACTGGTCCATGTGTGCTAGCACCTGATAGATTGTATCTCATAAGCACCAGGAGGAGGCTAGGACCCTGTTATGGAACAAGCCAAGAAATGCTGGGCAGAAGCACTTCCTACTTCCCACTGTTGTGAGGGTGTAAGACAATCAGTCAGTCTGATGTGACCCCACACATACAATGGCGGCAGGAGTGGGTGGGATGAGCTCAGGTGCTATTAGCTACAGCCTCCCTGGGAAGGAAGGGGAGAGGAAATAAACACAATCTAGAGTTCCCCCTTGCTTTCCTTTTCTCCCACCCAAAGTGGTGGGAGGTGGTTGGTGGTGCATGTGTCCTCACTGCCCCCAGTCGTATCAGTTACACATCTCGGGTAGCAAGATGAGCACTTAGGTACTCTATGAATAAAGATTTGGCTTTCTCCAGTTTTTTTGTTCTTCGTTGTAATTGCTCCGTTTTTTAATATCTATCTTTTAACATAGTGCCCAGAATTGAACGTAGTATTCCGGGATCTGTTATACTGGAGCCATATATAGATTGTCTTGGGCTCAACAAGGAATAATGTGTTAGCAACAGCACACATCGGTTCCATGATATGATGCATTTGTATATAGGGCTTGATCTTGAAAGATGCTGAAAAGTCTGGCAGCCTGGCAAAGTATTTTTCTCTTTGCTGACTGTCCTATTGCAAAGTCTTTTCTATCTTTCAGTTTGCTATGAGTCCTCAGATAAACTAAACATAGCCTATGTGTTTATAGTGCCATAATGAGAGGAAACCATTGATGTAGTTTAAATTTTTAAGCATTTATGCTAACGGTAGCTGAAGAAATAATGTAAGATGTATCTTTAAATTGCAAGTTCTTTGGGCTAGGGACTGTCACTTAGAATTTGAGGTAATAGGGTCTTTCTGCTTAAAACCTAAAAGTGGAGGGTCTAAATATGATTACAAGAAATTAAAATGGTAGAACTATCAAGATGGATTTATAGCAAATCCAAAAAAGTATCTAAACTGTATTTTAACAGTACATAGATTTTAGGGCCAGCAGTTGTCCTTCCCTTTCTTTATCTCCCTTGCTTTAGTTTTTTTTAGCTCTCACTTGATTTGTTTGCAATTAGATTGGAGCCTCTTTGGAGCAATGGATTACAAGTAGATAAAGGGCACAACACAGAATAAATGTCATGTTAGGTAGTGAAGCATTTTTGCCCCTTTGAAATAGGGAGACTACTGTAATAAATACTTCCATCTTATGCTGGGACGTAGTCTCTGACCTCTCTCATTACTGAAAATGCATGTACATCATTTGATATATCCATTGTTTAATTTCTGGTAAAACAAAAGTTAATATGGAATGGTTCTAACATTTATGTTAATTAACTAATTATCTTTGGTTTGTAGGTAATAAGATCAGGGCAGAAATTGCTGAGGAAGAAATCTGCTGATGGAGAGAAGAAAGGTGGAGGATGGTTTAGTGGGTTCTGGGGTAAGAAGGAATCTAGAAAAAAGGAAGATGAAGAATCACCAGTTCCTGAAAGTAGGTTTGAATTTAAATAGGTCATTCTCACATGAAGCTTGACAAATAGTACTAATATTTAATTCACTTGTGGGTAGGTGACTGTCTGTCCTGCTTGGCTATAGGAAAAGAAGAAAGGTAGAGGTATGGAGTGCAGTGTTTTCTTGTGTTTAATTTTGGTTCTCTGCTGTTATATCACTGAATAGATAGTAGTAATTCAGTGAAAACACAGTAATAAAATATGTCAGCAAATAAGCTGTGGCCTCTTGTAAATGATGTATGAAAATTTCAGAAGTGCATTGTAAAGAAAAAATACTGAATTATTTATGATAGTTGTAAAAGGCAAGTAAGTATTCACTAGCAAGTTCCTCTAGTGACAGTTGGCTGTTTGGGCCAGGAATTCTTAGGGTATTGCATGGTGCCTAGCACAATGGAGTCTTGATCACAGCTGGGCTTCTCTGTGCCACTGGGGTGCAAGTAATTTCAGTGAGCTTACGTTACGTAGGTATATATCACTAGCCTGTGGTGGGGGAATGAGAGTCACATTGCATAATTTACAATCTTTTTGAGAAATACTTCATAGCAGAAACTAAATTAAGTGCCCTGGCAGCTTGTGGTGTTAAGATATATTAATTAAATTATGTTTTTCCTATACCAGTTATGGGTACTAATATGAATTTGAACACTTTTTTTTTTTTTTTTTTAGCCATTGATGACCTCATGACCCCAGAAGAAAAGGCTAAGCTCTTTACTGCTATTGGGTATAGTGACAGCTCTCACAACTTGACTTTACCTAAGAAGGTAAACTTACCATTTTTAATGAAAAAAGAACAAAAAATTTGTTGTCCTGGTATACGTCAGTAATACAGGAGTGAAGTTAGGAATGACTATATTTTGAGTGCCAATCGTTCACTGATACTGATCTGCCAAATATATATTCACTGTGAGTTCATATTCACTATATATAGACTAAAAGATCATTATATTGGGCTGTATAAATATCTGGGCTTGTTGAGATTTTGGTGTCCAATAGTCAAATGCATCCTGACAAATCACTTGCTTGATGTTACTATCAGGATGTCTTAATAAAATCATTCATGTGTGATCTTTATTCCCCAGATGATGTGCAAATAGGTAATGGGAGCAGAATGAGTTGAAAGATAAACTTGCTGCTTAAAAGAGAGGAAAAAAATAAAAGGTTTGCTGTAAATGGGGAAAACAAAACAAATTCCAACAAACAAAAAAAACCAACTAAAATAGTTTGACCTCTTCAGTGTCTCTATTTCTTGCTGAGTGTTGGAGGGAAGAACTTAAATTGGAGTTTAAACTTAGAATCCTAACATCAGTGCATTTCTATGGTAATTAAGTGAAATAAATATGTATTTAGTTCAAACGTTAGTATAGTATTGTTGATGCCTTGGGTCAATGGTTAACCAATATTCAGAGCTTGGCAGGGTGGTTCATGTTAGGATGAGAAATTGATCATATGAGTCAGGTATATACACTGTGTAATTTTGTTGGGTTAAAAATATATATGCACAAGGTGCTGTTTCCACAAACACAATAGTAACAAACAGCAGTAAGCAATTAGATTGTTCAGAAATCCCCAAGTCTGCATTCCAGCTAGTTATGTGAACAAGAAACTCACATGGCCAAAAAGCCACGATTACTCCAGGTAAGAAAGAGGGCAGCTTAGGCTAAAACCTGTCCTGGTTTACCAGTGAAGTGCAGGCAGCAATTAGAAATTAAAAAGCAAAACCCAAAAAATGGAAAAAAGAGGAAATAGTGAGTAATGAGAATAAATTAGAAGTTATGAAGTGTAGAAAATTGGTAAGGGAAGCTAAAGACCTCAGGGAGAAATCCATGGCTTGCAGGGCTAAGGACAATGAGGAATTTAAATATATTAGGAACAAAAGAAATCCTAACAGTAGTATAGACTCATTACTAGATAGAGACGGTAAAATTAATGATACAAAAAAGGCAGAAGTTTCAATAAATATTTCTGTTCTGTATTTGGAAAGAAGTGGGATAATGTACTAGAATCATAGAACATCTGCTAGAGATGAACCTTTTTAAATCAGGAAGCCCAGGTAACTTGCACTAAAGAGTCCTAAAAGAGTTGGTTGAGATCTCTTCTTTTTAATATATCTTAGAATACCTACCAAATTCCAGAAGACTGGAAGAGTGCTAATTTTATGCCAATAGTCAAAAAAGACAAACTGTGTGACCAGGCTAACAGTGGACTGACTAGCGTGACATCAGTCCTGGCCAAAATAATAGAAAAGCTGATCTGGGATGCAGTTATAAACATATTCCTATGTCAGTCAGTATGATTTTATGGAAGAGCTTTCTAGTCCAACTTGATTTAAATCTTTGAGACTACCAGTTTGGTTGATAAAGTTAACTGCGTAGATGTAATGTACTTAAACTTATATAAGCTGTTTGTCTTAGTGCCAAAAATAGTCTATTAAACAATTAGCACTACACGCTGTCAATAAAGCCCACATTAAATGAATTAAGAATTGGTTAACTGATAGATTTTAAAAAAGCAGTTGTCAGTGGGGAATCAGTATTGAATAGGGCCATTTATAGTGGAGAATCACTGCTGACAAAATTTGAAGATGTCACAAAAATTGGCAGAGGAGTAACTAATGTGGACAAGGCAGTCATACAGATGGGTAAGATGGGCCCATTCAAACAAAATGTGTTCTAATGTAGCCAAATGCAGTTATGCATCCAGGAACAAATAATGTAGGTTCTACTTACAGAATGTGGGGTTGAATCCTGGGCAGATGTAACTCTGAAAAGGATTTAGGGGTCATAGTGGACAATCAACTGAACATGAGCTGTGGCAAAAAGCTAATGGGATCCTTGGGTATGTAAACAGGGAAGTAATGAGTATGGATGTGACTTTACCTTGGTATATGGGATTGGTGAGATGGACACTGGGATACTAAGTTGATTTCTGGTGTCAACATTTTTTTAAGAAGAATAATGAAAAAATCAGAGCGAGTGCCACCAAAATAATTGGAGGGCTGGAGAAAATGTACTACCTGGATTTACAGCATATTGCTTGAGATAAGAACCTTGCAGTAAATCAGAGAGCTTCAAGTATACAAAATATTGTCCTTGGCAACTCTACCCCTTTGGCACAGAGTGGACTAGCCATTTATGTATTTTGTGATATTGTAGCTATACAGAAGTTCAGCAAGTGTTACCTATTTGAATGTGATTTTTTTTGTCCTGAAGACTTGACTGGAGATCTTAGTAGTGTAATCTGAGTTGTAACTTCTCATAAGTGAAAGAAAAACTAGAATAATTCTTGATGCTCATGAGAGATGTAAAGCAGCCTGAAACAGTAATCTTCTATGTATTTCAATGAAGTATTTACTCTCAAGATTGACCCTGAATACTGTTTCACTGACCCTGTTAACAAAATGATCAGTCGTCAAATAAACTTGCTCTGTTTGTCCCCTCAGAGGTTGGTTTGATGCTGCAGTAGGGGTTCAAAAATATACCATTGGAAGTTGTGCATAATGCAAACATAAACATGCAGATATTAACTTGGATGTGATTACTTCACTATACAAACTATGCAACATCTTAGTGAGCAGAAAGTGCATGCACATCCACCAAAAAAATTTGCAGGGCAGCATCACAAGAAAATGTTTGTACTTTTACAAGGTTGATTCTGTAAGCTTCAAAGGACACAGCCATTCTGAAAGTCTCCCAGACTCTTTGTGGCCTTAGCAGAGATAATTAAGGGACAGCACATTTCCACCCTGAGGATATCAAAATGGGTCTCAGGATGCGTTACGCTCTATGAACTAGCAGGATGATCCCCACTGGGTGGGATACGGGCCCATTCTACGAGATCACAAGCCTCAACTACCGCTACGCTCCATGACATGCCCCTGTTGGACATTTGTAAAGTGGCCACTTGGAGCTCAGTGCACTCCTTCTCTTCTCATTATGCCTTGGTGCATGTTTCGGCAAAGGGCGCTTCATTTGGTACAGCGGTCCTTCATTCAATGCTTCTGTCGTCGTCCTTGCACTCTCCTATATAGGTACTGCTTGTCAATCACCTCAGTGGAGTACAATAGGGACCATCACTCGAAGAAGAACGGGAGGTTACTTACCAATTACTGGAGGCTCTTTGAGATGTGTGGTTCCTCTATGTATTCCAAACCCACCCCACTTCCCCTCTGCTGTGGATCTGATATGTCTCTGGTGGAGAAGGAACTGGAGACGTGACTGGTCTGCCTTGCCTTTTGTTGCTTCGGGCGAAACCATGTGGCAGTGGAAGGGTGCATGCGCAGACCGACGGACACTACTGTTTTCAAAAGCTCCAGCTCCAGGGGCAAGAAGCATGCACATTACCCTCAGTGGAATACAGAACCTTCCCTTCTGTAGAATAGTCTTTCACACAGTGTGGGAAAACATTTATTATTTAATGAGGGAATCTTTGGTGGTATACTGTGGCAGTATACTCGGTGTACATTGCTACCCTCTTAATTTCTCTCTTCACACTGGTAGCCCTGTTCCTTAGGTTAGGGATGCTAGTCACGTACTCAGAAGAATGTATGGGTTACATAACTGTTTCTTTTCCATGTTTATGTATCAAGGAATGTTCAAATCCTACTTTTCTGTTTTGATTCAGATAAAGAGAAATCATTTCTTCTTGTTCTCAAAAAGGGAAAGTGTGCTCTGATTTTATGTGGATGCACTCAAACATAGGTCCCAGGAAGTAATCCAGTAACTTTGATTTACATAATCTTTCTTGCTGCTGAGACTGACATACATATATGTGTAAATTATTCAGATCATTAATCAAAATTAATGACCACACCTAGTAATTATATCTTTGAGTTGCCTGGCTTCACTGGATTTTCATCAATGTAGTATGTCTATGACTCCAGTAAAAATAATTATTGTTGGATGGAATTGATGTCTGTTCTGTCAGAGAAAGGAAATACCTCAGTAACTTTTTTTTTTTTTTAAACTTGGAGAGGGGGATGATGATTGAACTCAGGGGCCTGTAACACAGGTTTCTTTGTGGGTAACCAGGCAATATGTTGGGCTACTGAATTGGCTGCACTAAAACTATATAAAACAGTGGAATATGTGGTAAATATAAGAAAGTAGAAATTATCATGAAGCATTTGTGCAAAGACTCTTAATCTCAATTTTTTTTATCTCCCCGACTAGTATGTTGCTCATGTAATGACACTGAAGCTGTTAAGTACTTCTCTTACAATTAAAGAAGACAAGGATGTGCCAGAGACTCTTAAAGTACAGATAATTGATCTAAGCACGAAAATATCTCAGAGACCAGGAGCACAAGCACTTAAGTAATTACATGTTTGCTTTTTCATATTTCTGTGAACAGTGATCAATTATATTTTCAGGGTGCTAATTTTCACTCTGCTTATTCCTTTTTAAAATTAATGATTCTTGAACAAAGCAATATGTTGTGTATGACTCTCCTTATTACATTTTCTCAGATTTTTTACAACTTAAAACTTTTTTGTAGGTAAATGAAGTTATAAATATTGATCTTTATTTAAAAAAAAAAAGTTGAAGGAGTGAGCCGTGCTGGCTTGCTTAATAAAGGCCTCTTGTGGAGCCCTGCTTCATTCAATGTTTAACATAATTACCTTTTATTTATGCTACCCGTTCATACATGTGCAGCTTGTCTTCATTCCATATTTTGTTAAAAAGTGCTAAAAGTAATACCAAGCCTGGCTCCTCAGTCAATGCCAAATGTGCTGACCAGAGTGCCCACCCCCAGTTAAGTTGGTTATCTTGATTACTTTTAGCTGAAAAAGTGACAAATATTGCTTTGCACATAGTTCTGTTTCATCTGAAAATCTCAAAGCACTTCACAAAGGATTAACCCTGCTTAAAGCTGTGGCTGGGATGATTTAGTTGGGGATTGGTCCTGCTTTGAGCAGGGGGTTGGACTAGATGACCTCCTGAGGTCCCTTCCAACCCTGATATTCTATGATTCTATGATAAAGGGTGCCCTAATCAAATACAGAGATTTGAAATAATAGTTATGATGATGGACAACGTGGCCTGTTTCCAGGATATGGTTCTGTCCTCAAATCAGAGTTTATTTCCAAGCTCTGCCACAAACGTCCTATGGAATCTTCACCGAGGAACTAATACACTCTCACCCTTAGATGTTGCATTTGGAAAATGAACCTGTGCACACTTTTTCTAATTCAAGTTAGCATATTGGTGGTGAGAGTAGGAGAAGTAATTTTAACAGATTCTGTTTTTCCCCCCACTTTTCTTTTATGCAGAACCCCATTTCACAGAATATCTGTTTAAAATATTCTGTAATGTGTAATGTGGTTTCACTGGGCAGATTGAGGGACACACAACTAGCACTTGGCCCAAAAATAAAAAAGGAGACTTTTGAAAGTATAGTTGGCAATGAGACTTATGCTCAAAAATGTGGAAGTGATGATTTTACTAATAAAATTTCATAAAGGAAAAGGTGGATTTAATCTGCCTTAGCTATTCTCCTTTCTTTTAAAAGGTTTAAAAAAAAATCACATCTCTATGAACCTGGGCCTAAACAGACTTTCCTGTTTTAAACTCCCAAGTCTTTACTACTAAAACTGAATGAAGATCTTAATAGATAGTTGTAGAAAAACCATGTATTTTTTTTCTAAGGTGCAACCAACCAACAGAATCTCACATTCAGAAATCTGGTTCCTGTTTCCTGAAGTAAACAATAAAGACCTTCCATTGGTATCAAAGGGAGCAAGACTGGGTCCATAACTTGCATTGAAATCTGCAGGATTAGGCTCCAAACTGGCTCTCCTAAATCATTAATTACTTTTTTTCTAATCTAGCGTAAATGCACTATCTCTGAATAAGAGAATCAGTTACAAGAGAAATGTGAACCTGAATTTAAAATGAAATAAAGTTGAATGTAGATGGTAAGGACATTAAAATCGCAGGGCTTAATTTAGTCTCCTGTTGTATTCTTTTCTTTGTGTAGCCTGCATTGTCACTTAAACTATTTAGCTTCGTTTAACCTAAGGTATTTCTTTGATGCCTTTTTATAGGCAAGAATCTCCTAAAATCCTTTGGCATGCAGTTAGTCCTATGAATTTAGGATACTTCTTGAGACAGTTCTGGCTAATGATTAGCCAGCCGCCCCTGTGTCTTGTGTTCACTTACATCTTGTCTAAGACACTGTGAATTTTCCTGTTTCATGTTGGTGCAAAGTGAAATTGCAGCTTGTATTCCATTGTTACATTTACATACTCTTGAATATTCAATACAAATTGATTTAAAACAATTCTTGTCTTCTTTTACAGAGTGGAGGCAAAGCTTGAGCACTGGTATGTAACAGGACTGAAACAACAAAGTATCGTGCCTTCTCTTGTGGCTTCTATTGGGGATACCAAATCATCTTTGCTTAAAATAGTGTTTGAGACAAATCCAGAAGATAGTACTGCTGACCAGAGCCTTATAGTTGAATCACAGCCTGTGGAAATCATATATGATGCTGTGAGTAATATTCAAATTAGAAAAGTATGGGAATACCTTTTGTTCTCTCTCAACCTCATTGCCTTTCCATCTCCTTTCAAATATTGTACCAAAGTAGTTTTTCTTCCTTGCCTTAATTTTTTGCCATCTCAGTTTAATTGATATTTAATTTATATTTTGGAACGGAAGCAGTGTGTATTGGATGATTGCATATAAACTGATGCTATTTGTTTTTAAAGAGAACAATAAATGCAATGGTGGAATTCTTCCAGACAAGTAAGGGAATGGATCTGGAACGACTAACATCAGCCACGTTGATGAAGTTGGAAGAAATTAAAGAAAGAACTGCTACAGGTAAATAGATAAAAGTAACTACCATTGATAAGTGAACCCTTAAATATTAGCCAAGAGTCTGGGGGCCTTACTTGCGAGGCAGTATTAGTATTGCTGTTTGAATAAACATCACACCATGGGATCTCTGACTCAAAATTGCTTTGAGTTCTGTTTCTCTTGAGTCAATACAAAGATGAGTGATTAACCTCCAGATAGAATGCTTTCTAGCAATAAATTGAAAAATTGACTGAAAAACTTACAAGATGTTAGCATATAGAGAAGTTAACCAAAAAGATGTCTGCATTAAAGATTGATCACATTTAATCTGTAACTGCTCCTACAGTGAAAATATGACTTTTACCTTGGTATAGTATTGTTTGTTCCATGTGCCATACCTGTTGGTTACAGATGTGAATATATTTTCATCTTTTAATCTGTTCTTTTCCTTATTTAAGGACTAGCTCATATTATTGAAACACGGAAAGTGCTTGACTTGAGGATTAATCTGAAACCATCCTATCTTGTGGTTCCACAGACCGGTTTCCACAATGAAAAGTCAGACCTACTTATTTTGGACTTCGGTACGTTTCAGGTATGCAGTTGGTTTCCTCTGGTTTCATTTGAGTTCAAGATAGAGGGAAATTATACAATTATTTGTTCACAGGAGGCTCATTTTAAGACTGACAACAGTGCTGATCAGTGGTCAGACACCTTTTTGTAAACCCACTAGTATCATTTGCATCATAATCTTTGTCATAAACACATGAATAAGAATCATCCAGAAGAACTATATTTCATTCTTTGTGAAATGTGGTTCCATTTATCAAACAAGTTAAACTGTAAGAGCTATGTGATTTTCAAAGCCATATATTTCACTTGTTTATAAAGCACTGTGCACCGACATTTGTCAGCGAAGTAGTCTTCCTTTTATTTAACAAATAAGACTTAAGAAAAGCTGTTGAGCTACTCTGGAGCTGTGAAGTTGATGCTATGGTGGTGCTGTAAAGCTGAAACTTGAAGTCCTATATAAGTTGACTAATATATTGTTGTAGACCTAATGTGATATACTAACAAAAATAAAAATAAATATTACTGAACTTGCTCTATTTTCAGTTATGCTATCTTAATTTTTATTAAGGATAATGGCGTTGATATTTCTAAAATACCTCTTCTGAGGTAGTCAAACCAAAAATTACAGGCTTTAAAAATCTAGTAGTTTTTGCCTGTACAGTATTGAAATGAATAATATAGTGTGTGTGTATAAATACTGTACTTTTATTTCTTTCAATCTGTCCCACCAGTTGACCAGCATAAATCAAGGGGGTCATCAATCTTCTAGTTTTTCATCCTTGGAAGAGATTATGGACAAAGCTTATGACACGTTTGATGTGGAAATCAAGAATGTACAACTTCTTTTTGGCAGAAGAGGTATTAAAGCATAATCACTTCTTAATCAAAGAACAATAAAAATGTTTATATATTAGTAGATAGTGGTTTGTTCTTAAAATAAGTTACCTATAATGTAAAGAAAATAGAAATTAAAACTGTAAAACTTCCTTTATTTTAATATTTCCGGTATCTTGTGTAAAAATGCCCATTTGTTCTCTGGAAATCTATATTATTGCTGTATTCATTCAAGTGTTAGCAAGTAAGTTAGGGGTAGGTAACTTAGTATTCCGCACCGATTGATAGGCTCATGAATTTTTGTTTATTTGGATTAATAGACAGCTCAGACTAGCTCAAAATGTATATGATGGTCTTTTATGATGATTTACATGTGAGGACTCTTATGTTAGGAAAAATATTGTGAGGAAAAGAAGAAATCTGACGTACTGATAATGGCTGAGTTCATAGCTCTTGCTTCTGGGTTTTCAAAGTTGTAAGTGAAAATACTTCTTGGTTTTGGCCCATGCTAGATGCTGATAAAGCATGATGTTAGGGGTGGCTGTTTTCTGACCTGTGGAAATCCATGCAATATCTTGCCTATATGAACTTAGGTTTCTGCAGTTCATTAGATGGGCTGGATTTTTTAAAGTAATTCTTAAATGATTTTTCTGGATTATTTTTATACTGTCTCTTCATTACAAAATAAAGCTTGTGAAGTTTAATTTTTAAACTGGTTAATCATTCCTTCAGGTGAAGACTGGAAGAAGGCTCGATTTCAGCATCCATCTGCTTTGCACATATTACAGCCTATGGATATGCATGTGCAATTAGCCAAATCAATGGTGGAGAAAGACCTCAGAATGGCTAAGTAATGTATCAGCACTATCAGACAATTAATTTTTGCTTGGTCATTTGTTCTTATTGAAAAAGGGCTTTGTCACTGAAGCCCAGTGGGACAAGATGGAGTTTGAAGACTTAATTTTCTCCTTGTTACGGCAAAGTCAGTAGCTACATTTATAATTAAGGCTGCCTAACAGTTTATATGTTGCTTGTAACTTTGCCAAGCTTCAATCATTTGGGATGAAACTTGACATATCGAGCGTTTACAAAATTCTTAGCCTGCAGCAAAGTTTCAGCTAAAACAATGTAGCCTTTTGTGAGAATCAGATAAAGGAAAAACATCTTCTTTTGCCCATGTTAAATTGCTAAAGCATCTCTATGCTTTAGAGCATGCACTTAAGAGAATTCACACTCGTGTCAAGAATGTGCTTTTTGTCGTTCCTGTGGAAATTTGGCCTTAGTTGTGAGCCTCTGAAAAATGGCACGTGGATACTTGTTAGCATTTGGTAGCTAAATTCTCAGAAGATACTATTTGCACTGACTATGCTCCATGGTCACACAGTTCCTACTGGCCTGCAATAATCTATTCTCTGACAGGTTTCAGAGTAGCAGCCGTGTTAGTCTGTATTCGCAAAAAGAAAAGGAGTACTTGTAGCACCTTAGAGACTAACCAATTTATTCTATTCTCTGAATGATTGCACAAGTACATTACACTCTTGGTGTGGGTGCATCCCAAGCACAGTTGTCAGAAATTTTTTCCTCTGAGGTACCCTTCATGGCAGTTCAATCACTCTTCCCTGTCGCACACCTCTGTGTCAGTATAAAGAGAAAAGCCATTCCCTCCACCCCTCTGTTCCTTCTTACTTCTTGTGGCCTCATGCATATATGTAGTGTGGTGTGCCAGATTACATATCAGGATTCTACAAGGTTGGCTAGCCTCAGTATTTTTGCCAAGCTGTCACTATGTGAACACTGTGCTCAAGGGGCACCTCACATTTTAGATTCTCTAGACTAGACTAGACTGGTGGGCAAACTCTGCCAACATTTGAGAAGGAGTTAATTTGTCCTCCTGAGCCATCACTCATGCTAGTAACAGATGCATCTGCTTTAGGTTGGGATGCTGATCTGGGTTCCCCCTCAGTTTTAGGGGTTATAGTCTGCAAAAGACCTGACTCATGAGGTAAGGGGAGTTGACAACTATCTGGCTAGTGTGCCCAGTTTTTCTGTCCCATTTCAATTTTCTCAGTATCACAGACAACTCAGCAACAATGTTCTATCTCAGCAGACAAGGAGGTGGCCGCTCATCCTTGTTCTGCCAAGAAGTGCTTCTTCTGGAAGTGTAGAACAGGCTGGCAGGTGACCTAAGCAGGTCATTGATGAATCACCATGAGTTGTCTATTTATCTGGATGGAACCAGGTTCATTTTCCAGCCCTGTGCAGCTCCTGAGGTAGACCTGTTTGCAATGAGATAAAACAGGAGATGCCAACAGTTTTGTTACCTACAGGGTCACTGTCTGGGTTCCCTAATGGACACTTTCCTGCTCTCTGAAGGAGCGATCTTCTGCATGCTTTCCGATCGATTCCACCGCTTCACAATGTGCTACTAAAAAATCAGACTGCACCATGCCTGAAACATTCTTATTGCCCCAGCGTGGCCAAGGCAGCACTGACTCTCCACTGTCCTGTACCTTTCAGTGAAAAAGCTGATACTGCTTCCATTGGACCCGGATTAAATTTCATAGGACTGGAAGGGACCTTGAGAGGTCATCTGGTCCAGTCCCCTGCAGTCACAGCAGGACTAAGTATTATCTAGACCATCTAAAATCTTATTTCTCAAGACCATGGTTGTCTGTTGTCTACCTAAACCTGTAGACATCCATCGAACAGCATAGATGCTCCATGGTTAGACTCTGGGGGGCAGTTGTGTTCAAAAGAGGTTAAGATGTGCTATTGCATAGTAGAAAATGATCATCGACATCTACTTGCCTCTCTGGGTATGTCTACACAGCAAAAAAAAACCCAGCCACCTTTGGGCTTGCAGGGCTCGGGCTGCAAGGCTGTTTGATTGCTGTGTAGACTTCCAGGCTTGGGCTGGAGACGGAGCTCTAGGACCCTTCCGCCTCACAGGGACCTGGAGGCTGGACTCCAGCCCGAGCCCAGAAGTCTATACAGCAATCAAACAGCCCCTCAGCCTGAGCTGTGCAATCCTGAACCAGCTGACCAGGGTGTGTTGCAGGTGTCGAGTTACTGTATAGACAAACCCTCTAAGCAGAAGCATTTCTCTGCCTGGTCTCATCTGCCTGGAATTTTGCTGATACATTCTTCAATCCAATATATTTTGGACTATCTTTTGTACCTAAAACATAGATTGGCTGTTAGTTCCATCAAGGTCCACTTAGTAGTTATCTCAGCCTTCCACTCTTAGGTGGCTGACTGCTCTCTCTTTTCTAACAGAATATCAATACATTTTTGAAAGACCTGGAAAGATCGTCAGGTACGAGATCCTGTTCCTCATGGGACCTAAACTTGATACCGTAAAAGTTTGTTCTTTCTTTTAAGCTTTTAGCTACCTGCTCTTGATTGTCTCTTTCAGTGAAAGTAACATTTTTGGAGGCCATGACTATGAGGGTAAGTGAGCTGTGGGCCCCAAACTGCACTCAGATAAAGTTGAAAGGAAGGCTGCACATACTCTGGTTATTAGGAGAGCATTGGCATTCTACACTAACAGGTCCAAACAGTTCTCTATCTGTCTTCCCAACTCTTTGTGGTGATCACAGACAGAATGAAGGGGCTCCTAGTTCGTTCTCAGAGCATATCATCTTGGATAACTTCATGTATCCGCCTGTGCTACTATTTGTCTAATGTTAGCCTGCCAAGCGGAGTGATAGCATGTTCAATGAGATAGCAAGCTGCTTCTGCAGCCTTCCTGGCTAAAGTTCCTATCTCAGACATTTGTAAGATGGCAACTTGGTCTTTGGTGCTCATGTTTGCTTCCTATTATGCCATCACTCAGCAAGCTCGGGATGATGCCAGATTTGGGCGAATTGTCCTTTAGTCCCTGTGCAGATAGGCTCAGATCCTTTTACCTGTTTCCATGGCTAGTGAATCATCAAGAGAGGAATGCACATGTGCAATCACTTGAAGGAAAAAAACAGTTACTAACCTGTTCCATAACTATTGTTCTTCAAGATGAGTTGCGTATGTCCGTTCTACGACCTGCTGTCCTACCTCCCTGCATCAGTGTTTTTCCGGCAAAAAGAAACTGGAGGATGGCGGTGGTGACCTTGTCCTTTTATACATATATGCACAGGCATGCAAGAGCAGAGAGCTCTCGAGCTGCCCCGATGGGTACTGCTGAGGGAAAAATTTCTCACCACTGTGTTCGGGGCATGCACACGCCAAGAGTGGAATGGTCATGTACAACACACCTCGAATAACCACAGTTGAGGAACAAAGTTAGTAATTGTGTTTTTTTTTTTGCATACCACCTATTAAAATTTTCAAGGAAATCTTGTCTGAAGTGTTTTTGGTCACGGTTTCAGGCTGCAAATAATTCCTTTACATTTTTGTTTAAAAGCACAAACTGTTCTGCTGTTTACTGAACAAAAACTTTTGAACATTGTGGCAGTTGAGTGTGTTCTGAATAAAGTAGCTCTGGGTGGGTTGTCCCCACATCTTAACTTTTCCAAGAAAAACAAATATCACAAGTTAAGAGCAAAACCAGTGACCTGAATACGTAAAATGTATGTAGAGGCAGTTTTTCTGGATTTTCGGGCAAGTATCTTACATTGTTCTCCAGCCATCAGTATGGCTAACACAAAGGAGGAGCTGAGAGGAGGAGGGAGTTATGACTAGCCCCCGGGCTTCAATAGGAAGGCGGGGGAAAGGGGTTATCTGTGAAATTCAATAGTGGGGGGGGGAAATCTCCATTTAGCTTGGGTGTTTAATATAGTTTCACTGATAGAATTTTTTTTTATGGCTGCGTTAACTATAAGTATATGTACTAACAGGCCCTGACTGCAGAGGTCTGCATCATGAGCTTCTTTGCTCCAATGGTTAATGACATGCTAAAATTAAAATTTAGTAAACCTCTTAGTATCTGCTGAAAAGTTGGCTCACATGTAACTTCATTCCAATATTACACTGTTCACAAAATGCTGGTTTTTTTAATTCTCTCCCCACAGGTTTAAAGTTTCAGGAGGCCTTCCCCTGGTACATGTGAGGCTTTCTGACCAAAAGATTAAGGGGATTTTTGATCTGATTGATAGCATTCCGTTTCCTCAGATGTCAGCCATGTCAGTTCAAAGCACAAAGGTAAACTGACTAGGATAATGGTAAACTCGAACTAAAACATGATAGTATAACTGCATAAAACCACTTTTAGTGAGTGCATTCCTTCATTTAGTATTTATGGAAAGCCGATATTAGCAGGTAAGAGAAAGCTACAGGATATCTGAAAAAAAAATAAAGTAATATGTTCATGTGTTGCTGTAAATGATGATGAAGATAGTCTTCAAAGTCCACTTGAGCACACACAACTAGTCTTATTTGAATAGGCAGTGTATATGTTGACTTGAAAGCTCAAATTAAAATTTGAGTCTTATCCACAGATTTTATTTGAAAAGCAGGGTGGATTTTCATGAGAATATAAATGAACATTCTGAAGTCATAAAAAGTTATGGTAGATTAGTTTCTGTACTTGGCTGTTTTTTTCTAGGTACCTGCTATCCCCACGGTTACTGATGTGAGGAAAGGGTTACTTGACACGTCAATATTGCTGGAAGGAGTAGAGTCAGGTAACAAAATATTTATAACTATTTCTAAAAGTAAAAAAAACTATTGTCTATTTAGCAACAAAACTTTGCTTGGTGTTTCTGATCATGAAATGAGTGTCCAGTGGACAATAAATACCTGTGCATACCTATGAATTGCAAAATTTAAGGCGGCCTTGCAGATCTTCCTGATAGTATCTTAAGACACTAAGCTTGCTTTTTAAAAATAAATAATTAGCCTTTTTTGTTTAGAAAATAGCTTTCATAATGTAAATTAGTGTATGGGAGGCTTTCCTCATCTGAGATCAGTCATTCAATGGGCTGTTACTTGTGGTGTCTGGATCCTGATTGTCACAACTATCTTGCGCTTGTAATTACCATATTTAGAAAATACTTACACGAAGAGGCCTCAAACACAGGTAAATGCAGAATTGATAATGACAGACAAATCAGTATGTCAAGGTACTAGCTGTTGCAAAGAGAACATTTGCTTGTTTTTATATTTGGCTGTCAGTGCCACAGACAGCATAAAAATATTACATGTCTTTATTTCCTAGAGTCTGATGAATATTTTGATGCTGAAAATTCTTTTTCACTAACTGAAAAGGCTCTACCTGAGGGACATGATCTAAAAAACAAAACAGAGGCTATTAATGAGGAGTTCATAGACCTTCAGTTGAAGTTTGAAATTAAAGAGGCATGTGTTTTACTCTTCTCTCTTCAAATTGCATTACTCTCTCTTAATCTGAAGGCCATTATAAAGCAGTTATTATATGATCCATTACATGTCAAAGTGCACCCCCATTAGTCTTATAAACAACACGTTGATGAAGTGTAATCTCAGAAAATAATACATTTACTTTAGCACCATAATCCAGCAAACTTCCATATGTAGTAACTTGATAGTGATGCCACGTATGAAGGAGGAAGTTGAAACATCAGGAGAGTCATTAACAAAGAACCAACTCTAGGAGTTTGATTCTGCTTTGTAACAGCAAAATTCTACTGAAAATATTGGTTCACCAAGAATTAGAAATGTTGTGTTCCCCCCCCGGTTCCATTATGCTTCAAGTAGTTCAGATCTTGACAGCCCACCTTCATTTTCAGACTCTTGTGCAAGAATGCTAGTTGTTAAGGAAAATAAGACAGTAAAATTAGCAGCAATTTTATTTTCCTCTTTCTGATTAATAAAAAATGGAACATCAGATATGAAAAGAGATACCACTCTATTACTGACATTTGTGTAATTCTCATTCATGTAGGTGGTTTTAGAACTCACAAAGCAACAAAAAATAGAGGAAACAATACTTGTATTTAATGTAATGCAGCTCGGAACAGAAGCTACAGTCAGAACATACGACTTAACAGCTGTATCTTACTTAAAGAAAATCAGCTTGGATTACCACAAAATTCAAGGTAATGAAAATAATAAAACAAAATGGAGGCTAAAAGTAATCATGTCTCTGCTTAGTAGACTGCATAGTTAAACCTTTTTGTATCAAGGTTTCGACTGCCTACCCTACGCTTTCAGAGAAAAGTTCTACAGTATGACACTTAGGTTTGATATTTAGAATGAGCCCCTTCTCTTTTGAGGCTGCGGTTGTGTGGGCCCAAATAATGGAACTTATGTGCCGGCACAGTTGATGCCATTAAGACATCCATCTGGTTTTCTGTGCTTATCTAGTAAATGAGTAATTTAGATATCTAAGTTGTAGTTGCAAAATGGTGGAAGTCAAGTTTTAAAAATCTGACCCTTACCCTTCGACACGCATCCAAATTTTTAGGAAGATACCTAGAACAGGAAGTCAGCTTTCTTAGTAATACATATGTGGCAATGTATCTGTTGAAGAGTGGGAAGGGGGTTAATTTAAATTTGGTCCAGAGAAACAAGACGTGGTAGCCTAGCTCTTGCTAATTCAGGGAAAATCAAATCAAAAGATGGAATCTTTGTTACAGGCTAATTCATGAGATTATCCTCCGGCATTATGATTCCTACTATTTAGTCTCCAGTGATTCTTTTACATACCTTACGTGACACCATGATTGAAGCCAAGTAAAATAATCACAATTATTAACCATGGGTGTTTTATTATTAAGGAAAAGAAAACTTTAAACAAAACAGACAAATGACAGAACACACTGATAAATGAGCTGTTTTGGTCAGTCTAGGTGCACAAGTGCATGCTAGCCCAATTCAAGCCCTAGAAGAACTTCCATAGATTCATACATGTTAAGGTCAGAAGGGACCATTATGATCATCTAGTCTGACCTCCTACACAACGCAGGCCACAGAATCTCACCCACCCACCCACTCCTGCAAAAAACCTCTCACCTATGTCTGCGCTATTGAAGTCCCCAAATCGTGGTTTAAAGACTTCAAGGAGAAGAGAATCCTCCAGCAAGTGACCCGTGCCGCACACTACAGAGGAAGGCGAAAAACCTCCAGGGCCTCTTCCAATCTTCCTGATACTTGTTCATTAATGATTTTGGTGTATACTGTATATTTTGTCCATGTTACTGTCTTTACTACTGTACAGATAAAGAAAGGATTCAGTATTGAGATATTGAAGCAGAGCCTATTCCATCTGTCATGATTTTTTTTTTTCCAACTGAATGCTTTGTGAAACATTTTTCAGGGGCACATATCAACATTAGTCTCCAGCACACATGGACGTCTAATACGAGTTTGGCACCTACCTTTTTTGAAAATTACAGCCCTTTAAATGTTTTAATATTCTTATTCTTCAATATAAGTATTTTAAATACGGCAAAAAGAAAAGGTATAAGCCTGTCTAATGACAGTGTTGACTTGTCATTGCCTGCCTAAACGTTCAACTCAAAATGTAAATATGGATTCTAGGTTATTGGCACAATGCTTCAGGCAGCATCACAATTTGAAGTGTTAAATAGAAAACAATGTTAGAGGAGAAGGGTTTCATAAAATCATTTCTTTGCCTGCTTCAATATTGTGAAAGCTGACTTCTTAATATGCTCTTACTTGGTATGTTACAGATAAACGACCACTTCACTTAATTAGCTCTTCAGATGGACCTGGATTAGACCTTTTGAAAGTGGAATATATCAAGGTACATGCTTACTATTTAATAAGTATTTATTAAAATGATCTGTTCAGTGTATCTGGTAACAAGTTAAAAATTTAGCACACAAGGTATAAATGACTGCAGTCTATACAATGCAATGGCTCATTCAATTTGTCTATCTTTAACCTTTTATAACATGTTTCCCTTTTAGGCTGACAAAAATGGTCCAAAATTTCAGTCAAGCTTTGACAACACTGAACAAACATTTCAGGTAAGTGAATTTTTTTCAAGTGTCTAGTATTAGACACTTTACTTAGCAGGTACCTGCAAGTCAAAACTCAGACTCATTGAAGACTAAGCCTGACTTCCCTAGGTAAAATGGTATGATCTTACCTCGTGTTAAGTAAGTTAAGGTAAAATGCTAGTAATGACAGGGCAACTTGTAGTTTCAGTAGGTCAAGTTGAAGCCTAGGCTCCTCCATAGTCTTACCTTGACCGGCAAACTGTTGTGAAAACTACCAGCTGCTTGGCCTTCACTAGGGTTTTAACTAGCTAACTCGAGTTATGAGTTAACACACCCTTCAACTCCATCCCCCTCCCCGCCACACCCAGTAGAGACAAGGCCTTGAAGTCCAGATTGCCACCATACCACTCCAGCCCTGCCCCTGACACATCTCTACACCCTGGGGTTCATAGGAGATGGCTATAACAGCTGCCCCAACCTAGGAAAATTCTCAGCTGCCCACTTAGGGCAGTTTTACTGTCCTTGTGTGCCACTCTGGCAGTGCAAAGAGGTCCAGCTCTCCCAGAAGCTATTAGAGTATGGATCAGAAGTCTCAGCTATTCCCTGCCAATGAACTGAAATATGTGCTTAAAAGCCTTCGTTCAGGCACCAAACATTTTAAAATGATTAGATAACTGTAACAATTGGCGGAGTGAGCAAGCTCTGTACTAATGCTTTTTTCCTCCACAGTACAAGAACAAGGAGGTATTAAAGTTATAAAGGAACAAATTTAAGTATGTGAAAAGGAAATACATTTATTGTGTGGTACTCTCAATATCTGATGTTTGGGTGAAATGTCGGAAGAGATTAAAACAACCTGGGGGGAGGGAGGGGAGGTTAAAAAAAATCTCCATTAACTGTGCCTGAGATGAAAAACGAGAAAGATAATCAGTTTTTTTACCATAGGGCATATTGCCAATTGGTGTCAGGAAGAAACTTTTTTTCCCTGGTGTGAGCTGTGACTGATGTAAGGAGTACCTTGGGGATGAAGGCATCTTCTTTTGAAGCATCTGCCAGTTACAGTCAAACTGAATATTTGACTGAAATGGTCAACTAGAGTGCTCTACGTTGGGTCTATGAATTCTGTTTGTTCCCAGTTTAGAAATGTTTTATATTTCTGTGAATCCTTCTATATATTGAGTTGAATTCTTTGGTACATATTTAGTGTTAAATCTTTACATTCCTTATATGAAACTGTCAAGATTAGTGAAAAGTGATAGAACTAGGCTTGGATACATCAGCATAATTTTAATGAAAATGAAGTTGTTATTGATGGTTCCCAGATTAATTTATCAAGTTATGGCCTAATTAAACTACCTCTCTTTCATCTTGTCTGTCTTTTTGTGTGTTTGGGACAACTACAGTGTGGTATAAGCCTGGCTAATACCTCTGGTATAGCACGGGATTTTTAGTAACATTCAACTGCAGCTTGCTTGAAAGGTTTATTTTGTCCAGCTGAGAACAGACAGTTTAATAATGCAAGTGTTCCCCTGAAGAACTTTCTGGGAAGGTATTTTCTGCATCTTCTGGTAATTAGTATTATGCATTTTCCCCAACAGACTAAGTTCTCAGGGCAACAAAGGTTAAGAGAACCAGAAAACTTAAACTTAAACTTACAAACTTAAAAAACAGATCAGGAAAAACTACTCAAAGAATATACTGGAGTCAACTAAAAGGGGGAAAAAAAAACACAACTAGTCGAGTATTTGATGTCTCTTTAGTTTAGTTGCATGTCACCTTGTTCTTGTATTGTGGGAAGATGAAGCCAAATACTTATTGGTGATTACATATCTGTGTTATTTTCTTATATAATTGTCACCCTGCAAGCCTAAATCCCAACCCATTCAGCAAGTCTACTCATGGAAGTGATCCACATGCTAAATGAATGTTACCTGTAGCTTTACTTTTTGTGATTTGGATTCTTTTGTTTTAAACAGGTGGCCTTTTCGTCATTAAATTTTCTGCTACATACACAGGCCCTTCTCTCTACTATCAATTTTCTAACAAGTGTTATTCCATCAAGCAGTCCAAGTGCTGGTGACATAGGACACTTGCAAACACAAGGAGAAAAGCAGCAAAAAGATACGAGTGTGAAGAAAGGTATAGTTAATCTTTTTGGCGAGCCTAATGTTGTTCAGTGTGTTATGTTGGATTGAAAGGGTAGATTTAAATTGTTAGACATTAATTTAATTTTAAAAATTATTAAAATATTTAGTTTGCAGAAACAAGAAATGGTAGACAAGTTCTTACTAATTTTCTTTCACTGCCAACTCAGAGGCATCCACTGTTTAGTCACAAGAGTTATTTTACATCGCTTAGGGGACATCATGATTAAGGCCAAGCAAAATAATGGCAGTTATAAACTATGGCTATTTTGTTATTGAAGTGAGGAAAAGAAAACATTAAACAATACAAATGATAAACTGGTTATTTACATTACAATTTGTGTGGTATCTCTTTCTGTGGAAAGCTTTTACCAGAAATTACAACCCTGAGAATGAACACCTCTTAGGTATGTTTTCCTCTTGGTAAGTTAAAACTAAAGTATATTTTTCCTGAAATTATTGTGAATCCTTTCTTTAGTATATCCTTAGATAAATAATGTTCATAGATGGGGAGAATTTTGGTTAAAGGCAGGATGTCCCATTGTTTGTTAATATATAACCAGTTTATATATTAATAAGCCAGTTTATAGATGGCAAAGTAAGTGATCTTTACTGCATCTTATGAAACTGAAGAAAATGTGGAAATCCAGTTACTTAGAAGAAGCCATTTAAGGAGCAATCTTGAGACAGGCCAGTTAGCCAAAATTAAGACTCTTAAATCCAATTAAATCCCACTGAATGTCAGTTTACCAATGTTTAGCCTCTGTCTTCTCTCCAGGAATGCAAGGTTTAACCACTTGGTGATTAACAGGAGAAACTTAGTCGTTTAAGTATCAGAGAGGTAGTCATCCACAGAAACAACAAGGAATCTGGTGGCACTTAAAGGCTAACAGATTTATTTGGCCATAAGCTTTCATGGGTAAAAACCCTACTTCAGGATTTTTTACCCACAAAAGCTAATGCCCAAATAAATCGGCTAGTCTTTAAGGTGACACCGGACTCCTCGTTGTGTTTTTTTTCCGTCTCTTATAACATTTCAGTATTACCAAGAAAATCATGACAAGAGTTTTAAAGCTAATCCGTTGGCAGTCTCTTAATGTCCTCTCACTAGTCCAGGTTGAAGTAGTGGGGCTGTTTCCTTGGGTTGGTTTATTGAGGTTTTTTCCGTTTTCCTTACGTAGGTTGCTTATAGAGGTGGCCAGGATGAGTTGTGGAGTGCTTGTTGTCTAAGTAGTAGGGTATGTGTGCGCACATGTGCGTGCGCTCACTTCAGAGTTTTTTATAGCCTTTTCTTTATTTTCATGAAATGATAGAACACACCTTTTTCATACTTCTTTAGCTTTAAATTGGTTATCACTTTTTCATTGGCTCCATGCCTTTGGGGTTGGCTTAGGTGGCACTTTCAGCTCCTGAATATGCACTTTGTATTATTAATATACAATATTATAGCAGGGAAGATCCAGAAAACTTTTTAAAGTTAGTTTTAACTCTTTTATTTCCAGTCAAGCATTAATAAAATTGAAAGAGTACCTCAGATAATGGACAGAATACAAAGAAATTCTCTTTTCAAAAAGTACAAATGCTCCTGTTTTTTGATCAGTTTTGATTTCTCAAGAGTCTTTTGAAATTAAATAATTTATTGAAAGTCTTCAAATTAAGTTGTTGCTTCTATATGATCATTTTTGGAAAGATGATTTCTCGTCTTCTTGAGTGGGTTGAGAGTTATTGGAGCACTGTCAGCAATTAATTAATTTCTACATTCCTATAAACATATACTTCAGTGACTTCTTACATGAGTAATTAGCTTAGCCTCAAATGACGTTGCTATAATTGTGCATAAAACATCTGATTATTAATATATCAATGAAATTAGGAAGATATTAAATGAAGGCATTCATTTAGATACAAAATATTTGCAAATGTGCCTTTTAAGAGGCTTATGCCATTGTAAGCATTGGAGAACCAACAAAGGTTTTCATCTTTAAGTGGAAACATGAGTTAGAAGTAATCAGTATCTTCTGTAAAACGTTTCCCACCATAAATGTTCTTCAGGTTCAAGGAATGAAGACTTTAATGTGTTTACTAAAGAAATGAATTTCAAAAAGGATATTTCTAGTTTTATTTGTCAGAGTTTAAATTCATGTTTTTCTTTGAAAAGAAAAGTGGGGGTGGTTGGTGTAGGCCCATTTTACTTCTAGATTTATTGCTCCGATAACATAGTCTTGCATTCCTTTCACAATTAGGTTGCTTCCAAAAAGTGTTTACGTGGTTTGTCTAGTGTTGGCTGTATTTGGGAGATTAGAAGCAGAAACCTTCCTTAATGTCTCTGATTAGCTTCAACATTTTGTCACATAATTAGCTAAACATGTGTATTGTTAAATTTCCCAAACTCCTGGCTTTAAAACTCCTGTATCCAATCTTAATGGTCACTAAAGGGTTCAATCATGCAAGATACTAAGCACTCTGGCCCTGACCCAGTGAACAAGTTAAGAACAAGTACTTAACTAATGGAGACTATTTGCTCGCTTAAAGTTAAGTAAGTGCTTAATTTGTTGGATCAAGATGCAGGAGCATTGATATGATCTAAAGATAGGTGTGGCAGGCAAAACACGTAGCCCTGGTCTACGCTACGAGTTTAGGTTGAATTTAGCAGCGTTACATTGATTTAACCCTGCACCCGTCCACACAACAAAGCCATTTTTGTCAACTTAATGGGTTCTTAAAATTGATTTCTGTACTCCTCCCCGACAAGGGGATTAGCGCTGAAATTGACATCGCCGGGTCAAATTCAGGGTAGTGTGGATGTAATTGGATGGTATTGGCCTCCGGGAGCAATCCCACAGTGCTGCATTGTGACCACTCTGGACAGCACTTTCAACTCAGATGCACTGGCCAGGTACACAGGAAAAGCCCCGGCAACTTTTGAATTTCATTTCCTGTTTGGCCATCATGGCATGACCATGCAGAGCTCATCAGCAGAGATGACCATGGAGTCCCAGAATCGCAAAAGAGCTCCAGCATGGACTGAACGGGAGGTACTGGATCTGATTGCTGTATGGGGAGACGAACTCCGTTCCAAAAGACGAAATGCAAAAATATTTGAAAAAATCATGCCCTTGGAGGAGGACAGAGACTATCACAGGGACCCGCAGCAGTACTGCGTGAAACTTAAGGAGGTCAGGCAAACCTTTCAAAAAACCCAAGAGGCAAACGCCCGCTCGGGGTCAGAGCCCCAGACATGCTGCTTCTATGATGAGCTGCATGCAATTCTAGGGGGTGTCCCTACAACTACCCCACACCTGTACGTGGACTCCTGCAAGGGAGTCTCACGCAACAGGGATGAGGATTTTGGGGACAAAGAAGATAACATGCACCAGGCAAGCGGAGAAACCATTCTCCCCGACAGCCAGGAACTATTTATCACCTTGGAGCCAATACCCTCCCAACCCGGGCTCCCGGACCTTGAAGGCAGAGAAGGCACCTCTGGTGAGTGTACCTTTGTAAATATAATGCACGGTTTAAAAGCAAGCATGTTTAATGATTAATTTGGCCTGAAGACTTGGGATGCATTCACGGCCAGTACTGCTACTGGAAAAGTCTGTTATCGTGTCTGGGGAATAGGGTGGAAATCCTCCAGGGACATCTCAATGAAGCTGTCCTGGAGGTACTCCCAAAACCTTTGCAAAAGGTTTCTGGGGAGGGCAGCCTTATTGCATCTTCCATGCTAGGACACTTTACCATGGCAGGCCAGTAGCAGTAGAATCATTGCATAAGAAAGCATGGCAGCGTGTGGTCCCGGTGTTTGCTGGCATTTATCTCTCTGTCTTATCCTCAGGAGAGTGATATCATTTGTGGTCACCTGGTTGAAATAGGGGAATTTTATTAAGGAGACATCAGAGGTGGCTGTTCCTACTGGGCTGTTTGCCTGTGGCTGAAAATAAATCATCCCCGCTGTTAGCCACCTGGTGCGGGGAGGGGTGAAGCGATCATCCCAGAGAATTGGGTGTGGGGGCGGTTTAGTTGGGTTTGTGCTGCACATTAACTGAAAAACATCAGCCCCTCCTTTTAAATGGCCATTGTGTCTTTTTCAGTTTTAATCTCCCTTTTTTCCTCCCGCAGCTGCAAATGTTTCAACGCTGCAACTAGCATCTCCGTCCCAGAGGCTAGGAAAGATAAGAAGGTGAAAAAAACGCACTCGTGATGAAATGTTCTCTGAGCTCATGCAGTCCACCCAAACCGAAAGAGCCCAGCAGAATGCGTGGAGGCAGACAATGGCAGAGTCCAGGAAAGCACAAAATGAACACGAGGACAGGAGGGACACGCGAGAGAATAGATGGCTGGAGCAACAGGAGAGGTGGTGGGATCAAGAGGAAAGGTGGTGGCAGCATGATGAAAGGAGGCAAGATGCAATACTGAGGCTACTGGAGGATCAAACCGATATGTTCCGGCATATGGTTGTGGTGCAGGAAAGGCACAGACCGCCACTGCAACCCCTGTGTAACCAACCACCCTCCTCCCCAAGCTCCATAGCCTCCTCACCCAGACGCTCAAGAACGTGGGGCGGGGGGGAGGGGCTTCTGGGCACCCAACCACTCCACCCCAGAGGACTGCCCAAGCAACAGAAGACTGCACTTCAAAATTTATTGAATGCCAGTGTGGCCTTGTCCTTCCCTCCTCCCCTCCTCCACCACCTCGCTCGATGCTTCCCTCCTCCCTGGCTACCTTGGCAGTTATCCCCCTATTTGTGTGACGAATTAATAAAGAATGCATGAATTTGAAACAACAATGACTGTATTCTGCACTTGCTCAGTGTATAGTTGAACAGCTCCTGACTACTGTCCAGGGTGCCTGTGTACAGCTTCATGAGCTGTGGCATTAAAGGGTACACTGGGTCCCCAAGGATAACAATAGGCATTTCAACATCCCCAACAGTTATTTTCTGGTCTGGGAATAAAGTCCCTTCCTGCAGCCTTTGAAACAGACCAGAGTTCCTGAAGATGTGAGCGTCATGTACCTTTCCCGGCCATCCCACGTTGATGTTGGTGAAACGTCCCTTGTGATCCACCAGTGCTTTCAGCACCATTGAAAAGTGCCCCTTTCAGTTTAGGTACTGGCTGCCTTGGTGGTTGGGTCCCAAGATAGGGATATGCGTTCAGACTATTGCCCCACCACAGTTAGGGAATCCCATTTCAGCAAAGCCATCCACTATGACCTGCACATTTTCCAGAGTCACTACCCTTGATAGCAGCAGCTAAGTGATTGTGTTGGCTACTTGGATCACAGCAGCCCCCATAGTAGATTTGCCCACTCCAAATTGATTCCTGACTGACGGGTAGCTGTCTGGCATTGCAAGCTTCCAGAGGGCTATCACCACTTGCTTGTGAACTGTGTGGGCTGCTCTCATCTTTGTATTCTTGCACTTCAGTGCAGGGGAAAGCGAGTCACATCGTCGCATGTGTAAGGGCACTTTCATGGAAAAATTTCGCAGCCACTGGGAATCATCCCAGACCCGCAACACTATGCGGTCCCACCAGTCTGTGCTTGTTTCACTGGCCCAGAATCAGTGTTCCATGGCATGAGCCTGCCCTATTGCCACCAGGATGGCCAAATTGCCGGGGCCCGTGCTTTGAGAGAAGTCTGTGTCCATGTCTTCATCGTTCTCGTCACCACACTGCTACTGCCTCCTTGCCTGCTTTTGCAGGTTCTGGTTCCGCATATACTGCATGATAATGCGTGAGGTGTTTTACAATGCTCATAACTGCCACGGTGATCTAATCGGGCTCCATGCTTGCCATGGTGTGGCGTCCGCAGGAGAACAGAGTTGCAGGGGAAGCGGTGGTTGGATGACTAGTTTTGCAGACCTACTGCACCATCTGCTGCCAGGACACAACAGCTGAGCAGGCTGCATGCTTGCCGTGGTATGGCAAGACAAGAGCAGCCGAGCAGAGTTGCAGTGGAAGCAGCCCTGCGAGACCACCAGGAGAGCAGAGTGCCAGCGGAAGCGGTGGAAGACGATGGTCATGTAGAGGACCTGCGAGGTGGATTCATAGCATCAGGAGAGCAGAGTGGCAGTGGAAGCGGTGGATGACGACAACAGTTAGCAGTCCTACTGCACCGTCTGCTGAAAGCAGTACGGCGCCTGCACAGAAAAAAGTGCAAAACGATAGTCTGCCATTGCTTTCACAGAGGGAGGGGCGACTGATGAGCTGTACCCAAAACCACCCGAGATAATTGTCAAGGTTCATCCCTGAACTCTAGGGTACAGATGTGGGGACCTGCATGAAAACCTCCTAAGCTTATCTTTACCAGCTTAGATTAAAACTTCCCCAAGGTACAAATTAATTTTATCCTTTGTCCTTGGAATATCCACTGCCACCACCAAACTCTAACTGGGTTTACTGGGAAACGTAGTTTGGACACGTCTTTTCCCCCAAAAATCCTCCCAACCCTTGCACCCCACTTCCTGGGAAAGGTTTGGTAAAAAGCCTCACCAATTTGCATAGGTGACCACAGACCCAAACCCTTGGATCTGAGAACAATGAAAAAGCATTCAGTTTTCTTACAAGAAGACTTTTAATAGAAATAGAAGTAAAGGAATCACCCCTGTAAAATCAGGATGGTAGGTACCTTACAGGGTAATTAGATTCAAAACACAGAGAATCCCTCTAGGCAAAACCTTAAGTTAGAAAAAGAGACACAGACAGAAATAGTCATTCTATTCAGCACAATTCTTTTCTCAGCCATTTAAAGAAATCATAATCTAACGCATACCTAGCTAGATTACTTACTAAAAGTCCTAAGACTCCATTCTTGTTCTGTCCCCGGCAAAAGCAGCATATAGACAGACACAGACCCTTTGTTTCTCTCCCTCCTCCCAGCTTTTGAAAGTATCTTGTCTCCTCATTGGTCATTTTGGTCAGGTGCCAGCGAGGTTACCTTTAGCTTCTTAACCCTTTACAGGTGAGAGGATTTTTCCTCTGGCCAGGAGGGATTTTAAAGGGGTTTACCCTTCCCTTTATATTTATGACAACAATGTTTTTGCCCCATCAGGCATTGGGAGCTTAACCCAGAATTCCAATGGGTGGCGGAGACTGTGGGAACTGTGGGATAGCTACCCACAGTGCAACCCTCCGAAAGTCAACGCTAGCCTCGGTACTGTGGATGCATTCCACTGACTCAATGCGTTTAGTGCATTAGTGTGGGGACACACACAATCGACTGTATAAAACCACTTTCTAAAAAATTGACTTCTATAAATTCGACCTAATTTCGTAGTGTAGACATACCCTTAGTAAAAAGGAAAAAAAATTGAAATGTTCGTCACCTGTGTTGTCTTCAGTTGGGCTTTTTATTCCTATATATGCTTGTTTAAGAGCTGCTTCACATGTGGCTCACTCAAACTTTGAGGTATGCCAATGGCTTTCTTTCTCTGCTTGTGGAATAAAAAGTAAGGCAGGATCTTAATCCTCATTGCAGGGTAATACACAGAGAGAAGAGGCACATGTTGCTTTCTGCAAGTAGTTATTAACTTAAGAGCTAGGTGCTGAACTAGAAAATGCAAGAATAAACTTTTTCTGACGAGACTTGCTGAGGACGTAGCATGTTTCTTTTTTTAGCCTAATGAAAATCTCTACGTGCTTCTGGAGCATAGGAGGAAAAGGAGAAATCCCTAGACAGTTGGTGACAGAGGCAACAGTCTGTGCCAGCTTCCCAAGAGCTATAAAACGTACATGGGCCAAGAAATGGACTACTCTGGCAGAAGAGCAGTCTAAAGCGGTTTATCAAGCTAATGATCTGTTTAGAGGTGATAGGTTCACTCCTTCTGCAGACCAGTAACAAAGTTACTGCACAGATAACTAACAAACTATGAGCATTTAAACTTCAGTGTTGAGCATTACTTTTTAACTATGTCAGTCAGCACTTTTATTAATCAACACAAATACTTAGTCTCAGATTTTAAGAAAATCCTTTCTTATCCAAGCAATAAAATTTAATCCTGAAAATAAGGCCACCTGTACATAGAAGATGTAAATTGATAAAATGCTCATGGGTTTCCGTAACTAGAAAATATTTATCAATCACCGTAACAACTCATATTCTATAATTGATGTTTTATAAACAAATTAGTTTAATTAACATTGACTGCACTTAAGCCTAATGTTGCCACACTTGATTTCTCTAAAATTGTTGATCCACCAGAGGTAGCACAAGTGGGTGTGCTACTTTCAAAAGGGCTCCAGGCAACTGCTGGCATTTAAAACATATCCTATAGACTAGATCTGAGTAGCTTAAAATGCTATTGGTCATCTGGAACTCTGTCAAGATTAGCACTGCCATTGATGGTATCAGAAATGAAGATGAACCAGAGACAGCAGTAGTAGGAGTTCTTAATTTAAAAAAATAAAAAGATTAATCTTGACACTCCCTTTGTCTGCTTGACAGAGGCCAAAGAGCTTCAAAGTATATTGAAAACAAACAAACAAAATGCATTATGATATTCTTTGTTTTTACTTAGTAGTGACCAAAGCTGCCAAGGATAAGGAAGTTATTGACTTCAAGCTGTTTGCCAAGTTGGATTCCTTCTGTTTAAATGTGTGTGATGAAAAGAACAACATTGCTGAAATCAAAATACAAGGTAATGGCTTCTTTAGTAAAGAAAGTGATTACTGGACTTGTTAGTAAATTAGTGGTAGTTTCTTTAATTACTTTTTACCAGGTTATCAAGTATATCTTACTATGGAAGTGTGAACTTGAGTTCTTTCACTTTTTTGAGATCTATTTCTGGTGCCCCAGGTATGTATGCTGAAGCCATCTGGTGCCCCAAGTTTTAATTTTTTAATAATCACACGTGATGTAAAACATTTCCACTTTGTAATATGTAAATAAAGAAAATTTAGCTTACATTATCTGTGATGTCACATTAACACTTCCTTAACTGAATAATAATAACCAGCTCTTAAAAAGCATTTTTCATCCATAGATCTCAAAGCACTTTACAAAGGAGGTGAACATCATTATTCCCATTTAAAGATGGGGAAACTGAGGCACAGGGCAGTCAGTGACATGCTTGAGGTGACCTAGCAGGATTAGAACAAAGGCCTCCTGAGTCCCAACACAGTGCTCTGTCCTCTAGACCATACTGCATCCAAACACACAAATACAGACAGGAGATGAGGAAAGGGACGTAGGGAAGCAGTTCCATTAAACACAGATGTGGGTGAATTGCTGTGGTGTTAAGTCAGAATGGAGTTGATACGTTCTCTTGGCAGATAGGAACCGTTGTTCATAGACTTTAAGCAGGTGTCGATTCATCGCTCATTCTTCAGCCAAGTCACACTGTGCTCTTTGCCCGTCTTAAAGACATAGTTGTCACAGATGTTGATTCAAGGACTATTCATAAAAAGGTATAATTCATGATAAGATGATTCCTATTTTACTTGATCCTTGGTTACTTTTATGTATATAAACCATTTGTGACAGAATAATTCACCCGAATATCTTTAAATATTTGATTTGCTAAATTCTAACACTTTAAGGGGAGGCTTGAGTATGAAGCTTGAGACTCTGTAGCTGACTCTTAGACTTGTAGTTAAACTTTGTGGTACAATCTGCATTTGTATAGACATAACTGAAAGCAAGCAGCATGGGATCTGATTCTGAAGTGCAAAGAATGCACATCTCTATCTGCTGCTGGATAAAACGCATTTTTGTTAGTCAGTAGCAAGACAGAAAATAGAAGCTTGTTTCTCTTTAATACCTGCAATCAACATAGGAACAAAAATTGGCAAATGGCATACTTGTTTTAAAAATAACTTCTTCAGAGCTCTTACAGGAATTCATTTACTATCTATCATACATAAAACTACTAGACAAATATTTCTGAAACAAATAATGCTATTCGGTAATTTGCAGTAGCACTTGCCTCTCATTCTCTTGCAGGTGTCGATTCATCGCTCATTCTTCAGCCAAGTCACACTGTGCTCTTTGCCCGTCTTAAAGACATAGTTGTCACAGATGTTGATTCAAGGACTATTCATAAAAAGGTATAATTCATGATAAGATGATTCCTATTTTACTTGATCCTTGGTTACTTTTATGTATATAAACCATTTGTGACAGAATAATTCACCCGAATATCTTTAATATTTGATTTGCTAAATTCTAACACGATAAGATGTTAGAGACACCAGGTGGGTGAGGTAATAATTTTTATTGGACCAACTTTTACAAGATATTACCTCACCCACTTTCTCTGTCTTGGGACTAGCAAGGCTATAGCAATGCTGCATACAAGATTTTGTGTGTAATATCTAGGTAGAACTGTAAAATGTGAAACCACTGGTAATACCTTTTTTAATGTTTATTAAGTAGTTCAGTGGGATAGCATTCTCTCCTTCAAGTAGGCTTTACATGTAGGTCTACAGTGGTGAAGGTTTGCAGGTCTTCATTGGTGATTCCAGAAATTGAATTGTAGGTGGTACTGATCTTGAATCACAAAAACTTCAATTTGGCACAATAGCAGTTATGATTCATGAGTCCCAAGCACCAGAATAGCCAGGGAATATTGCAGGTTTCAATAAAAGTGAAATTGCAGAGTTATATTTGGGCAGTTGCATAATGTCCTATCTTTGTGGCTCAAAACACTGAGTTTCAAGGGAAGTACGTTGACATGAAAACTTACTGAAAGTTTACATCCCTTCCCCTTGCTAACCTAATGGGAAGCATTGTCACAAATCAACAGATGGATTTAAGGCTCGCATTTGGGAGATTTTTATAAAATATGGATAATTGTATGTTTCCTAAGTCTTGCTACCAGTTTCCTTCTTGCTAGTATATAACTATATAAATAACTATAATTATTTCACCTACTGTGGTAATTGTCATAATTTTCACATTTCAGATCATTATGCTGAATTGATTACTGTTTGTACCCCTTTAAATAAAAATAAATAAGCATTTAGATAGGAGTAATATTGGGTTGGTTCTTAATATTTTGCCTACAAGATTGAAAATGACATGAAAATCCAGCAACATGTAACTTGCAACTTCTCAAGGAAGAAGATCACATAGTTCCCAACAATCTTATTTGTCTTACTGCATATGGAGTTACATTAAGACATTTAAAGGTGTGGTTAAAACAATGGAATAATAGAACATTCTAATTGTTTCTCTCCAAACATTGAACTGCACTGCTATGTTGTCATCGTTGATTGCATCTTCCCCCTTTAAAAAAGGAAAAGAAAAAGAGGAGGAAAAAAATGACCAGAGATCGCAGATTTATTTGAAGAAGGAAAGTCAAATATATATTTTGATTTTTACTCTGACTGCACATACATCATTTTAAAATTAGACTTGCTTTTAAGTTGTATGCCATAAAGAGCAAAAATTACAAGTATCACAGCTCCAAGTTTGACAGAAGTGTGGGGCTTTTAATGCCTCCTTAATAGTACTGGAGATTCAGAGGACTTTGTGGGGGAAAAAATTATTATAACGCAAAACAAGTCCGAGGGGATCAAATTTTGTCTGCAGGTATCGTCACAAAATATCCGTGTTGCGTACATAGATAAATGAGGAAAATGGTATACTGTGCACAGACAGTATGTTGTCACTATATTCCATAATTTCTTGATACTTAACCAGTTACTCTTGGACTTAGAATGCAAATCAGTTCCTTATTGATGTTCTTGCCAAGATTGAAGATTAAATGAGGACAAATTAGTGGATTATTGCAGTGCTGTGTGAATATCTGACCATTACTTTAAAATATTTTCGTGATCATAGGTCTGAAATGACATAGGAATTCTTAACTTTCTAAACTTAATTCTTAAATTTCAGAAGAGCTAAAATAAATATCTGTGCTCTAAGCATGAGAAATTTCAGAAGTAAGAATTGTTTATATTGTACCTGTATATTGAATTTTGTATCATTTAAAGGGCTCCTTAATTTTAACTGGAGCATGGAGTGTTTAAATAGACTTGGTGAATGAACGCTCTTAGCTTGGCTTGACTTCAATATTAAAACTACTGCATGCATATACTGCATTAGAGACAATCACTGAAAAAGCTAAATTGCCTGCAGGAGGGCTTAAAATAAAAATATTTTGTGGTTATGAAGACAAACTAGCAGATGGATTTGATATTTGAAAAATGGATATGCAAATTATTTTTAACTTGAAGTAGAATCTTTTGAGTACCCATTTCAGACTAATGTATGTGCTTTGTCTGCTGTTTACATATTTAGTTTTCTACTTTATCTATTCATAAATCTTCAGAAGGGTAATATGAAAATAGATTAAAATTTTGTTTTGCACTTATTTGAGAACTGGGAATAGTGATGTGAGGATCCTGTACCTATGTCTTCTCCAGGCTGTCTCTATAGTAGGAGATGAAGTCTTCAGTTTCAACCTGGCACTGTATCCAGTTGCTACTGAGGGAGAAGCTTACACTGATATGTCCAAAGTGGATGGTATTGTCTCTCTGAAAGTGGGCTGCATTCAGATAGTTTATCTTCATAAATTCCTCATGTCACTTCTGGTAAGATTGTTGATTGTACTGAAATACCAGTTCAGTGTTGTCTGAGTACCTCCTCTGTATGAAAGCCACTGGTAACTTGCAGTTGCCATTACAAAAAGGTCAGATTTACTGTTTTAAATACATACTAGGAGGACAAAGGTTAGATAAAGCATTAATTTGTAGGATAAATTCTTAATTTTAATATCTGTTGAATTAAAAAAGCTGATGTTGATCTACAAGTGCTTGAAACTCCTTTTACAAAAATGAGACATAGTGGTAATCCAGAATTGAAACGTGTTTTTTCCTCTCTCAGCATCACACACAGTGACTTAAATGCATCATGCAAAACCCAGTATTATTAGAGATGATCTTCTCTTGCAGTTGATTACCTCTACCATAACCTACAGCTCATGAGACTTATTTCTATTTGCTTTTCTGCTCTTCATAAAATGGATGAGTTAAATGTTTTTATCTAGTTTACAGGATGCAAACTATCTTTCATTACGTGGGATGTACTACAAAGCTGACGTCATTAGGACCTGTGTTCTCCATGTTTCAGAACGGTTTGCTGAAAAATGACTTTTTAAAATGCAGTTAATTAATATTGTTTGTTTTTAGCCACATCTTGGGTTTCTTTAGCTGACTTGTGAGCAAAAGAGCAATGTTGCTGTGCCCTGAGGTTAATGAGTTTTGATTCCTTTAATGAAGGCTGGCAATTTGTTGACATAAGAGTGAATCATGGTAAAGAAGTAGAGTTGTTACATTTGAGAAAATAGCAGAATGGGGACCCCTTCAATCACTGGTGAACATTGTTAAAATGCCAGTTTAAGCAGAACAAGCTGTTTACACTGTTACTGAATGATGTTCTAGACTGAGTGTTCAATAGTCCCATTCTCTTATCCAGCAGAATGCTCTATCTAAGAGATCTCTGGGGAAAGTTTATATTCCAAATTTTTCCTCTTTTGCTTTAACTAATGCACAGCATTATTTTGTATGTATTCTTTTTACAAGACTTTTATGATTTAATTTGTGGTACTTCTAATTCTGAATGTTCCAAGAAAATGGAAACAAATTCTTTTAGGAGTAATAGAAACCATTGTACCTTTTGGTCTGGGCTGAGATAGTCAAAGCTGAATGTCCAGTTTACATTGAAACAATTTGAATGCCTAATTTACATGAAAACTAATAAGACCTGGGTGTCCAAATCATTCAGGTGTCTGTGAAAACACATTAATAGTTTGAAGAAAAATATCTACACTTTTATAAAATTGTGGAATATTGGTATGGACATGCTTAAGGGGAAAACATTTATTTTTTTTATCTGGAAATTAGGAAATAATGCTGATGAAGAAGAGAGTGACAGATCAATTAAATGTGCCCAGCACAATGTTGTTGCTGAATTGTCCCCTAGCATATGCGTGTATCTTCCTTTAGTAAAACCATAAGAAACAAATGTGTGTTCTCACTCTGGATCACAGATGTTGTTAAATCTAAAATTATTAGAATTGCCAGTATTTTTTCAATATACCTTTTGGGAAGACACTGAAGAAGCTGTCATTTACTAAATTTGTTTCTCAAACTAGAGGAAAGAGCATAAAGCTTAATATTTTTAAAATTAGTTTTCAGTTTCACAAAGTTGTCTCTATTGTTGCCTGTATCTGTTTTTCAAATTTTCTGTATTAATTGTGACAAAGTTCCTCCTCTACCTTGGTGGGTCTTGCGCTTATTGGCGAATTTGCTCGCCTTGGAGCTTTACGGCAGCCATCAGTTTGGCCGTTTTCTTTAACCCACAGTCCAGGTCAACTCCTCCTCTGTCTGACCAGGAGTTGGGAGGTTTGGGGGGAACCTGGGCCCGCCCTCTAATCTAGGTTCCAGGGCCCTGTGGATTGCAGCTGTCTAGAGTGCCTCCTGGAACAGCTGTGCGACAACTACAACTCCTTGGGCTACTTCCCCATGGCCTCCTCCCAACACCTTCTTTATTCTCACCATAGGACCTTCCTCCTGGTGTCTGATAGTGCTTGTACTCCTCAGTTCTCCAACAGTATGCGTTCTCACTCTCATCTCTTAGCGCCTCTTGCTCCCGGCTCCTTACACGCGCACCACAAACTGAAGTGAGCTCCTTTTTAAATGCAGGTGCCCCGATTAGCTTGCCTTAATTGATTCTAGCAGCTTCTTGATTGACTGCAGGTGTTCTAATCAGCCTGTCTTAATTGTCTCCAGAAGGTTCCTGATTGTTCTGGAACCTTCCCTGTTACCTTACCCAGGGAAAAGGGACCTGCTTAACCTGGGGCTAATATATCTGCCTTCTATTACTCTCCTGTAGCCATCTGGTCTGACCATGTCACATAATGTTAACTTTATTCACTATCTATCCATGCGTTGATTTCTTGTTGTGGAAGTGGCACGGAGATGAGGTGTGTGGCTTGTCTTCTCCCAGTAAAACTGGGAGGTGCTAGTGAAAATGTAACCTATTTTGTGCCAGGCTGCACCTTTTCTCACCTCTCAGCAGACATGCTCCTCAGCTCACCTCTCGCTTTGCTTGAAGAAGCTGTGTCTCTGGCTGAGGTGCTATCTTGACTAGATCCCTTGTTGCATTAGCTTTTAAAGTACCCAGACTTGTTCACAGGAATTTCACCAGGCACATAAAGGCCACTAACTTGCTTGGTAAAGTCCCAGAAATCCATCCATCAAGGGGCTGGCATCCTAGAATCCTCCTTCCTGGTATTCAGAGCTCTCTGTCCATGGCCAGGAGACCCATCCTACAAACTTGGGCACTTACTGTCTCTTTTCAAAGGATCTAAACTCTCTTTTTGCATGAGTTCTGGACCTAACCATCGAAATGTCAGAGAAAGTCTAAAACAATTACCTTCCTATTACAATTTCTGCTTTCCACAGTAACCAGGAGATTTTGTTCCCACACTTCTGAAATTGCTAAATTGAGTAAGATCCTCTGACAGTTATTTCATTCCCATAGAACTCTTAAACTTCATCTAGACTGTACCAAATAGAGGAGGAAGTCCCACTCTGTCTTTACTCAGCTCCAGTTTCCAAGGAAAAAGAAGAGGCCTGTGGATTACCTCTCTGGCAGCTTCTGATTTTGCTTTCATGTAGCTTTTTACATGGTAGACTCATGATTAACTTAAAGCTTAAACACAATTCCACTATATTAGTTGCCACCATGTGAGAAGAAAGAAGATTGCAAGGAGTAATCTGTGTGAATTGTTTTGTACCTGTAGCACTCTTGCTATAGGAGAAACAAGTATCTTACCTGTTGTATTTTTCCATGATGAGGTGACACTGATGTAGTTACTCACCATTTAGGTACTGGCTTGAATTGCTACCAGGGAGAAAGAACCAAATGAATAGACATGTCACAAAGTCACCAAACTGAAGAGCCTTCTTGTAGGGAATGGGTGATAAGGGTGTAGATGAGTGCAAAAAATGCTTAATTCTGATTGACAGATAACCAGACGTATCTGATCTGTCAACCCATATTATCTTGCCATGGGAAAAAGTTAACAGATAAGAAACTTGCTTTTCCCCATTAGTTATTCAAAAGGAGAGCAGCTAAGCTGTACCTTAATTTTTTTCTTTCTACCCCCTTATATTTGTTACAGAACTTTCTGAACAACTTTCAAACAGCAAAGGAGGCACTGAGTGCTGCTACAGTTCAAGCTGCAGAAAAGGCTGCTACTAGCGTGAAAGATCTGGCTGAGAGGAGTCTTCGCCTTTCAATGGATATTCATCTGAAAGCGCCAGTTATAATCATACCTCAGTCTTCAGTGTCCCATAATGCTGTCTTAATAGATCTTGGTTTGATCAGGGTACAAAACAAGTTTAGCCTGGTACCTGCTGAAGGCTGCTCACTTCCTCCAGTCATTGATAAAATGGATGTGCAGCTCACGAAGCTTAAGCTGTCTAGGTATGATAGTTGATTTTACCATCTTGAACTTGAACTGAAAATTCAACAGTTAATTATTAGTAATTTACCTGCTATGAAGTTATTTAATATAACTTCTCTGTAGTTTAGAACTCAATGGGATAGAACAAAATATTACTTTTAAAATATTGCTTAAATTAGTTGGTGAATTTAGGATAAAAAGATGGTGTTTATTTTTTTCCATTGTGAAGGTAAGTAAAGCTGTAAATCATTTACATAGTGAGTTGACTGAGAACAAAAGGCAACATCACCTCAAATAGTGTTCTATTTATGAAAATATAAATACACTTCAAGAATGTTTGTATTTGCGCTTTAAGTTGTTTTTTGAAATGTCACAACATATGGTTTGTTTCATATTTTTGTTGGTTGTTTCTTTATTAGGACAATTATACAGCCTGGTTTTTCACAGCCTGACATTCAGATACTTCATCCTATTAATCTGAATCTGTCTGTGAATCGAAATCTAGCTGCAACTTGGTATCACAAAATTCCTATGTTAGAAATCAAAGGGCATCTTGACACAATGAATGTAAGTATTTTTTTTTTTAAAACAGACTATTTTCTGATTGTTTTGTGTTGATAGTGTGAACCTTTACATTGTTAACAATTCCGTAAATATTCTTTGTTTAAAAAAAAAAGTTACAGTTTGGTTAAATCTATGCAGGTTTATTTGGATCAAGAAGAGACTCATCGTGTTGTGTTAGATTTAGTTGGAATTAAAAAACAAACAAAAAAAAAGAAAAACTCTTTAAAAATATTTTACTGCGTGAGAATATTGAACTAAAATACTGTTTTTAAACTGTTAAAGAAAATACACTGTAATCAAGAATGTGTGTACGTTTGTATAAAAAGAAAATCCAATGAGTTTAAATCTCATAGCCATCTTTTAGAAAGAACATCTTGTAAATAAGACTGAATTCCATTGTAGATAGTCAGGTTCTATCAGTCCTAAAAAGTCATTACCCATAACTTGTGTGTTGTTGTTTTTGTATTGCTTGGATGGTCACATCTAGAGCTGCATTTATGAAAGCCATATTATTGTGGTGGTTGATGCTTTTGAATGGTACTGCTGAGTGAGACGTGATAAATAAAGAGTAATATATTCCTGCCATAAAGAGCTGTTTTGCTGATATAGGTAAACAGTAGAAGGAACAGATATACAATTCATTCTTAAAAACATAAAGCTGTTACTTTACAGGTTATTTTAAGTCAAGAGGATTTGAATGTTCTGCTTAAAGTACTGACAGAAAACCTTGGTGAAGCAGATGAAATGTTAAGTAAAGCAAAGCCAATAGTGCAAAAGGAAGGTAAGAGAATTTCTTTTCTGCAATCCTCAATTTTAAATGGGTGTTAGTCTTCATTAAATTTTCAGTGAAAGTGAACAGATAAATGTAAATGAAAAGCAACTGTAACTCTTTAAGCCTATCCCTAATTTTTACTACATAATTGTTTTGCTCTCTTGCTTTCTTGTCTTGTGTATGTATGTTGACATTGCTCATACTTAAACATATATTTCAAAGTGAAAATATTGGAAGTAAAAACGAGAAATGTTATGAACTAAAAATTCATGTGGAGTTAGCCAATATTGTCATATTGTGAGAGTATTTGTAATCAACAATGCTTTCTTCTTCCATTCTTTACTGAAAGGCTCAGTTGAAAGAAATTTTGTACATTTTCACTAAAAATCTTTAAATATATAAAATACATAGAATGTGTTTCTTGTGTGAAATGAATTGTAGTAACACTTCCTTGAATGAAATTAACAAATCATTGAAAATGGCAGGAAAAATTAAAGGAACTGAGATACCTCTGTCAACACAGAATGAGAGTACTTCAGGAGAAAGCTTACCTGGTACAACAAAAGTAGCATTACGTGAAGATGTAACCAACATGCTCCTTAATTTTGAAATCAAAGAGGTATATATTTAACTGTACAATATCTTGCTTGTGTCTGACTGGGAAGACCAGGTTTTGTATCCCTCTGTGGCTGCTTTGCATCAACCAAGACAGAGTAACCATAAAGCCAGTTCAGCAGGATATTCAGATTGATATTGGTTAAGGATATCATTAGTGGCTGGAACTCACTCAATTCAATGCCATCTTCCTGGTCCCCAGTGTAGCATCTTCTCCCCGCGCCCCCCCAGCAGTTTTCAGCTACCTGTCTGTTACATGTTCAGCCAGTGAAGAAATGTTGGTAAGAGATGGATGCTGCTATAGAAAAGAATAATTTCCCTAGGTAATTTTGAATGGACCCAAATCAAATGTAAATACTGACAACCTTGTGCTTTTGACTTTTTGCAATATCAGAATATTGTGTGTCAGTCCAAATAAAATAAAACAAAGCAAAACCTTGGATTCCAGCAAAGAAATCTTGTGGTATCCAAAATAGTCCCTAGAATCACTGGTTTTTAGAAGAGTTACAAAATGGAAAATAAAAATTCTCATCCTCCAAGAGAAAAGAGCCTCTAAGTTTTTCATTCAGTCAAACTTAATTACATGCTCTGATTCATAATGTACATACTGGCCCATTTTTTCTCCTTTTCTGAGAGGGTGGGGGAAATCCAGGAGCTGTAATCTGCTGCCTGATCTGTATTATGAAACCAATTTGTTTTCCAGAGACTGTCCAAATATGAAATGTTCTGGCTCTGTCCCCAGTTCTGTTTTAAACTGGATCACGCTAATGGCTGTATTAACTTGATCCCCTTAGCTCTGGCCACTGTGGGGATATACACTAGCTGAGAATTGACAGAATGCAGATGCCCATGACAGGGTTTGGGGAACAGTTGCCATAGGATCAAGCTGGTCTGCTTTACACCATCTGAGTTTTTCCCCTATGCCAGGGATACTCTCACTTCAGTTAGGGACAGATTCGGTCTCTTTGTGCTTCATGCTGCAAAATGGCCAGAACTGGGGATAGAATCTGGGTTTTATCTCATGATTGTATTTGAAAATAGGGGATAGCTCATTTAAAATATTGTCGTTTTGATTATAAGGTTCTATGTCTCTACTCCTCCTATGTCCCTCCCAATATTTTTGACTCACTATAATTCTTGCGCTTTCTTGTCTTCATGCCTCTTACCATGCTGGCTCTCTCCCTGGAATGGTTTCCTCATAATATTCTAACAAGCACTTTATTATTTTTCATCTACTTCCATGAAACTAACTTCATCCTGCAATGCTTTCTACTACCTCATCAATCTCTTACCCAGAATTGCTGTACTCAGGATCTGGACTCATGGTGGTTTTTCCCCTTAGCTCAGATCATAAGGTGCTGAGGGGTAAGCACTGTGTATTACTGAGATGGGGTACATTGATGGTGGTGTTAAGGTTATTTTTTAATCATCTTGATTCTAATTGGAAGAACAGTTATTTACTTGCACATTCTGTTCATTCACTTGAGGATTTTGATACATTACTCATCTAAAATGGCACATGGTTCACATTAGTGTCAGTTCCCCCCTCCTTGCCCCCAGAGAGAGCAACTTGGTATTTTTCTAAGTTTTTATTTGCTTGTTTTGTGCTCAGCACTGAACAAAGTCTTACACCAAAGAGTTTATAATATAAAAATTGATCTAGATAAGACAAGGAGGAGAAAAAGCCAGAGAAAGAGAATCTTTTTCTCTTTTCATACTGTTTCAATAGATTGTAAGTGAAAATTTTTCTGGAGGGATTTTACAGGTATAGTGGCTTGACTAAGTGGAATTGGGAGAACATTACATACATATAGAGAAGTATGGAAAAAGCATAGATAGAGGCATGTGTGAGGTAAATAAATAAGGTGTCAAGGCGGGCATTGCTGATGGAGTAGAGTTGTGGACATTATAATTACCTACTATAACCAGTGAACTATTTTATTGGAATATAACCTTAATTTATCCCCCCCAGGTTGTGGTAACCTTGATGAGACAGGTGCAAAAGGAGGGGCATCCCTTACATATTCTAACTGTGCTGCAGCTTGGAACTGAAACCAGAATCGGAAACCACGATATGACTGCAACAGCATATCTGAATAAAATTACTTTGAAGTGCCTTGAATTTACTGGTGGGTGCATTGTAACTTGGCACTTTTTATATAGTACACAAACAGTATAGCAATAAGGTTGTACAGTTAAAAAATTTTAGAAGTGCAGAAATGAATTTCTACAGCAACATTAACTTTGTGACATTGCCCTTAGGTAATGGTGCTTCAATAAGTCAGCCTTTAATAGTCTAAGAGCTTGTCTTTGGTGAAAAAGTTAGCTTGAGTTAATACACTTAAGCTAGTTCAAATGGAGTAACAGCTCCAGTGAGAGCAACCACACCGCAAACCAGCACTTGAGATACAGAGTGATTAGGTTAGCAAATGATGAGTTTTAACTCATGCTGCTGCATTCTCAGCAATGTTGGAGCTTCAACCCTTTCTGTCGGGCCAGCTAGCTCGAGCTTAAAGCACCACTTAATTTGAGCCAGATGGTTTTGAGTATGAGTCTGACTAAGAACAAAACTCGGGTGATAGCTTGAGCTAACAACACAATGAAGACAAACTGTCAATTTAATTGTGCAACCTTAATATTATATAGTGTAATAATTATTTGATAGCTGTACTGTTTCCCAAAGTAAATGCTAAAAAAAAGTTTTCAGTGAAAGTTTAATTTTAGTTATATGACTTCATACCCAGCTAAAGTACTACTCAGTAATAGATATATGTTAAGATGAGAACTCCAGCATTTTTTGTGTGTTTTTAAATAAGGAAAAATCCGTAAGTAAATTTGAGCCCAAAAGGAAGACTTTTTTCCCCTAAGGGTGTGTCTACACTGAAAACAAACAAACAAAAAAACCCAAGCAACCAACAAAAAAACAGCGTGTGGTAGCAAGTCCCAGATCCTTGGTTAACTGACTTGGGCTCACACTATGGGGCTAAAAATACAGTGTAGATGTTCAGGGTTGGGCTGAAGCCTGGGCTTTGGGACCCTCGTCCCTCATGGAGTTTTCAGAGCCTGGGCTCCAGGCGGAGCCTGAAGATCTGCGCTACTATTTTTAGTCCTGTTGCATGAACTTGAGACAGCTGATCTGGTTTCTGAAACATGCTGCTACTGGTCTTTTTTTTGCAGTGTTAGATGTATAATTGAAATAACTGAGTAGTGATTCTGATTTTTGCTACGATATAGAAGTAGCAGTGGGAAGATGCACAGTTTTTCCAAACTGAAATTTTTTCTGGGTTTAACGTAGTATAAAAACGACCAAGAGCATTACTTGGATAAAATTACATAAAATATTTATTTTCATTAGATGCCACTTGATCAGTGGTCTTTAAACTGAAAATGACTACTTAAAATTATTTTCATTATGACCCATTACTTGTTCACTTTCAATAGCTGAGTCAATTAACAGTTAAAGCATTTGCATGGGGGCTTGCTTTCTTATAAAACGTGTATGTGAGACAGAGTGATTTGAAGTAATATAAATGTATATGTGCCCTTTTGTCTACAGACTCAAAAGGAGATCCTCTTCATATTATTAATTCTTCAGATGAGACTGGTGAACACCTTCTGAAAATGGAATACATAAAGGTTTTAGTATAGTCTTTATTTAAACCTCTGGATTATTTTAACCAGTTTTAAAGCCCTGATACTGCAAACACACCTGCATTAAACTTCAATCACAGGCAGAAGTATTTGAAGGATTGGGATCTAAATGATCAAAGTCCTGTGTCAGTTGTCAATTTTCAAGAATAAAATCTGCATTCTGCTCTTACACTAGCAAGCATAGTGCTTGCTGAAGTGAAGAATCAATATGAAGTAATTGAAAGCAATATCTTCCAAATGATTGAATGTATCCTCTCCCACTGGGAACAAGATGTCAGATCCTAGCAAGCACCCCTTCCTGGCCGTCCACTAGTATTTCTGTGTGAGGAATCCAAGCCTCATGTGCTTTGGATTCCCAATGGTGTATTATACTTCTGGAGTCTGAGCAGAATCTAGCCACTGCCTCAATTTTAGGGTGACTAGATGCACTTTCAAGGTGCAGACCTTCTATTTGAAGCTGTCTTTGGAAGCGTCGGAACTGACTGTCCAGATGCCTAGCTCTCTGGGTGCAGAACAGTTACCCTTCACATTCGCCAGTGGTTGAAGATACCACATCATTCACACACATTTTGTACAGTCATCATACACACACACTTTGTACAGTATCTTTATGATCTTTATATTTAAACATGGAATCGTGCAAAACAGTAAAACATCCTAAACACAATGTCCTTCACTCGCTCACCCCTGGGGCAGGGATCATCTGTGTTCTGTCAGGCAGGGTCTTCCACAACTTTACCTACTCTGCCCCTGCAGCAGCCTCTTACCTTAATCTGATGCAAAATGGATCTCTCCCCCCCCCACAGCTCCTGCCCATGAGTCCCTTTATAAATTCTTGCTGGGAGTCACCTGCTTCTTTTATTTTCCTCCTGTTAGCTTTGCACTTACAAACTCCTTTTCCTTCAGACAAGAAGTGGAAGTTTCTTCTGCCAGTTTGAGCAATCACATTGTCCCAAGATACTTTACTTTTAAATAGATGTTCCTTGAGTGCTGACGACTCACTGTAGTCTCTGGCCTGACAGACTCACAATAGAACCCTGTTAACTCATGGGGCATCCACATACATGTAGACTTTTCATGATACAATAATTACATGATACAATTTCTTAAAACCGTCCACAGCTCAAAAGTGGTAGAGACAGAACTCTCAATTCATCACACAAGGAACAACCTTCTTTGCAAGAATGCTCTGTTAAATGGAATGGAACATTTGCTCATACCTATTTGTGTGGCAGGTGCCCCTTTAATAGTGGTACTGGCTCAGTAGGGTTCACAAATTGTGGGGAATGGACTCTGAACAAGGCAGCCTCTCATGGGGGAGTGAGCTATAAATGTAGATTTAGTTATAAGAAGAGAGAACCTACAATGCAGGATATCTTTCAGAAGGTATGTGGTTATTAGGGACAAAGTTGAGGACACCATCTCAGTTCAGTAGTCCTTAACACTAGTGCATTCCTTTCTCTTAGTGCGTTTCTTTGTCTTTTTAATCTGGAAGTACATAATTGTAACCAACAAGAGATCAAGCTGCTTATGTATCAGAGGGGTAGCCGTGTTAGTCTGTATCCACAAAAACAACGAGGAGTCCGGTGGCACCTTAAAGACTAACAGATTTATTTGGGCATAAATGGGTAAAAACCCCACTTCTTCAGATGCATGGAGTGAAAATTACAGAAACAAGCATAAATATATGTTGGCACATGAAGAGAAGGGAGTTACCTTACAAGTGGAGAACGAATGTTGAAGGCCAATTTAGTCAGGGTGGATGTGTTCCTCTCCCAATAATTGATGAGGAGTTGTCAATACCAAGAGAGGGAAAGTTGCTTTTGTAGTGAGCCAACCACTCCCAGTTCCTATTCAAGCCCAAATTGTTGGTGTTACGTTTGCAAATGAATTGTAGCTCAGCAGTTTCTCCTTGAAGTCTCTTTTTTGAAGTTTTTTTTGTTGAAGTATGGCTACTTTAAAATCTGTTGTTGAGTGTCCAGGGAGATTGAAGTGTTCTCCTACTGGCTTTTGTATGTTACCATTCCTGATGTCTGATTTGTGTCCATTTATCCTTTTACGTATCATAGAATCATAGACTATCAGGGTTGGAAGGGATCTCAGGAGGTCATCTAGTCCAACCCCCTGCTCAAAGCAGGACCAATCCCCAACTACATCATCCCAGCCAGGGCTTTGTCAAGCCTGACCTTAAAAACTTCTAAGGAAGGAGATTCCACCACCTCCCTAGGTAACGCATTCCAGTGTTTCACCACCCTCCTAGTGAAAAAGTTTTTCCTAATATCCAGCCTAAAACTCCCCTACAGCAACTTGAGACCATTACTCCTTGTTCTGTCATCTGGTACCACTGACAACAGTCTAGATCCATCCTCTTTGGAACCCCCTTTCAGGTAGTTGAAAGCAGCTATCAAATCTCCCCTCATTCTTCTCTTCCGCAGACTAAACAATCCCAATTCCCTCAGCCTCTCCTCATAAGTCATGTGTTCCAGTCCCCAAATCATTTTTGTTGCCCTCCGCTGGACTCTTTCCAATTTTTCCACATCCTTCTTGAAGTGTGGGGCCCAAAATGGACACAGTACTCCAGATGAGGCCTCACCAAAGTTGAATAGAGGGGAACGATCACATCCCTCAATCTGCTGGCAGTGCCCCTACTTATACATCCCAAAATGCCATTGGCCTTGTCAACAAGTGCACACTGTTGACTCCTATCCAGCTTCTCATCCACTGTAACCCCTAGGACCTTTTCTGTAGAACTGCTGCCTAGCCATTCGGTCCCTAGTCTGTAGCGGTGCATGGGATTCTTCTGTCCTAAGTGCAGGACTCTGCACTTGTCCTTGTTGAACCTCATCAGATTTCTTATGGCCCAATCCTCCAATTTGTCTAGGTCCCTCTGTATCCTATCCCTACCCTCCAGCGTAGCTACCTCTCCTCCCAGTTTAGTGTCATCTGCAAACTTGCTGAGGATGCAATCCGCACCATCCTCCAGATCATTTATGAAGATATTGAACAAAACTGGCTGCAGGACCGACCCTTGGGGCACCCCACTTGATACCGGTTGCCAACTAGACACGGAGCCATTGATCACTACCCGTTGAGTCCGACAGTCTAGCCAACTTTCTATCCACCTTACAGTCCATTCATCCAGCCCATACTTCTTTAACTTGCTGGCAAGAATACTGTGGGGGACCGTGTCAAAAGCTTTGCTAAAGTCAAGGAACAACACGTCCACTGCTTTCCCCTCATCCACAGAGCCAGTTATCTCATCATTGAAGGCAATTAGATTAGTCAGGCATGACTTGCCCTTGGTGAATCCATGCTGACTGTTCCTGATCACTTTCCTCTCCTCTAAGTGCTTCAGAATTGATTCCTTGAGGACCTGCTCCATGAGTTTTCCAGGGACTGAGGAGAGGCTGACTGGCCTGTAGTTCCCAGGATCTTCCTTCTTCCCCTTTTTAAAGATGGGCACTACATTAGCCTTTTTCCAGTCTTCCGGGACTTCCCCCGATCGCCACGAGTTTTCAAAGATAATAGCCAATGGCTCTGCAATCACATCCGCCAACTCCTTTAGCACTCTCGGATGCAGTGCATCCGGCCCCATGGACTTGAGCTCGTACAGCTTTTCTAAATAGTCCCGAACCGCTTCTTTCTCCACAGAAGGCTGGTCACCTCCTTCCCATGCTGTGCTGCCCAGTGCAGTAGTCTGGGAGCTGACCTTGTTCGTGAAGACAGAGGCAAAAAAAGCATTAAGTACATTAGCTTTTTCCACATCCTCTTCAATAGGTTGCCTCCCTCATTCAGTAAGGGGCCCACGCTTTCCTTGACTTTCTTCTTGATGCTAACATACCTGAAGAAACCCTTCTTGTTACTCTTAACATCTCTTGCTAGCTGCAACTCCAAGTGTGATTTGGCCTTCCTGATTTCACTCCTGCATGCCCGAGCAATATTTTTATACTCTTCCTTGGTCATTTGTCCAGTCTTCCACTTCTTGTAAGTTTCTTTTTTGTGTTTAAGATCAGCAAGGATTTCACTGTTAAGCCAAGCTGGTCGCCTGCCATATTTACTATTCTTTCTACACATCGGAATGGTTTGTCCCTGTAGCCTCAATAAGGATTCTTTAAAATACAGCCAGCTCTCCTGGACTCCTTTCCCCCTCATGTTGTTCTCCAGGGGATCCTGCCCATCCTGCCCTGAGGGAGTCAAAGTCTGCTTTTCTGAAGTCCAGGGTCCGTATTCTGCTGCTCTCCTTTCTTCCTTGTGTCAGGATCCTGAACTCGACCATCTCATGGTCACTGGTTCCCAGGTTCCCATCCACTTTTGCTTCCCCTACTAATTCTTCCTGGTTTGTGAGCAGCAGGTCAAGAAGAGCTCTGCCCCTAGTTGGTTCCTCCAGCACTTGCACCAGGAAATAGGCCTGTCATTTTGACTGTCGGGAGGAGTCCACACAGAATTCTTCTGCTTGTAGTGTTGGTAGGAGGGTTCCTGCAGGTCAATGCTCTGTTCAGTGGTGTGTTGAAAATATTCCTTGAGTCGGAGAAGTCGAAAGTAGGTTTCCAGATCACCGCAGAACTTTATCATATGCGTGGGGGTGGGGGTGCAGAGAGTCCCTGAGATAGGACAGACTCTTCTGTCGGGCTAAGTGTGTGGTTGGATAGATGAACAATATTGTTGGGTGAATTAAGGCTACCACTCTTGTAGCCCCCTGTGTCACGTAGGAGTTTAGATAGTTTACTGTCCTTTTTCCTCTGTAAAGAAGTAAAGTGTGCATTGTAAATGGCTTGTCTTGTCTTGTTTTTGTAAAGTCCAGCCACGTGGAAGTTTGTGTGGAAGGTTGGTTTTGTATGAGAGTCTCCAGTTTTGAGAGCTTATTATGGTATTTTCAGAATGGCTGTTAGGTAGTTTGTAGATTTGAAGGCAAGAGGGGCTATTGTAGTTGTTTATTCTAACCCCCTAATTTAACATAGGCTATAGAATTTCACCCAGTAAATTTGCACATAGACCCCATTAACTTATGATGGCAAAGGAGGTATTGTTTAGAAAGACATCCAGTCTTAATTTTAAGGTCTCTGAGCAATGGTGAATTGATTATGTACCTTTGTAATCTTTTCCTTTGATTAATTATTCTTATGGTTAAAAATTGGCACCTTATTTCAGTTTCAACTTTGTACTTCATCTGTTAAAATACAGATATTGTTACTGTGTGCTTCAGTCTTGACTCTTTTTATAGGCTGATGCAGATGGACCAGACTTTACCACTACTTACAAAAATACCAAACAAGCTGTCAACGTAAGTATAAGTACGTAGACTTCAGCAAGCTTTTTAGGTGAGTTCCTATGTTAATATGTAATTTATTTTGAAAGATTAACTAAAAATATCTTTTTAAAGTACACTTGGTTTTAAGGTAACGTGAAAAATGGTGTGTCTAGAATTGATTATTCATTTTTAAATGGGAACTGATGAATTTTTAATCTGTTCTAAGTGACAATGCCAATTTCTGACAATAGTGTTTGTGGGATGTGATTTGCTAAAAGTGAGGAAGTGTTGTACTCTAGAGTAGTAAACTTGTTAATATATCACATGGGAATATATTTGTAGTAGAAAAGTAAAAGCTCATAGAGCCAGAGTGGGAAGGAACAGTTGTGCTATGTAAACGCTCTGGACTGGGTGGCTTTTAAATTATGACATGAGCCAAGCAGGCTCGAGCAGTGTACTATCCCAAGTGGAACACGGGAGACAGTGTCACAAAGAGGCTACTCCTTGCTCGGAGGAAGAGTTCTTCACAATGTTTCCTTGGTGGATAGACTGCACCCCAGGTGAGCTAGCTCAGCTCCATTTTCCCACCCCCTTTCAGTATCCTTTTAAAGCAAGCAAGCAAGCTCTGTACACATGGATCACATGGACGACAGGGAGCAGCTCCAGTGCAGCTGTAGTATAGAAGACTACTTGCTTCTTTGCAGGGGCAAGTCACCTTTTGAATCTCATTAAGTGTTGAAATATGCACTTCAGAGATGAGGGGGGAAGGCCAGAGAGGCCATGGTTATAATAAAATAAATATTTGCCAAAAGTTACTATAGTACAAGGCAATACCATGCTAGCTTACGTTCTGTCATATTTTAACGGTATAGATTTTAGTGACAACCACTATAGCTCACCCTCCATTGTGGATGCGTTGTTTGAAGCCTTTTATTATCCCAGAACTTCGCCTAGATGTAGTAGGTGCTCTAGACAGAAACAGCTGTGTGTCCTTGGTTGGCTTTTTCAGAGCCATAATTAAACATGCAGTGCTTTCTGGCCCTGAGCTGTGACATGGAGAAGGATTAAGCAGTATAAAGTAGTATTAAGACTGTATATTATATTCACCGAAGTAGCGCTAGTTAAAAATGCAGGTTCACATCAAATAGTAGATTTTATATTTGGCACAGAAGGTGGTATAATGTCCTTGTAGGATTGTCTTGTATCATTCTAACCTTTGATGTGACAGCATTTTGGCACCTTTCTTCTCTATTGCTATGCAATGCTACGTTGGTCAAAAATGTCGGATTACATAAGTAGAGAGTAAGTAATTTTTTCTACATTTCAGTGGTGATAATTTTGAATTAGTCATACAAAGACATAACATACCAGTATGATACGTTTTCATTAATATTACCATTTCTCTCTCTCTCTCTCTCACACACATATCATGTCAGGTGTCCTTTTCATCTTTGGATCTAATACTCCACACAGAAGCCTTACTTTCCATCATGAACTTTGTCACATACAGTGTTCCATCAGGTGGCCTTACCAGCTCTGATAAAGGATTTGACCCAAAACCTCAACGAGAGGAACAAAAAAGCGCTGTTATCAAAGCAGGTATTGTGATATTGGAAATTCCATATCTTTCTTTGTGGTGCAATAGCATGCCAGCTGCTGTTAATCAACTTTGTTTTCAAGCAACACAGAACTCTTTTGTCGTTCATCTGGCAACACATTAGTGACACACCCGGTTGTACCTGGAAAAAGACAATAGTAAATCACAATGTTAAATATCTGTTTGAACAAAAATCACAGATGAGTTTCTAAGGATATTGAATCTTCTTTTTGGTAATTGCTAAACACTTTCTTGTTCCACAAATACTACTACCATTAGGTATTTTCCCAAATAGTGCATTCATTTTTATAGGCCATTACCTTGACTGGTTAATTTGCCTGACATTCACATCCACCAAAAGTCTAAAATAAACAAACCCGGCTTTATCAATGGTTAAGCTATTTCATTAGTGTGAATTAGTGAGGTTAGCTATGATCATTTCACACTCCCACTTCTTCCCCATTAGCTTCTTGCATAACTTTAATTACCTGAATGAATTAAAACTGGTCACTTGACAAATACCTTTCTTTATTATTCCTTATAGGTAGATAGAGTAGTATTCTAATTGAACATTAACGATGGTTGTGGAAAAACAAGGGTGCTTCTCGTAAAAGATGACAAGTTAGCTGCCATAATATGCATACCCCTTCATTGCATTTTTCAAACATGTAGCAAGAAATTGTTGGTAGCCTTAACATCTCACTGAAGGAGACAGCATGACAAGTTGAAAAGGCCAGTCGAACGTCCTATAAAACTTGGAGCTGCAGAGGATGAGGCTTCGTTGTCAGATGCCCTCACTGAACTGTGACTCATCAAAACTCACTACACATTACAGCAGTGAAACATACCTGAAGTTTAGTGCTCCATAAGTGTATGTGCCACTACCTCCTCTTGCTGCCTAATATGACAATTCCATATGAATGCTTGTATCTTTTGAAATCAACCAAACTTCACCGTGTATTTGCCAACTTTCTGACTATACGGAAACACAGTTTATAAGGGGAATCCTAAACGCTCATATCAGCAAGCGCTGCCTGTAACCTAGTGATGGGGGCAGTAAAGAGAGTTTTGTTAGAAGCTATTTAAGGATTGGCTAGTTTGGCTGTTTTTAAGTGTTGTTTTTAATCCTGATAGGCTTGAGCTTGAAATTGACTGACTGTCCTAATTGGTCTTGGTCTGTGTCTTAGGAGCTGCTTTTCTCCCTACACCTGCAGGCTTCCCTTCCTGTCTAGGATAGACAGTGTTGAGGGTGATTTCTCACCACACTGTGAAGTCTAGTTTTCTTTCCTGAATATGTAAAGAATAAACTACTAATTGTGTTTGGAATTATACTATTCTCAGAGGAAGTTTCAAATGAGGACAAATATGGAAAATGTAACCATATTCTGTTTTGAAGTGATTGCTATGCCTATATTTCATTTGGCTGCTGTTCTTGTCCCAGAACAATTATCAGTCTTCTACACAATGTAATCAGATTTAGCTGTAGCTTTGGTCAAATAGAGTTAAGATTTCCAAGGTGTTGCAACAGATAACTTTTGAACAGTGTGTGTATATATAAACCTTAATTACTACAAGATGTTTTGCATCTGTTAAATTACTGGGATGAACGTGCCCTCTTCTGACCATGGTTCTTTCTGCTACGTAGTATCTAGTGGTGCAGCCCATGAAGATGTATATGACTTGAAACTTACTGTGAAGTTGAATGCATTCAACATTTTTGTCTGTGATCAGAAATGTAACATTGCAGACATTAAAATACAAGGTAAGTTATCAGTTAAGTATTTTGACTAGTAGAATTTAAGGAGATGCATCATTGCTTTTCCCCCCTAAGTTTTAAAAAGCTACTGTAGAAGTTATACATCAATATTTCAATAGCATTTACTTAAATTTGTAACAGGAGATGAGAGAGCAACTGAGCATTAATCTGAGATTTTTAATAGCCAAGATACATGTGTGATGGAGGAAAATGTATTTGCCAAAGATACACAAGTGCTTAGTTTTTAATAGGGTGAATTGAAAAAACCTTGAGTTGCTAACTCACTAGAAATGCTGTGGACTTGAAATTCTCTAAGAGTTAGGCACTCATCAGTGTTAGTGACTGGTACTCAACCCTGTATTTTCAGAGAAAGTTAGAAATGGTCTTGTCTCTTCATCACTCATCTACGAATATGTGGTAGAGGGCATCAAGTAAATGGTTAGATCAGAAACTCCTAAGGCTGAACAGCTTGTTACATTCTTTTTTGAATTTTAGCAAAAATGGATTACCTGTTGTTACTATGAACTAAAATTGGATTTTTTTCATCAGGAATGGATGCTTCTGTTTCTATGAAAACTAAAAAGATAAAGGTTTTTTCCAGACTTGAAGACATCATAATCACAAATGTTGATCCAAAGACCATTCATAAAAAGGTGACTTGTGCAATGAGAGAAGATTATGATTTTTTTAAAAAAGATACTGTATGACTAAACAGAGCACAATCAATTGCTTAATCAATTTTATCGAGATATGTATGTGGAAGACAAATGTGTTGCTTCAAAAATTGTCAAGTTAAAAAACTGAGTTTATAAACTACATTTAAATCAGGAAAGTAAAATATTTTCTTTTGACAGGTTTCAGAGTAGCAGCCGGGTTAGTCTGTATTCGCAAAAAGAAAAGGAGTACTTGTGGCACCTTAGAGACTAGTGGACACAGTATGCATCCGATGAAGTGAGCTGTAGCTCACGAAAGCTCATGCTCAAATAAATTGGTTAGTCTCTAAGGTGCCACAAGTACTCCTTTTCTATTTTCTTTTGAACATTTCATTATTTGCTTAGGCTAGTGTTCTGATTTACCTTTTGGCAAAATGACTAAAATCTCCAGTAATCCAGAAATGGCTAAATGAGATAATAGAATTGACTGGATTCACTCAAACTTGTGTATCCATCATTTGCTGTATTAAACATAGAATCGTAGGACTGAAAGATACCTCGATAGGTCATGCAGACCATCCTGACAGGTGTTTGTCTAACCTGTTCTTAAAACCTCTAGTGATCAGAGATTCCACGCCCTTTCATCCCCATGTAATTTATTTCAGTGCTTAACTACCCTTTCAGTTAGGAAACTTTTCCTAATATCTAACCTAAGTCGCCCTTGCTGCAAATTTAAGCCCATTCTACTTGTCCTGTCCTCAGTGGCTAAGGAGAAGAATTTATTTTCCTCTTTATAACAACCTTTTATGTACTTGAAGACTCTTATCAAATTTCTCCTCAAGATCATATTTTCTAGACCTTGGACCACTTTTGTTGCTTACCTCTGGTGTTTCTCCACATCTTTCCCGAACTGTGGTGCCAAGAACTGGACACAATGCTCCAGCTGATGACTTATCAGTACTGAGTACAGTGGAAGAACCTCTTCTCGTGTCTCTGGCTTAGAACACTTTTGCTAATATGTCCCAGAATGTTTGCTATTTTTTTGTGACAGTATTTAATTGTTGACTCTTTGTGATCCACTGTAACCCCCATATAATTTTTTGCAGTATTCCTTCCTAGGCAGTCATTTTCCATTTTGTATTTGTGCAGTTGATTATTCCTTCCTAAGCATAGTACTATGCATTTGTCCTTACTGAATTGTATCCTATTTAGTTCAGACCATTTCTTCAGTTTAAGATCATTTTCAATTCTAATTCTGTCCTGTCTAATCCCCTCCTAGCTTGGTGTTGTCCTCAGACTTTAAGTATACTCTCTCTGCCATTTTCCAAATCTTTATGAAGATATTGAATAGAACCGGACTCAGGACAGATCCTTACAGGATCCCACTTGACATGCCTTTCCAGCTTGTCTATGAACCATTGATAGCTACTGTCCACCAGTTCTCAAAGATAATCACTAATGTCTCGGAGATTCCTTTAGCAAGACCCTTCTAAGATGTACTTTGTCAGGCCCTGCTGACTTGAAGATATCAAATTTGTCTGTGTAATTCTGAACTTGTTGTTTTCCAGTTTGAGCCTCAGCTCCTATCCCATTTTCGCTGATGTTGACCATATTAGTCGTCTGATCACTGCTAAATTTTTTTGGTGAAAATGGAAACAAAAAAGGCATTTCACGCTGCATTTTCTATTACCCTCTTTTCTTCCCCATTGAGTAATGGGCCTACCTTGTCCTGTCTTCCTCTTGTTTCTAATGTATTGGTAAAATGTTTTCTTGTTACTGTTTGCCTCTCATTTTGTGTCTTGACCTTTCTCATTTTGTCCTTACATGCTTGTGATGTTTTTTTTAATATTCATCCTTCATAATTTGCACTGGTTTCCACTTCTTTGTTAGTCTCTAAGGTGCCACAAGTACTCCTTTTCTTTTTGCGAATACAGACTAACACAGCTGCTACTCTGAAACCTGTCACTTCTTCTATGACTCTCTTGCATTTCAGGTCATTAAAGATCTCCTGGTTAAGACAGGGTTGTCCCTCATTATACATCTCAGCTTTCCTCAGTATTGGGATGGTTTGCGCTTGTGTCCTTAATAATGTCTCTTTAAAGAACTGCCAACTGTCCTGAACTCTGTTTTATCCCTTAGACTTGTTTTCCATGGGATCTTACCTACCAATTCTTTGAGTTGGCTAAAGTCTGCTTTGTTAAAGACCATTGTCTTAATTCTACTGTTTGCCTTCCTACCATTTCTTAGGTACCTTTTCAAGGTGCCTTCCATCTTCAAATTCTCAACCAATTCATCTCTGTTTGTCTGAATTAAATCTAGAATAGCCTCTCCCTTTGTTGCTTTCTTCACCTTCTGCAATAAAAAGTTGTCTCCAATGCATTCCAAAAACTTGTTGGATAATCTCTGCCCTGCTGTAACATTTTCCCAATAGATGTCTGGATGATTGAAGTCCCCCGTCACCACCAAGTCACATGTATTGCTTGTTAATCCACTCGTGGTTACATCCTATTTGTTTTAGACAGCTTGTGTTACATTCTTGGGCTGTGACAGAATTAACAAAGGGTTACTCTAGGATACTAAATACATATCTTTAATAAAATAGCTCAATTCAATTCTTCCAGGCTGTCTCCATAGTGGGAGAGGAAGTGTTTCGATTCAAAATGGTCCTTTATCCAAACGCAACTGAAGGAGAAGACTACACCGATATGTCCAAAGTGGATGGTAAAATGTGTCTAAAAGTGGGCTGCATTCAGATAGTTTATCTCCATAAATTCTTCATGTCACTTCTGGTAAGATGATGTTACTAGCATGTATAATTTGGTACATTTAGTTTCAGTTAATAGTTTCTGTGCTGCCCAAGAATGCAAGACAGAAACCTGTTTTATGCAGTGTTGTTGTAGATGTGGTGATCCCAGGAGATGAGAGACACAAGCTGGGTGAGGTAAAATCTTTTATTGGACCAACTTTTCTCACCAGCAGAAGTTAGTCTAATAAAAGATTTTACCTCACTCACTTTGTGCCTCTGAAACATAAACATGTAAGACCAAGTTCCTTACCCTGAACATATAATGTTTAAAAGTTGCACCACTCAGTGAGAGGTTGATAAATATGAAGGGGAATGATGAAGAACAGGAGTGATATGGTGACTTAGTTTTAGCATGTATGAATAGTTGAATGTGAGCGTAAACCCTTCAGATATAGATACCTTATCAACCAAAAGTACAACTACTAGACATAAATGTACACAGTACATCCTGCTTTAGATGCATGTTCCAAGTAGGGTTGAATTCAACACTGAGTACCCATGAGTTAGAATCTTAGCTAGCGGATGATCGTGTAAGTGAGGCAGATAGACTTAAGAATTGTGAACTGCAACTTAACTATATTTTAGCAGGGACCAGGGCCAGCGAGAGCGCAAAGGCAGGTGCGACAGCCAGCCCACTGACAACCTCTGCCTCAGCAGCCCATTGAGTGCCTTGAGCTTGTCACCTGGCAGCTCTGCCTCAATCACCCACCCAGCATCCTGGCATGCTTCACAGGCACCTTCTGCCAAGGAATGAGGGAAAGGCTCAGGGGCTGTCAGTGGCAGGTGTTTGGGCAGGCCTGGCCATTCTCTATGATGATTCCGATCATGGCGTTGTCAAGGTGGAAACAGCAGCTTCTCTGAGCCCCAGTCCCTGGGTGGGTTGTGGGGCCAATACTCCAGGGTCCTTGACGCTCTTGGATTGGCAGGGTGTGGTGGCTCGTAGTCAGAATGGCTGCGAACCTTCCAGCCGCTGCCTTTCAGGACTGGCCGCTTCTCGTCTTCCTCCCAGCGGCTCCACTTTGCCCTCTGTCACTGTCTGCTATGCCACCCCCAACTCCACCCATAGCTGCACCAGCGGACCACCCAGGACTGTCATGGCCCACGGTTTGGGAACCCTGATGTAAAGTGTTTGTTTTTGTGCTACGCGAGATAATGCTGTTTTCCAACAGAACTTCCTGAACAATTTCCAAGCAGCAAAGGAAGCCCTGAGTGCAGCTACAGTCCAGGCTGCAGAAATGGCTGCTTCCAGCATGAAAGATTTTGCTAAGAAGAGCTTCCGCCTTTCAATGGATATCAACTTAAAAGCTCCAGTTTTAGTCATCCCTGAGTCTTCGGTCTCCCATAATGCTCTGGTAGCAGATCTTGGTTTGATCAGAGTTCAGAATGAATTTAAATTGGACTTCACAGATAAATCTTCTGTCCCTCCAGTCATTGACAGCATGGATGTGCAGCTCACTCATTTGAAGCTATCAAGGTATAAACTACTGTGTTTCCCTTGATACTGAATGTTTATAATTAGTGTTGGAAAACAGTTAAAGTGCCAACACAGCTCTGCATAGAGTAAGAAGATAAGGCCTGTGCCTCGAAAAACGTAATACCTAAACAGGTTGTACAGATGTCATGGGGGAGAGGGAAGTTGTGCAGCAGAAAAGCAAAGTGGTTGATTGAAGAGGCTCAGTATGTTAACTGTTAAATCTGCTTTTAAAAAAAACATTTTCTTTAGTTCCTGTTCTATTTAACACTGTTTTTAGAGGATAGGAGTTGGATTCCTAGGTTTCCTGGAAGGACAAAACTGTTTTGTTGGGTTTTTTTTAAATACTTGGCTTGGGTTCTTTGGAATTGACACATGAACAGTATAAAGGGTCTTGTAGTTAATTTGTAAACTTACAATCAAGACACTACCTTCCACTACCAGAATACAGATATACATTCACACACAGGCTCATATCTTCTATCACATTTTATATACTTTTATTTTTTGCATCATAAATGTAAAATCAGTAGAAATAAATTAATACATTATTGCGTGGGAAACACTCTTGTTACGTATAGTACTAGAGATGAATGTATTCCATATATTCTCCAGGAACACACGATGGTTGGCTTTGCCACAGTGGTTTTTGCTGACAAGCTAGTGTTTACCTACAGTTACTGCACAGTGGTACCTGTGATACTGCACTACCCTATACTTTACATAGAAAAGAAGTGCACAACTGCAGAGATTGTGTGATATCTGTGCAAATCTTTACTTGCTAGTGGCAACCACTATATCCTTTTCTCATGAATACATAAACTAAAACATTTAAGATATGGTTCTGAGTTCAGATTTGAATGGGCTTTATTGCTGCAGTCCCATGAAAAGGCTGAAGGGCAAAGCTCCAAGTTGTTGTTTTTGGGCATGGTTTCTGTGCAGAAATCTAGGTTTTCACCTGCTCCATTCTCTAATTTCCCAGCTACTCGTGGAGAAGTAGGGGAAGACCTGTATGTCAACAGAGATTCAATAGATGTTACTTCAATCTTTTTCTGTGTGTTTTCAGGAGTATTATACCCACTGCTTCTCAACCAGATGTTGAAATTTTACAGCCAGTAAATCTGGTTTTGTCAGTTCAGAGAAATTTAGCTGCAGCGTGGTATCACGATATTCCAGCAATTGGGATCAAAGGAGACCTAAAACCTATGCAGGTAACGCCACGGCAAACTAATTGTTGTGTTGTAAGTAGTAATAGATTTCTGTACCGATTAGGCAGAACTTGTTTTGTAGCACTTTAGGTTCTTGATATTTACAGAATACTGGTTTATTTGGTACTAGGGTGTTCCTTGGCTGTCTCCCAGTCATGCACAATTCCAGCCTGACTGTGATCTGATGTAGTTGTGGTGCCAGATGTTGTATGGCTTCATTGTAGTCAGATGGCCAATACTTAATGATTTGGGTGCATGATACAATAAATTAAACAATATAAAATGAAGCCTGTATTTAGGATCAACTGATCCTGGCAGAGCTCAGATACCATAGTCTTTTGGATTAATAGCCAGCTGTATCCATCCACATGAGTTTTCCTTTATTATGCAGCAACTTAACACAAGCAGACCAAACCTGGCTGCTTTATCAGAGCAAGAAAGAAAACTGCTTTGCTAGAATCCAGAAGCTAAGCTGCAGGCTCTGAAACTCCGCTTAGTTTGACTGCCCTGTATTACACTTATTTGAGTGAATGTTAAGTCTTTATCAGTTTTTATTGTAAAGAGAAATCATCAGACCTCAGGTTTATCCTCTCACTTTCTTTCCCCATCATGTTCACAGTGTAGCAAGAGTCCCACTTTAATGGCCTCAAGAGTCCCAAATTTTAGCCAGGAATCAGAGTAGGGATTGCCTAACCCCTGTACCAGTAAGGAGGAGGGAATTGATGTATCAGGCCCTTTTGGCCAGGGATTGGAGATGTCTGTCCTATGGCCACAATCCATTCGTGGCATGGCACCAAAGGAGGCCCAATGTAGTTATTCAAATGTTGTAAAACCTAAATGCGTTAACAGCATACATTTCTAGAGACTTTAAGAATTGTCCTGTAAAGGTGTAGTGCTGTTTCTCGTCAATTGTATTAATAATTATATATTCATAACATTCTGTTTTGCATTAGGATTCCTTAATGTTGAATTACTTATTTACTCGGTCATAAAAAGAGTTGTCATAGTTTAACACTTCCCAGACTTAATGTTGCCTGCTTTTTTCATTGGCAAAGGAATTCTGTTCCATATGAATTAACTCACTCTTTTATTAAATAGTCATTAAGCTATGTGGGGCCAGCAAGCGTTTGAAAGTGGTGGATTAGGTTCTTTTCGTTTAAATCGAAAAGAAGCAAATGGCATCTTGGAAAAAGGAAAAATATTCTTCATCTTAGAATTTCTAGGCTTCTTCAGCCAAGATTGTATTTTTCAATCAAATTACAATCTTGTTTAAAGAGGAAACATCCCTTAATTAGAATGTTGGTAGGAATTGCTGGAAAGAAAAGACCTTCACGAACATGGAATGTATTGGACTGAAGTGTCTAGGTTGGATAATGTGGTGATGGTACTACTAATGAAGAGGCAAGTTCTCAATATGTGGTGTTGAATGTCTTCACTGGAAATAGCTGTGTTTGACAATTTACAGATTGCTGTCAGTGAAGATGACCTAACTGTCCTCATGAAAATTTTGCTGGATAACCTTGGAGATGCTTCTTCCCAGTCTAGTGCTACACAACAGACCCTTCAAGAAGCTCAAAAAACAAAAAAGGAAAAAGATCAAAGTGATTCTCATCTCTGTGAAGGTACAACTTTAATCCAAAATTTGACAAGTTGAGAAAAAGATGAGCTGTTTTCAGTTGTTAATTGCATGTACTTTGAAAGTATAACATTGGTTATCTGTAGCTAAGGGAAGCGTAGTGATACTACTATGAAGCTGAATAAAAACTGAACAATATTTATTAAGATATTTATACTTATTGCTTTTGTAAAACAAGTTTCATTTGTCAATTCATTATAATAAATTGCTTCCATAGATGTAGTTTTTTCTGGTAAAGTGACAACCCACGCAGACCCTAAATGATAAAACCAGATAGATTGAAAGATGTCCTTAAATGTGCGTGCTGTTGTAATTAGCTGGAATATATGGACCCAAAGAGTCAAAGATGTTAACGAGATCCTGTCACTGTCCACATTAAAGAGCCTTAAACAAGGTTTAGCACTCTTGATATAAAGAGATCTCAGCTTGCTCAGTACCATTGCAAACACACCTTTAAAAATTCTTTTAACTTTTTATTATGGATACAGAAAAGAAGGAAAATCCGTTAAAACATTTGAAATCTAAAGTATTGAGTAAGGATTTCATTTTAGCACCATCCATTGTTCCCTTTTGTTGGAGAGAGGTTTTAGAAGGAAAAACCTCCTCCTTTGACGGTCAAAACGATAATAGCTGTTCTTTTGGTGAAAAGAGAAGAAGTTGATAGATATGGGTTGCTGCTAGTGTTGCTGTTAAAATCTTATCCAGTTTCCTAGAAGACAAAACAAGGCAGACATGCACAACAGGGAAGAGAAAACAAAAGCAAAGATAGGAAATGCAGCTTCTGTCTCTGGTTGGAGACGTTGCTGTTTGGAGAAACAGAGGCACAGCTCATGGTCTTATCTACCATGTCCAGAACTGGAAAACGTGTACCAGCATCAGGCTGTAAAGAGCATTGCTTTTAATTGCCTCTTCCTGGTCACAGGGTAACAGCAGTGTTGCAAAATATACAGTCTTGGCCAGCTTATAATTACACCCTGGGGAAAAAGGAGTGGGATAGGAAAGAGAAGAAATAAGGTGGGGCAGGAAAAGGACATGTGGCAGGCAGAGAGACAAATACTCTAATCCCAGTAGATGTATGGGATTCAGCTGGAGCCGGTCAAGGTGACAATGTCATATGGGTCTTTGGCCTCATCTGGTCTGGACATCTTTCATATTGGGATGACAAAGGCTCAGGGTCCCAGGAGGTGGTTAAGCCAGCTCCAGTAGCCAGTATTTTCCCCAAAATCACTTTTTTAAAGGACCCCAGAAGGGAATGATGTGTGGAATAGCCCATCCTCTCATTTTGTGTACCAATTAGGCCTAGTTTCTGATAAACCAGTTTTGGTTCATTGATTTTTCCAGTCTCACACTGTGTCTTGTTTACCAGGCATGATCTTGACACAGTCCTTGAATTGTATCAGGAGGGCTTTTTGTTGGGACTAATTCAGTCTTAACCTTCTGAACTTGAAAGATACTATTAAGCTTTTTGGGACATAGTCTAATAGACTTCTTGGTTTCTAAAGCAAAATTAAGTTGTTGTGAGTGTATGAAATGGTCTTTCAATTTGCAGATCCTGGTCTCACTTCAGGACAAACAGATATTTCTGCATTACAGCCTCCCTTGGAATATTATTCAACTCTTAAATTTGACTTCAATTTTGAGTCACTTTCAATAGTTCTTTACATCAATGACCGTAATGAGGTATGTGGTGAAATCTTCTAAAAGCTGGGGGAAAAAGTGTCAATTTTTTTGTCAGTAAAACTTATGATAGGAGAATAAAAATATTCTCTATTCTTGTTAACTTTGTATGACACCTTTGCTGCCGTAGAACTTACGATTTGCATTCTGTTACTTATGAACTACTTGGGTAAAATTGTTGCATACTTTTCCATTTTAGTAAATACTACTAGGAATATGGTAAACCAGTTCCAGTTCCCATGAAAAATTACATATGTGCGTATTTGAAACATGATTCCAGTTTACACTGGGCATTAGGCTTTATTAAGTAAAATGGAAACTGCATTATTGAGCTAAAAATGGCAATTCATTTAAAAAATTGCTAAGTGTTTAGACAAATGAGATGTACAAGTGAGGCTAATCTTGGAAAATGTGAAGTGTTTGTAGGTGGCTATAAAACAAATGCTAAATCTGCTCTTAGTGGCCCCTGGGAATGCCACTGACAACAATTGACACATGGGAATGTTTGTTTAAAATTAAACAAAAACTTCTGCATGTATGTGTGTGTCTTAAACACTAGGCATAATGAAAAAATGTTTGTTTCAGGTTGTGACCTTGTAATTCTTGTGTGGTTTTGGATTTGTAAATGCTGACAGACAGACAGCCTAATATGGTTAAATGCAGAGGCCCCAACTTAATTTAAAACTATAATCCAACTGGATTGACTGCCCACAACTCACCTGCAGAGTTGTGCTGATACGAATGTCAAAGAACACCAATAGCCTGGTTGGACTGTAAATCTGAGGGTAACTGTGAAGCCACCCTCCTTTTGCACCCTCAGGCATGCTCAAGGACTCTGACTGGAATCCAGAGTCCTAACCTGCTCCCCTTCTTTCCAGTAAGTCAGGGAGAGAGGCTGAGATGAACCACAAGCTGTGAGAGACATAGATGTGTGCCCATTCACCATGCACATTGTGCCCAGGACCAATGCCCAAACAGGCCACTGGGTTACAGAAACCTCTGTCAGACCCTTGCTAACCCACCCGCTCCACTGGAACCAGCCAACATTGGGACAGTTGTGATTTAAACCCTCAAAACCAGAACACCTAGATTCTGGCTGAGTGAAAGGTGAAAAAACCCAGAGCATTTTTCTAATTTGGTCATATGGGGATAAATCCCTTTCAGAGCGCAAAAATGGCTTTCAGCTTTAGCTCCCAGCATCATAACTAGAGATCCAGCAACTACCTTACCACAGTGACAAGACACGTGTGCTCTACCCCACCTACCTGCATGTGGGGTGGGAGAGAAAGTAAAGTAGAAGGGGGCAGTTGCTCCCAGCTGAGATTTTTGTCCTCCTCCCCTGGCTAAACCCATACTCTGGCTAGTGAAATTAACATTTGGTGTGATGGATGTGACAAAAATCACATATGTTGTAGCTAGATGATGTACCTTAATCACACTTTTGCTAATTATGCAGAATGAATTCCATTCTTCACTCACTTAATATCTGAGCTTCCTCAAATTTACCCTGTAATATCCCAAATTTTCAGATAGTATATAAATTTCTCCTCCCTCCCCCCCCCCCCCCCCCCCACTGTTTGTGTGGAATTGAAGTTAATAAACTATTAGCAAAAAATCAGTTATAATATACAATGAATCATTCCAAAAGTATAGTTTACTCTTTCACGGATTAAAGTAGACTTTTCCTCACTCATTTTTAGATGAAAGAAACCATAATGCATCATTTGATGTCTGAAAGCTTGTAGTAGTACCAAAACCAGAAGTTTCTGAAACAGAAATAGCAGAATTAGAATTGCCAGAAAAAACAGTTAAAAAACAAAACAAAAAAAAAGGGCTAGTCTCATTTATGCTTAATTTCCAATTCTGTTTGTTCCCAGCAGTGATCTAGTACAAATAAAAAATCCTAAAGGCTACAGTGATGCATATAATTATTACCACAATTCTTGAATCATAAACGGAGTTTGATAAAAGGCTCTAAGAAAAGTTGTTTGAGATTGGGATCAACTTAACTATTAAATGTTTAGTGGGCTCCATAATAATCAGGGCCTTGGCAAGCCTGAATTTGACGTGGTTTGTCGTGGTAGCTGTAAGTGCAGCCAAAATACCAGTATTTGTAGCTTACAAGCTTCAGTTAATTGAGCATGATAGATCACACCAGGCTATTTTTTTCTTCCTTGTTGTCATCCTTCCCCTGTACACTTGGTGCAGTTTGAAGATGCCTCAGTTGCATTCTTGCCCATTTGCCACAGGACAAATAAAACAGTCGAGAAATTCATAGCATAGGCTTCAGGAAGATCAGATGAATTGCTATCAAAGTCTTTATTGTTCATACTTTTTAAGGTAGTTAAAGAAAACACAAAAAACCACCCACAGTATATGAAGCAAATATTTATCCTACAAGAATGATATACACTTGGCTTTCTATACTTTATCAGGTGGGATATAGACTGGCTTTGTGACAAAGACAACTTTTGTTCTATTGGTCAGTAATCTCTCTGGGTAGTGGATATAGATCACATGTCCCTGCAGGGGTTGTATTAGATCTGTCAGATGCTTTTGATATTGTTGATCATGAGATGGTGTTAATTCATCTATGGACTACAGTAGTGAATGAGGCTGCTGTTAAGTTGGTTTCTTTTCTCCCCTCAGCAGTTGTGGGCAACTGCTTTTCTTGGCCAAGAGATCTTCTGTAGGATGTCTTTCAGTCACACCTGATAGTTTGTGCACATGTACGCAGCTAAGGAGTATAGTCAAGAGGGTTGTTTTCAGTCTGCTGATGACACAAAACTGTCTCTGTCATTCATCTGACTCAGATGATGCACTTCAGCATCTTAGCCTTAGTTGCTCTCATCCATGCTCTAATCTCATCTAAATAAGTATAACTAACTTCTCTCATAACCAAATCATAAGGTACATTCAATCTCTAACATAAGCAGAAATACACTTATGTTTAATCTTCCGTTCCCTGTTTTTCCATTCCCCATAATTAATGTTTCCCAATGTTTTTGTAGCAGTCCCTGCTTTCACTGCATAGTGACAATTTACGCCTTGGTGAACTCAGACTACATCTCATGGCATCATCAGGGAAGATGTTTTCAGATGGTTCAATGGATGTTAATATTAAACTCAAGACGTGTACCCTGGATGATCTCAGAGAAGGGATTCAGAAAGTAACAGCGAGGTTAGTTGAATGCTCCGCAAATGAAGAGCTGCAGTGAAAGTGTTATCACTTGTAAATTACTTTTGAGAGGAATCTTGGCATTAGCAGCTTTACTGAAATTTTATAAATAAATGTTAGGTATAATTTGTCTGTTGAATATATTTGCTGAGCCATGGAATAATAGTATGGACAAATGTCAAAATAGAGCTGCCAGACACGGAAAGAGAAGTAAATAGGAAGCCTGGATCTCTGGAACTTCATAAAGCTTGGAATTGCTGGCTCAAGCTGAACCCCGTTTAGAGCTAGGTGGTTTTGTGTACTTAAAAACTTGATTCACATTCCCTGTCACACTATATCAGTTTTTGAAATGTTGTAATAAAATACACTAGACTACATTTGTATGACTGTAAAACAGAATTCATACTTGTCCCTAGTTTCTTTGCTTATAGAACACAAAAGGAATTCATTACTTTGGAGTTGGGATATATTGAAATAAGTGACTTTGAGGAGAAAGAATGCATTCCATTACCAATCTCCTTCTCTATCCAAATTCTTCTAATGCTCTAAAAGTTAATTAAAATAATGTTTTTTACATTGATTGTTTTTCAGAATGATTGACAAGAAATACAACAAGACAGATAATTATATGATTGATATAAACTACAAGCAAGATACAAATGGCATTGAAGTAGTTGCTATCCTTGATAAACTATATGTGTGCGCCAGTGTGGAGTTCCTGCTAACAGTGGCAGACTTCTTCATTAAATCCATGCCAACAGCTTCAACTGAAAGGTCTACTCAGGTTCAGTTAAAGCATGCCCCTGGAAAGCCCAAACATGACAAAGGTTTGCAAAAATGTATTTGGCTTTTTAAGGAGTCCCTGTGGGAAAGGAACAAAACATAACTTGCTGATATTTTTTTGAAGTTGTGTGGAACAGTATATCAAAGGGTTAGGTCCCCAAAATGAAGATAAATATGGTCAGTTAAGGTGCCAAGATTATACTGAACTGAACAGTAATCGTATCTAACTCTTGCTGTCGTACAACACCTAGGTATGTTCTCCAAAGATCTTAATAGGCTGGGATCAATTTCTACAGTGACAATAGAAGTATTTTTCCCTGTTTATAGTAAATTTTGTAAAAACAACTTGCATACCTATCTTTTTCACCCAGTAGTTGCTGTATATCTGTAGGCACTGAAAAAAACACTTAAATATTCAAAGGAAGCACACTTAAATTACCATACTGCTGTATGGACCATTAGTCTAAGCATAGCTCTCTGCTTTTAAGAAAGCAAGAAAGTGAAGAGAGAAACAGCACACTTTAAATGCAGGTTACAAAGAGTATTTGATCTTGCATATATGCTTTTGGAGTGTAAAATTCCTCCTTGGCTAAAGAAGACTTGAAAACAACACTGAGTTCCCTAGTTTGAAATTTTGGAGGGATTTTTAGTTAAAAATCCAAAACCTACCTACCTTCCCCTGCTTGGTAGAATTTTAAGGCTCCAACACTGGAATATGATGAAATAAGAAAAATAAGCAATTTGTTTTTCAGAACAGCTGTGGTCTAATATGATGAATAATTTATTTCTGTTCATAGGCCAGGGGTCAAGAATTTAGGCTCTATCTTGACTGATCCTTCAAAAATTCAGTGTTGAAGCTTTTCAGTTAAAGCAATTACTTGCTTTCCTTTTATTTATGGTATCACAAGGCATCTGTTTCCCACATGCCTTTGGATTCTCCAACTGCAACATATGGAACTCTAACTTCAGTATAACCTCTTGTAGGGGAGCAAGTTGGAGAATTTTGTGCTCTGTAAAGAGATCTCTTTCTGAGAAATTTACTCATAAAGACTTGGAAATAGGAGGTTGAGTAATTTTTAATGTTAGGAACTACAAGTAGATGGTTTACAGTAGCTTTTTATTCAGTTGTGGGGTTTTTTGTGTGTGGTTTTTTTGCCTATGTGACCACTTTACAGCTGTAGTATACCCTGGCTCCCACTGTTTTCAACAAGCCTTTTCATGTACAGCTCCTTTGTCTGGCTACTGGTAGATTATGCAATGTATCGTTTATAGGACCCACAGGGTTCTAGTCTAGTAAATGGTTGTAATGAAACCAAGTCACAGCATAATGTGTCATCATTTGAGGAAAACCTTCATGAAGTCCTGCTTCGGATCAGAAACTAGGAACAGGTTTCTTAAGATTTTTTTCTACAGTATAAAATCACAGCCCTTCTTAATCCACCATAAATTAATTGTTGGATAGCATTTCTGATGATGTAATTTAAGATGTGATGTAAGTACATGTCTCAGTACTTTTTTTCTTTTTTGCCCAGAGGGTTCCTTACGGCCAAACATGACAGTAAAAGCAGTGGTCCTGGACCCAGAAATTGTATTTGTTGCCAATTTGACCAAGGCTGATGCTCCTGCCTTAAAAGCTTCATTCCAGTGTGATTTCTCTTTATCATCTGATAAGCTTGCACAAAGGATGACAGCTCAAGTGAAGGATGTAAAAGTGCTGGCCTGTGCTTTCCTCAGAGAAAAGCAGGACAAGAATATCACCACTGTAAGAAACCTCTTAGCATGCTTCACACACAAGGAAACTAGACACAGAACTGTTGGTTCATATAGCCTTTAATCAGTCGCACACCCTTCCTTCCCCCCCCCCCCCCCAAAGTCCAGCTCAGTTCCAGGGTAACATGAAGACATGTGTAAAGATGGGGGGGGGGGACAGGGCGATTGTACTATGCCCTGAAGAGATAATTAATTTGGGCTATTTGGGTCAAAGGGGAGGGAGCTAGTCCAAAAAGTGATGGGATCAACTGGAGAATGCTGTGATATTCCCTTCATCTTAAATAAGATGCAGCTTCAGCACCTCTGCTGATATCTGTTGTGTCAATATTGCATGTGGAGAGAGGCCACATACAATTAAAACATCAAGTTGATATGGGTGGTGTGTTCTTTCTGATTTGTACAAACATACTGTTAACCCCCATTTCCCCAGCTCCATTTCATTCTATTTGCTTACAGGCCAAAATGGCTGAGCTCCATAAGCCATCTCTCCAATTGCTTCTGCCCTTCCTTCCCCATCCCCCAAGGAAATGGGAAAGTTCTACTTTAACGGGACCCAGATCTCAAATAGAAATATTACAGAAAAAGTTGTAAAACTATGGAGCATAAGCACATTCAGTGAAAGATTTCTTCCTTGAGAAGACACTGATCATATAGTGTTTTTTTAATTTAAACATGGATTTTAGCACAAGCCTGTGAGCTAGAGCTTGAGCATAAAGCAGAAATTGATGATAGCAAGAACATATTGTAGCTAGGAAACTAAAGTTAACTTACGAATGATGAGTTAAGAATAGTTAATAGAAAACTGTTGACTTCATATTATGGGTTAGATTTGAGTCTGTAGGGCTAGCCTTAAGTATGGGCAACTGGTAACGGCATCACTCCAGAAGTAGCACTGTGGAAGTCCATTGGGCTCCTCCTTTTGCTGAGAGTGTGGGGAGTAACTTGTTTAACCTCTTTTCAGGAAGTAGTTTACTCACTCAAGGAATCTGTTCAGCTCTGTCCCTCCCTGCCCTTCAGTCCTCTTGCTTACAGGAAAGTATCTGGTGCCCGGCTACTGGAGCTCCTGCCTCCATGCCAGCATCCCATATTTGGATAGCTCCTATGTGACCACATAAAACCAGTATGGGAGGACTGTATTCCCCTGAAACAGTGCATAGCTCCATGCTTTTTGCCAAGTGTTAACTCTCTTTGGCCATAAAGAAGAAAGATGTGGGGAAATTTTTTTTTAAAAGATGGAAGCTTGGAATTAATTTATTTTATAACCATAAATTCAAATACTCCTTCAGGTGTTACAGCCTTGTTCTTTGGTGGTGGAAAATATGACACATGTTTCAGGATTGCAAAGTATGGCAGTGACAATAGAACAACTTATTATAAAGGTTAGTAATATTGTTAAAAATTGACTTAGAAAAAGCAGTTACACTTCTCAGATTAAAATTTTAACATGTTTTTTTTTCTTTTATTGCTGTCCAAAGTTGCCAATTTAGACCATCAAAATTCTATGTGTAATTTTGGTGTGGATGTCAAAACATTTTGGTAATATCACTATGAACAAGCACTGATAGTTCAGAGGTATTTTAAAATGCAGTGTACTAAATTATTAATTAGTGTTAATGTATAGTCGGGTAGTTTGAAATCTGGTCAGTTAAAAAAAATCAGATAGTACCCTTTTTCCTGAGTCTCCAGCCAGTCTTTTTGGTTTCACAATTGGTTTTTCCTATTTTTAAAACACATTTCCCCTATTACTGAGTGCAAGACCTACATCTGTAACTTAGGTTGATAGTTGCTTTAAATTTATGCACAGTTACTTCTGTGCAAATGGTATAATTTGGTAGTTCTTAGAATGAAGCACTAATAAGTCATAAAATACCTTTCACTTAATGGCTTAATCAGTAATTTAAGGATAGCTACATTAAGAATCTTCACTTGACATTATTGCTAACTCTTCATTTTTATATAATGTGTGTTCTAATCATATCAGGGTAACTGGCACATATGGTGTTTTACAGTAAATCGGATTTCACCACTCACAGCAAGTCTTGACGATAAGAATGTTGGTGGCTTGCCTGTAAAATTAACTTTGGGTTGAAGTTCTGTAGAGTATGTACCGTACCACACAACAGGTTTAGCTTTTTAAATAAATATTGTGTGCTTAACATAAATGTTGATGCTTAAACAAGAAAATTGGTAGTATTTTAGCAGCGGTGGTGTTCACTGTATATATCAGAACGTTGTTAAAATATATGCTCTCTGTGCGCAACAGTAAGAAGGTTAGACTTTGTGACTTAGACCATCAAGAATACTTTTACAACTCTGAGAATATGGGTGGGAAAACTAGTGAGGATTTTAGGAAACATAGGTGAGAGACACTTATGCATGATGGCCATTTTTGTGCCCCAAATTTAAGTTGTTACTTGTTTGTGTAATCAGATACATGCCTTATTTATGTGATGGTTGATAACCTATAACAGATACCACACTTTTGTGGTATATCTTCAATGTCTAATTGTTTTCCATCTGGCTTACATGTAAAATTAAAAAAAAAAAAGTAAGCTACAAATGAGACTCTTTATTCTTAAAGATTTCACCAATCATTTTGAATACTGTGATGACTATAATGGCTGCCATAAAACCAAAGGCCAAAGAAGAGGATTCCAAAGGGACAACAAGTGATTCTGGCAACTTGTGGGATGTGAAATCCATTAACCAATGCAATGCTTGGTTCCTTGGTGTTGATGTAGCCACGGAAGCAACTGAAACTTTCACGGACAGTGAGCACGCTCTGAAAAATGAGAATTTTGACGTTGGTGTGAAATCAGTTCAGATCACCTTGGAATGTGGTCTGGGACATCGCACTGTTCCTTTATTATTAATAGAATCAGCATTTTCAGGAACACTTAAAAACTGGTCTTCCCTGTTGGGTGCCACTGCTGACTTGACACTGGAGGTAAGTGGGGTCAATTCATGCTTCCAAATTAAAATTGTTAAAGGCAGAAAAATGTTTTGAAATGCTAAAAGACAATTGCTTGATTTTTATGTAGTAGTGCTTGAAGTCCTCAATAATTATTGGGCTAGCATTGTACCAGTGCTGTAAAAATGCATAGGTAGTCATAATCAATACTCCCAAGAAGTCAGTCGCATTAGAGACAATGTAATCCGTGTAAGAACTGATAACAGGGAAAGGAGGAGGGGCAGACAGGAGAAACCATTATAATGTAATGTGGTTTCATAGTGTTATCAGTGTGCGTAGCTTGATGATTCCAGAAATGTAAACAATTATTTTTAAAAATCCCTATCATATAACAATCATTGTTGCCTCTCTACTTCTTTAACATTTTTGCGTATCCTTTGGGGTCTTGGTGATGAACCCCATCCCTCTTAATCTCTATGGAAAAGGTGATCTTGGGTATGCATGATCATGCTTCATGTACTTCCTCTTCTCCATACAGGCTATGTTTACACTGTGAGCTAGCGGTGTGATTCTTAGACATAGGAGCTCTCGTCTTCATCGAACTAGTGCGTTGAAACTAGTAGTGTGGACACGGCGGCGGCGGCAGCAGCAGCACAGGCTAGCCAACCTGAGTACCAACCTGCCTGAACCCTATGTGTACATACTGTGGGCAGTTGGCCGTTGGCCCTTGCTGATGCTACCTCTGCTACCGCGGCTATATTGCTGGTTTTATCAGGCTAGCTCAATGAGGGCTAGTGTGAGTAGGTCTATGCAAGCTGGGAATCACACCCCTAGCTTCTAGTATACTTGTAGCCATAGAGGATCAACAGCTACTGCATCTATCTCATGGTTGGCTAGTGTTTTAAAATATCTATCCTCACAACTACTTGTGATGAATTCTCCCCAGTGGAGGGTGTTGAGTCCCACATGGGGTTGGGAGGTCACCAAGACCCCAAGAGTTACTCCATGATCTCTGGTGTTGTCCAAGTGGCAAGAATGGGTCCCTGCAGCTGGGGAAGGTGAGAAGATCCATTAACTTGTTAGTGGACCCATGTTAATGAGCTGTACACTAGATATTCCTGTAGTTCAGGACTGTGAATGTGCTGGCAGGGGTCTGTCTATTACTTAACGCTCTAATCCCTTTCCTCACACATCCCCACCCCATGGTCAATTCCCAACCCCACCAAACAGCTCACAGAGTCCAGAACTGCTCACACTGTTGAGAATTCTGGGTCTCCAGATGCTGCCACTGGTGCTGTGGGAGGTGACAATGATTACATTAATGCATTAGGAATTGACTAATAGACTAACTTGAATTATCAGAATGTCCAGGCTAAGTCAGATTTAGAGCTAGTTACAATTTCTAAGTGATAGATTGAGAAAGAAGTCTAGTGCTATGAAAGGTAAGGAAACTAAGCTTGGTGTGCAGTCTGATAAACCTCTTTTTTAATAAAAGATATTCGTTACACACATTAAAACAGTCTGTGTTTTTATAAAATAGTTAATATTTAACCCAATGAAAGAACCATTATATGAAAGTTTGAGTTGGAAGAAATGCATATGCTTTCATAACATGGTAATATAACTACTATAAGGAGTGATCTAAAAATATGCTTTGATTTCCAACCCAATTTTAATTTTCTTTCAGGTTCATTATTACAATGAAACTTATGCAGTGTGGGAGCCTCTTATTGAACGAATTGATGGAGGAAGGAAACCATGGAATTTAAAACTTGAAGTACGGAAACATAACGGACAATATATGAAATATTCATTGTGAACATACAGCTTTTTTTAACATGTTGATGCATTAAGATACTGACCCATGACGTCCCAGATACTGTCCTCTTTGACTGAGGGTATGTGTACACTGCTATTAAAACCCCATAGTTAACCTGTGCCAGCTAATTCAGGCTGCAGGGTTGTTTAATTGCACTGTAGACTTCTGGACTTGGGCTGGAGCTGAGGCTCTAGGATCCTGTGAGGTGGGAGGGTCTCAGAGTTTGGGCTGCAGCCTGAACCTGGAGGTCTAGACTGGAATGGAACAGCCCAACAGCCACAGCCCACAAGCCAGAGTCAACTGGCACAGGCTAACTGTAGGTGTCTAATTGCAGTGTAGACAGACCTGTCAGGGTTGAAAATTCTGAATGTTGTTTGCAGAATTCTCAAGGAGGCTGCCTTCAAAATATATATAATAGCCTCTTCCTTGTACATGATACTAAATCTGTCTTACTGACAAGAGGGGCAACACAAGCTTTCAGGAGAACTTGCCAAGACAATAGTCACTGCTAACTAGTGATTAAAAACATCTTGTGTAGAGAGGGAATTGTAATTATCCACACTTCTTAGAGATGCTGTTAGGCCTAGGTGGAGAAAATGCTGCCTTTGTGGATATTGCAATGTGCATTTTTAAGTAACAGCCATGTACTTTAATTCTCACCTGGTACTGATTTTGGATTCCAATAAATCTTTTTCCCCCGTAGGCAGATTGTATCCCATTTTTTTAATAAGATTTGCACTTGGAAATTCTTACTAAAACTGATGTTTTAGTATGAGAGAGAATTTTTACAGCCTCTTCTAGTTTCTGATGGATTTTGGGACCCTGGGTATTCAAGAAAAAAAATATTTAAGAGCATAACAAAGAACTCGTCAAAAAGCTAAAAGAACTAGTAAAAACTGAAGGAGGACAAAGTAAACAAAACAAAACAAAAACAAAACAAAAAAATCAATATCACCCAACAGGGATGATACTAAAAACCACTTTAGGACAAAAAGGTGAAGAGATCTCTGGAGGAGAACTCTCCCCTAGTCTGAGACATAGGGAAGGCAGCAGAAAAGCACTTCAGGGGAGCTTACCTCTTTGTACTGCAAACAAGACCCTGGAGCCTAAGGAGGCATCGTCAAAAGAGAGAGGCCCAGCTGATGATGATATGACAAAGGTGAAGAGAAGAGCTAAGTGCTAATTTGGAAATGAATGCGGTTACCACTTGAGATGCAAGAGCCTGAATATTGGTGGTAATGGAAAAACTCTTAGCCTTGCATATATTAACAGCTAAAAGCCATTGGACTATTTTCCTGAATGAAAGCAACAGAATCCACCAAATGTTAATGTCTTGATATTAAATAAAATAAAATGGGGAATTCTATTGGTCCTCAGTGTCACCTTGCACCATTATCTTCCAGATTGCTCATTAATTCATAATAACCAATTAGTCATTGAGCACCACATGATAAATGTGCAGCAGGGTATGTTGTTATAAAAGTGCAGAAAACAGTGCTATGTTTGACTTTGAATGTTGGTGGGTATGAAATAAATAATATATCCAAGATCATATTAAAGGAATTTGCTAATGATTTCTCAACACATTTGTGAAGTATGATTTTAAGAGAAAATTGCAAACCTGCATAAAGCTACTTAAATTTGGAGAAACAGTTTGTGTTCATGCTTATAAAATTAGACAAAGAGAATGTTTAATGCTGTTTTTTCCCTTTAGATAAAGACTAACCCTATACAAGATAAAAGTTTGATACCTGGGGATGATTTTGTTGTTCTTCCTGAAGCACAAACTGTGGTTAACATCTCTTCAAAGGATACAATGAATATAACAATATCCAAATGTTGTCTTGCTGTTTTCAATAATTTAGCCAAGGTAATTTTATTCCATACGGGACTTACCATGAATTAATTTTGTTTGTGGCCAGTCCTGAATTCTTATTCTTATTCTGCTCAGCCAGTCAGGTTGAGAGTCCACTTACTCATTTTCTGTCTTTCGTGATGGGGTGAATTCTTTCTTTTGCTATACAGTTGATCCTTCTAGCTATTAAAAAGTGAGTTTGACTTGTTCAGAAAGAAGCCAGCTGCTCCCTTGACTATGAAAATGGAGGTGCTGACACAGGACTTAAAAAGGGAGAAAATATGGGAGGGAAATGACTGAGTGAGAGTCTTGTAACTTAATCTGAATTGGTACAAGACATAGAAGCAGCCCTTCCCCATGGGTGCATGATCAATCTGGTCTCTGGTCTCCATTATAGGGTAGCCTAGCCTTTCAATAGGCATACTGGGGAAAAAAAGATACTTACTGACAGTTGGCCCTTCAAATTTAATGGAAGCAAGCCTCTGCAGCCCACCAGTGTGCTAAATTTCTATTGTATTTTCCTCTTACTCCTGAGGAGGTAGGACATGCTTGTTCACGTCCCAGAAGATGTTCTATTGTATGGATATTGCTCACTGATACTTTACTAAATAAATATAAATTGGGTTTATCTATGTAGGTGGTAATTATATCAGACTTATATGATTATTGTTAATTTATGAGTAATAAGTTATAATAATGTTAGTGGAATTTACGTTTTAGCGTGGTGAAAATGACTCGTATATTAATTTATGTAATACCAGATTACTTCAAAATACTGAATATTGCTTTTATACAATCATGCCAAAAGCACATACTTCCTGATATACAGTATATACTGTTGCTTCTGTAAAGAAGGTAGTATTGTGTATGGATGTTTTTATGTTAACTGGTTAAGATGTTTTATTCTATCATGACCACTATCCTTTAAAAATCTTATCATTGTACTTTCTTACAGGCATTTTCTGAAGGGACTGCCTCCACTTTTGATTATTCTTTAAAAGATAGGGCTCCTTTTACAGTGAAAAATGCACTGGGTGTCCCTCTCAAAGTGCATCCTACCATCAATCTTCGAGTGGTTGGTTCAACCTTAAAAGAAGATATTCATGATGTAGAAATTGGTCAGAATTTGGAACTGGAATATTCAGTTTTGGAACCTCTGCATCGAGGAAAGCTGTCGGCATTATACCGTCAAGAGAGCTGCCTGTTCACTTTGAGCTTAGGTAGTGTGCAAGGGATGACTGTTGGTAGCAATTGTGCTTGGTGAAGAGATTCAGGGGAGAGTTACTAGGCCAGGTACCATGTGGTCAAACTTAACCACTGAATTTCCTTGTTCACTCTGGAGATAACTGCTCGCCACCAGCTGGCAACTGTCTTTACTCTTGTCCCTGCTGGATGTTTCCTAGAGCCAGGGTTGCCACTCCATAGTCAATTTCTCAGAACACTGACTTGGGTGCTGGGAAAAGAGGAGTGGGGAAAATTCAAGTCCCTTTTCCTTTACTTCCCTAATAATAGAATTAAAGGTTAGTAAGAAGCACAGGCAGGTAGAACATCTTGCCATTCCATCAGAGGGCTAGGAGAGTTTGTGAGCTGATGCGATTGCACCTCAGCTGGCCTGCTGACCTCCCCAATGGAGATCCACCTGTCACCACTCACTTCATATAGTTAGATTCAATCTCTTTGGGATAGTCAGGAGTTCCCACATAGCAAGTTGTGCTGGTCAGTTCATTGGAGGGAGTAAGATAGTGTGAATCCTGCAATACTGGCATTCCCCCTGTCTCCTCATTAAGAATCTTAAGTTGTTTCTGTGTGAAACAAATAGGCTGAGGGTGCCTCATGATCTATATCTATTATGTAGCAAGTATCTTTTGTAGAAGCTGGTGGTATCATACTTGATTTTCCCAGCCATTATTGACGTAAAACTTACTTTTAATTTTCCCTTCTGGTTAACCATTTTCTAGTTATCGTGCGCCAAAAACACAACCTGCGGGTCTCTTATGTTGGAGGCTGTGGGGTAATTTTATTAAGGGGCTGGCATTGCATGTTTGCTTGAAAATGGTAATGATTTGTTATGTAAGTTTGCAGAATCACATACCAGTGTTGTTTTGTAAAACAGCGCCTCTAGGCTATACAGAAGTGGCAAACATCCCCATTGCAAAACCAGGCCGACGATTGCACAGTGTACGGACTCCTCTTGTCGACCACTCGGACTCTGTTCTGGTACAGATAGATGCAGCTGAAGGGAATAAAGTTATTACCATACGGTCTCCTCTGCAGGTAAAATGTATAATAAAATGCATAAAGTTAAATAAGCCCAAGGCCACTGCTTAGAGTTTGTTTACTTCTGGAGAGTAACTTGGGCTTCCTTTTTTCTTAATACATTTTGAGATTATTCTTCAGCAAAAAAGCAAACACGAACATATAAAGTAAAAGCAATTATTTCATAAATGTAAGTAATACTGCTTTAAATTTACATTTTAGATTGTAATTTTAAATGTGTTATAGGATTTGAATGGAGACGTTGTATGCATATGCCGGTATAAAAATCTGTTTTATGTTAAATACCTGTAATGGATAGAAGTGCTACCTTGGTTACATTCCATTTAAAGACGGTAGTTATTAAATTGTGGCTTAAATTGGCTCTCCTGCAGCTCTAAGCTATACGTTTTCAATATGTAATTTGTACTGCAAGATGCAACGTTTTCTTCCAAGCAAGTAATTTTGTTAATTGTTATTGTTAAGGGCTCCAAAGTAGCATGATTGTGGTGGTGTTACTTTGATGTTTCACATTGCATTTTTTTTGCTTTCTGTACACATTAGTTACTTTCTGAGGACAATTCTTTGTAAGTTTCAGTTTGCAAAGGAGCGTCCTAATTAGATTTACTAATTTTTGTACATTATGTATAGTTCATATTTTCATTTTGAAATTTGTGAAATATATTTAATGAGACGTATACATTTTTATCATAGATCAAGAATCATTTCTCTGTCCCATTTACAATCTACAAATTTGTTAGAGATGTTAGACTGCTGGAGCCAATAGGAGTATCTAAGCCTGAAGAGGAATTCCATGTTCCTTTAGATTCATACAGGTACACTTATACCGTTATGCCAAGTCTTACAGCGTGTGATGTGAAATTACCATTACTTGAATCAAAATATTTTTTTACCAACTCAATCTGTTAGTCTTACTAGACCACGCATACTCATCTTGTGCTGGGCTTTTTTCACGATTGAATTGACAAAAGCCAAATTATATTTATTTTTAAAAATAATTATATAATGCAACTGGGTGCATTAAAAAAGCCCCCAAAATAGTAGTAATGAAGGGCAAATGGTCCTTCAAAATGGTCTCAGTTTACATATGTGCAGTTACTTGTATTGCATGAACATAACCATGGTTATTAGTCATATTTTGTGAACAATTATTCCATTTGCCTAATCATAACTGCATTTGCAAATCTAACATTTTTATAAATCTGACCTGAAATAACTTGCAATGAGGGGAGAGTTTCTAAGATCCAGGGGCAAAGTCAATCCATTATCTTTGGTAGGAATGGTATAGCATTTACATGCTTTTTCACTGAAACACTTTGGCTTTTCTCGTTGTACTTTTGAATAATCGTTTATTATTTCCATTTGTTCCCTTTCCCCTCCCCGATTTTTAACTCCTTTTTTCCTTTATAGTGTATCTTACTTACAATGTGTTTATATTCAGTTGTTGATGTTTATTGTGAATTTCAGTGCTTTGAGACTTGAGGGAATGTAGAAGTTTTTAAACGCTTGCATGCCAGTGGAATTCTGGCCTAAAACAGGTGGGATATTAGAACTGTGAGCCTTACTTAAGCAGACATTTCAAAAGGTGACAGATGATTTTGGAAGGGGCAGATAGGCTTTCATCTCAGTCTCCAATGTCCATATTTTCGTTTAGGTCTCCAGGTGTCACAGTTCATTTAACTTCCTGTCAGCCTGGGTCTGGTGAAACACTCATTAAGGTGAATTATATATCCAAAGAATCATAGGCTAAACCAGAATTAAATAGTGGAATCAGAGTCAGACCTAATTAGAAGAAATAAACTACGTTTAGTGTCCCATAAGGATTCAGTTTAACCCATCTGCCTCTATTGACTTTACAAAATTGAGAGTTCATAGAGTCTAAGCATCCCAGGATCACATTATTTCTTTTGCCCACAGTGTCACACTGGGAGCTCATGTTAAGCTGATTGTCTATTTCAACTGCAAAGTCTTTTTCGGAGTCACTGTTTCCCAGAGTAGTTTCCTCAATCCTGTACATATTGACTATGTTCTTTGTTTCCCAGATGTATACGTTTACATTTAGCCATATTAAAACATACATTATTTGCTTGCATTCAGTTTACCGAGTGACCTAGATAACTCTGAATCGGTGCCCTGTTCTCCATTATTTATGGCTCCCCCAATTTTTGTGTCATCTGCAGATTTTATCAGTGACGATTTTATGTTTCCTTCCAGGTCCTTGATAAAAATGTTGAATAGCATAGGGCCAAGAATCAATCCCTTTGGGACCCCGCTGGACACAGACGTGTTCAATGATGAGTTCCCATTTACAGTTATATTTTGAGACCCATCAGTTAGCCAGTTTTTAATCTATTTAATGTGTGCTATGTGAATTTTATATTCTCATTTTGTAAGAAAATGCCATGTGGTATGAAGTCAAAGTACGTTACATCAACACTATTACCTTAATCAATCAAACTTGTCATCTCATCAAAAAAAGATAACAGGTTAGTTTGACAGGATCTAGTATCCATAAACCCGTGCTAATTTGCATCATCTACATTATCCTCCTTCAGTTCTTAATTGGAGTGCCCTATCAGCTGCTTCAATGTCTTCTCCAGGATTGATGTCAAGCTGAAAGGTGTCTAATTACCCACTTCATCCCATTTGCCCTTAGGAAAAGTTGGCACAACATTAACTTTCTTCCAATCTTTTGAAACTTGCCCAGTGCTCCAAGACTTGTTAAAAATCAGTGTAATGGTCCAGCAAGCTCCTCACCCAGGTCTTTTAAACTGTTGGGTGCAAGTCATTGGATCACTTGATTTTAAAATGTGTAACTTCAGTAGCTGCTGTTAACATCCTCCAGAGGTACTTGTGGAATGGAGAGAGTATTACCATTCCACAATGAGGCTTTATCAGGGATCAGCAACCTTTGGCATGCGGTCTGTCCGGGAAATCCGCTGGCTGGGCAGGACTGTTTGTTTACCTGCTGCATTTGCAGGTTCAGCTGATCGCAGCTCCCGCTTGCCGTGGTTCACTGTTCCAGGCCAATGGAAGCTGCATGAAGCAGTGGCCAGCACATCCCTCGGCCCACGCTGCTTCCCGCAGTCCCCATTGGCCTGGAACGGTGAACCGCGATCAGTGGGAGCTGCAATCAGCTGAACCTGTGGACGCTGCAGGTAAACAAACTGTTCTGGCCCGCCATTGCGTTTCCCTGATGGGCCATGTGCCAAAGTCTTGCCAATTCCTGGGCTAGATCATGTTTTGTCCCCAGATACAGAACGGAAATATTTATTTAACACTTCTACCTTTTCTGCATTATTATTGGTGATTCTATCATTTCCATCTAATAATGGGCCCATACCGTTGTTAGGATTCTTGTTGTTCCTAATATATTTTAAAAAAACTCCTTATTGTACAAACTTGGCTGGCCATAGATTTCTCCTTGTATCTGTCCCTTGGCTTTCTTGATCAGTTTTCTACAATTCCTAACTTCTGATTTATATTCGTCGTTCGTTCTTTCTTTCTTTCTGTCTGTCTTTCGTCAGCTGCCTTCATTTTCCCTCTAAACCAGGTCAGTTTATAGACCAGCACTGCCTTCTTCCTCAGTTGTGGGATTGCTCAGAAGGACCGGGTTTTCCATTTGAGGCAGCTGTTCATGGAATCTGCACTTCACCCAGTGCCTGTGGACCGCCAAGGCTTGGGACCGAGTGCCTCGGTGCAGAGCGCTCCGGTGTCGGTTTGCAATTGGGGGCCAAGGAAGGACTCTACTGCAGGAGACCCTCAGCATCAGTGATCCCCGGCACCACAAATAAGCACAGGGCCCTGGCACCACTCCACTTCTCGGGTGCCTCACAAGTGCAAAAAGCCTGGGAGAGGACGCTCCCCTTGCAGAGCTCCCAGACTGTCAGGGGATGCTTCGCAGCACGCGCGGAAGGAACCGGCTCCCAGGCAGCATGAGTTGGCGCCGTCAACTCCAGCGCCCCAGAAGGCACTGTTTAGTCGGGTGCAAAGTGACTCTCCAGCAGGGCACGGCCAGGTGGAAGTATTGGAGCCATTCTCCACCCTGGACACTTCAAGGCCGCAAGGGATCTCAGAGAGATGACTGTGGCCCAGCCCCCTGGTCATCAGGAACAAGTCTCTGGTACCAGTGAGGCCGACACCGTCCAGAGGCAAGCCTGCAATGTGTAGCGCTCAGTCACCAGTCTGGCATCGTGCCCGGCACCACTCCTGATCGCCATCACCACATCATTCCCCAGCACCGTGCTCAGCGGGAAAGTGCCTGGCACCGGAGGTGCAGTACTCCATCTTCCCGGCACCAAGCATACCTCTGCACCGGTCCATAACGCCCTTACAAGTGGCACCAGAGCGCAGAAGCTGATGGCCATCACCAGACAGGTGGCACTGGTCTCCCTCACCAGACTGTCAGCACCGGTCATCGGCAAGATCGTCATGGCACTGGTCCCTTGTTTCTTCCGCACAGCACCGATGGCCATCTCATGGGTCCCCAGCACCACCATGGTCTTCGCCCTTGGGTTCTTCAGACTCTGATAGAGTCCTACTATTGGAGGCGTAGTTGGCACAGGTTGAGCAGGTGCTGAAGGGACATGCGTGTAGCTTGGCAGCCACAGTGGAACCCTCCTTGAAATGGCCTTTTTGGACCCACTAGGCTTACCATCAGGTCCAGGGTACCCCTTCCAGAAGATCTAGATTGGTGACCTCAGGATGCCCTCTTTCCCAGTCACCTAAGGATAGACCTGCTCCACGGGGAGCTGAAGTGACCCTCTCCTGGCTGCCCCCGCAGACTGTAACCTGCCCAATACCTGCCAGCACCTCACAAGACATCTGTCCGTGAGGAGCCAGTGTTGGAGCCTGGTGCAGTCCAAGAGCAACCCAGGCAACTCAAGGGCCAGGGAGGACCCTCTACCACTGCTGGGAACCTAATCTTCCTCACCTGACAAGGTGTTAGCAGGAGCATCAGCCGTAGGGCCCCCGCCCGTTGACCACAGGACACACTAAGACCTCCTCCATCACATCACCTGCAACATGAGCTTGCAGGTGGAGGAAGTGATCAAGACAGAGGACCCGATGGACGTTCTTGCCCCAGAAGGGCCTTCCCGGGTGGCACTGCCATTAATAAAGACCATCCAAAGCACTAATAAGACCCTGTGGCAGACACCAGCCTCCATCCCGCCCACCTCCAGAGGAGTTGAGAGGAAGTACTTCGTCCCTTCCGAGGGCTACGAGTACCACTTCTCACACCCACACCCTTGCTCTCTGGTGGTCTCAGCAGTAAATGAGAAGGAGTGTCAGGAGCAACAGGCACCGGCCCTTAAGTCTAAGGAAGCTGAATGCATGGACCTATTCGGAAGGAAGGTCTATGCTGCTGGAAGCCTCCAGCTGAGGACAGCGAACCACTCCAGAGGACAAAGTCTAATATAGAATTCTCCTGCATTGGCTGCAACATCTTTTTTCATCCAGGTTACAAACACTAAAGAATTGACCATCTTATTATAAGTATTTCTTGTACTGTTAATAAGGTTGTCTGTGAATGTCCAGGAACGTGGTTGGTTGATACTCTTTCTGATAATCCTGATGCACAATTTTTCATTGCATAAAGGGTTAATCAGTTTGGGATTTCAGAGCTTTTTGGTTATTCAGTGTAATTTAGGTTATTCTATTTAAGTTTAGACTAAAATTAAATGTGTTGTCCACACTTGTGTTTTTGTGAAGGCTCTATTGGTTGTTTTTGGTTTTTTTCCCCTCCACATAGGTGTCATCTATTTATTCAACCAACAGGGATCTTAGAAGGTCAATTTAAAGAATCCACAACTTACATTGCCTGGAGAGAAGAGCTTCACAGAAGTAGTGAAGTGAGATGTATGTTACAGTGCCCTTCTACCGAAGTAAGCTTCTTGCCTCTAATAGTCATGACAACTGCTGTTCCTGATCAACTAAACTTTATTGCAACTCACGGGGAGGACTGGGATCCAGCCTACATTATCCATCTTTACCCAACGCTCACTTTGAGGAATCTTCTGCCATACTCTTTGAGATATTTACTTGAGGTATGGAATTTAAGCAATCGTGACTTTTTAAAATAAAGTTTAAGGAAAGCATTCAATGATTTCCATCTATAAACAGAAGATATTAAGTTATGTATTCTATGGACTACATTGGCTCTTGGAATCTAGGGCAAGGGATGTGGGCTGGAGTCGTTTTCTTCATCCCAAGTCAGTCCAAGTGTTCTTGTATGGTGAGGCTTGGTACCCAGAGACAGTTGGAGTTACTGTGTTGCCCTCCACCTGGAGTAACAATGGCTAGGGACCAGGTTTTTCTAGAGCATCAAATATTGCTCATACAAGGAAAACTGTTCCTCACTTGTACCTTAGTTTACTGCCAAGGAAAACCATATTGCTAAATGTCAAAACTGATGGACACCAGATTTTTTTTTCTGGCTATTGATCTAGGTCTTCATGATGGCCTTCTATAACATTTAACTTGGCTAGAAATGTGAAGAAGTTAATGACTTTCTTGATAATTTCCCCTTCCTCACTTTCTTGGTGAGGTAACATGGAGAAGCGTTTCCAGTGTCACATCGAAGGAGGACAGACTTCCATAAAGAGTAGTAGGACAATAATCCTTTCCCCCAAATCCATTGTGCACACATGCTCTCCCTCCCACCCCCAAAACCCCAACAAACAAAAAAAAATCCACCCAAAAACTTTTAACTCTGTAGCTAAAATGCTAAAGTATTGCAGAAGTAAGGACATTTTGTCTTGGATTGTTTTGTTTTTTGTTTTGTAAGAAAACAAGACCCCTAAAAGAATGAAATCCTGTTAAGCTTTTGTACAGCGGCAGAGAGCCTAAAATGACTGCTGTGAGGTGTTTCAGCCTCCTGGCCTAAAGGAAATTGGTATTTATCCCATGATTTGCCAAGAAGCAGCCTGATGTTCATTGCACACGTTTCTGAGGCATTGAAGAGCACTAGTTAGTGTTTATTTCTGGTATCGCCAGCTGATTTGTGTGTCCTGGCTTCATTGATGAGAGGTAAAATGCATTAATTGCATCTGATCACCATAGGCCTACCTTAGGGCTTCAGAATACTACTACTATATTAGTCCCAAACTAGGAGAGTCTTTGGATGGACAGGTAATTATCAAACAATAAACAGAGTTTCTGAGAGAGCTTCTGGATCATGGATGTGCCACAAATTAGCCCAATTAAGTTATTTATATAGTTAATCGTGGTAGTTACTAAAAAAACTTTGTAGGTAGAGCTGTTTGCGACATAAATTTCTCTCGAAAAACTTGGGACAGGCTGACTGGGTAGGTCATGCTTGGATCCAAAATTGTAACAGGAGTGTAATCCTGTATGGAGAGAAAAGTGAGTAACAATTGTTGTCCCTGGGCAGGGGATCCTCTCACAGAAACAAATAGCTCTCAATTTGTAAAACTAAACTTGTATGTGCTAGTAGTTGGAGGAAAAGACCAAGTTAGCTCGCAGATCTGCCATGGGTTTTATGTGTAACTTGAGGCAAGTTGATTTAGCTACTGTGCTACCTGTAAAATACCTCTCTAACTATGAAATAGTTGAATGAAAGGGGTTGTATAAGAATCCCCTTGTTGATGGTTTGATCTGTTTTAGGTTTTGAAACCAGATTAAATTTGTGATCGTCTTTTCCCCATCTGGCCATACTGAATGCTGAAACACTGAGTTTGGACTTTAGACCAATATAGCTATTAAGAGAATGTTTGAAATAATAATATGATGATTAATCATTATGCTATAATATATTGGCTTGTCCCTGAGTTCTTAAGGCTTCCTGTGTACAGTGGGCAGTCATGATGGCCCTGTACTGTGTGTCTGTAGTCAAAGATATCCCTTAGTGGAAACTCTAGAGTCAAGCGAACAGGTAAGACTTAAAAAGTAGAATTTCAGCTATTGTACTCTTTTTGAAGTAACCACTGTTCAATACTGTATAGTTTTTACTAGTAAGCCTCTTAAAATTTGTTTGTTTTTTATTTTAGGGAACCGCAGAAGCTCATGAGTTGCTAGAAGGGAGTGCTGCTGATGTTCTTCACTCAAGAATCAATAGGGAAATAATGGAGTTAGTTCTGATAAAATATCAGGGTAAAAACTGGAATGGACATTTTAGAGTCCATGATGGGCTGCCAGAATTTTTTCCTGTGTGTTTTACCTCCAATTCCACAGATATGATGACAATAGATATCTATGTACATGTTAGGCAAGTTGGTAGCCGTATGATCCTGTCTGTGTTCAGTCCTTATTGGATAATCAATAAGACTTCCCGGGTTCTCCAGTATCGTGCTGAAGATATACATGTGAAACACCCAGCAGATTACAGGGATACTATCCTGTTTTCCTTTAAGAAAAGGAACATTTTTAGTAAAAACAAGGTATGCTACCTAATTTCTTTTAAAATATCCTCAAATGAGGAATTATTTAACTTTTGACATTATTCATGCTTGGCCTTGAAATTCTTACCCTGCTTCAGTATCAGTACTTGTTTAAAAGTAATCGATCAATATAACATCAGTATTTTTGTGTTTTGTTTAAATTTAGCTCTCCTTTTGAGAAGAAAAATTAACACTAGTTTTTCTCTCTTGCGTCTGTCTCTTCCCAATATCTCGGGGAAGTTTGGGGAAACAAGGGAGCAGCTTGTGCAGGCAACGCAGCATTAGTTCATTCTGCACGGATATAATCTGGAGTGCAACTTTTAAAGAAAAGGAAATAAAAAATGTTGGTAAATTTGAAGCAGTGCTACTCTTGTATTTACAAAAATAATGAAGGGAGTTGTAATTATGAGGAGAAAATTACATCTTATTTTGGGGACTAGATGCTTTTATTGTCTTGTGGCTGCTCAATTTCATTTCTTATTTATTAGATTTGAAGAGAGGCACATTAAGTGGGAGGGCAGACACGTGAGATAGTAGCTTGCTTTTGATTTTTAAGGCTATCGTTTCTCTCACAGCTGTTTAGAATTATAGTCAATTTAACAGACTGAGGGGCTGTTTAAATTTACCTCGTCTGAGGGTACATTGTGTTGAATACGTTAGTCATGATTTTAAAAAAAGAAGTGTTTCTGTGACAAAATAAATGAAACAATTTGTTAGTATTATTCTTTTTTCATATTTTTTTGGATTATGTAGGCCTTTAGTCCTGGACGTTCCATCTTTAAGTTGTCAGCAATAATTGAAGACTGGTCTTGGCAGCATCTTTTGGTTATTACCCTGACTTTTAAATAGAGACCACAATCATTTATATATTTTCCTCTCCCTCTTTATCTACATGCTGTGGTCACTAAGGGCTACCAGGGCAGATGACATATTTGGTTTTGTGTGCTCTTCCAGTGATCACCGATCTTCTGCTGCAGTGCACGTCTTTACCAGAGCCCGAGAACTTCGTGGTTTTAGTAACCCAGCTAGCTAGAATTGCAGTGGTGAAATTGCTAGGAATACATCATGGATTTTTAAAAGCATATGAACTTTTAAGTTTTTGAAATTTACTTAAAAATACTTTAAAAATGCTTTTTCTTCTGTAGATCCAATTGTGTATTTCAACTAGTTCATGGTCCACTAGCTTCTCCCTTGATACTGTAGGAAGTTATGGATGTGTAAAGTGCCCAGGCAATGACAGGGACTATCTGGTAAGGCCTACTTTCTGTATTTGTTTACTAACCTTTCTGAAGCCTAATAATAGTAATTGACTATATTGGATACAAATAAGTTTAACAAAAGCCAACTTGATATTTCATTTGTTTTTCTTGGGTGCATTGGTTTGTTAACATAATCACACTAGTATGCATAATACCACTTAGTTTGACGTTTGGTGGCCAGTCATCAGGCCGCCTGGGGATTCAGGCCTAGTTTGTGAAAACAGATGTTTAAATATTTGGACATGGTGAGGCCTACCTTTTCAAAGATACATATGCTATCTCAGATAAGTTAGAGACACAGATGGTCAAGTTGCAGATACTTGATTTATTTGTACAGTGCCTACTACAGCGAATCCTGGTTCATGACTGGCACTTCTAGGTGCTACAAATAATAAATAGTACGTATGCACTTAATTTTGTGTGTCAGTCTTTGAAAAATCAGATTCAGACTATATACAGTGGCTATCTTAAAAAAAAAATCAGATAACTAAATAACATTACCTTGTTTGCAAATATTGAAATAATCATCCCAGGGGCAAAATGGAAGCATTTATAGGGAGACCACAAACATTTCCTTTTAAAGATAAACTTTATCTTTCCCATCAAGCCAAAACCACTTATCCCCCTTTTTAATAACCCTTTAGAACCAACCCCCTATCCTATTAAAGGCCAAATTGACCTCTGGTTATTTTCCATTTTTCGTCTCTTGCTCTGTTCATCTGGGCTAAATCCAAAGCCTGTCACTTTTCTCCCAATAGCATTTTGAAAATCTGACCCCCATCCCCCCACCCGCCCCACACACACACACACACACGTTGATCAAGCCATATTTATCTCATGACTTTATTGCAGTAATTTTCTCCTCCTTAGGTTTCCCTTTTCTAAGTGAATACAAAATACCACTGCTAAAATAATCTCTGTCCATTGTATTGGGTATATCTCACATTTCTTTGGAGGTACAGTCTCTGTTCCTTGGAGTTTGTGTGGTCTCTAGTACTGGTCCTGTTACTGCTGAGTAACAGTTGAGGCCTTTGGGTATTGCTGTTAATAGGATAATAAATATGTAGAAGGAATAACTTTATGGGATCACATATAGGTTTACTTTTCCACTTGTTTTATTCATGTAAGCAAATGAAAATACCATGGAGAAATGGGCTGAGTTTAACCAAGTTATTTTCACTCAACAGGTTGGAGTTAGCATCAAAATGAGTAGTTTTAATCTCACCAGGATAGTTACCTTAACTCCGTTCTACACCATAGCAAACAATTCTTCTCTGGAGCTGGAAGTTGGAGAAATCAAGTCTAATGGCTCTTTGCCAACTCGTAATTGGAATTATTTCTCATCTTCAGAGGTATTCTTTGTTTTTATTGCTTTAAATGTTTCTAAAACACACAAATGATTCTGTGTAAGGTAAAATATTTAGAAACAAATACTCATATTTTTGTTAATCAGGCTGAGCTGTTTGTCAAATTAATGAAGAAAATTCAGTGGGCTGTCTGACATAAGGTTCTTAGATCATCATAGATGGGGTAACTTAGTAAGTGACAGTGTAAATGTGTACTGCTGGATGTCCGGTATGGAGGGAGAATATCTGAAAGACTAATCCATATTTGTCATTAACTAATCTTTTATAACAATATTGCTGAATTATCATCATGTTACATATGCACTTTGCTTGACGTTTTTTCCCCAGTGTCTTCCATTTTGGCCTGAAAATTTGTCTGGTAAATTATGTGTCAGAGTGGTGGGCTGTGAAAGTGCATCCAAACCGTTCTTCTGTAATACACAGGACAATGGTACTTTGTTAAGTCTGGAAGAGTTGGTGAGTCTTTGACTTTAAATAATAATATTTTCTATAATTTTGTTATGTTTGTGGTGTTAACCAATTCAGTGTAATTCCTTAGTCGCCTGCATTGAGTGCTGGCAGATAGATTTAAAGTACCTATTGAAAAGTCAGGGTGATTATAGCAGGATATGCAGTTTGTACTTTTAAAAATCCTTTTTGTTAGATGTATGAAACTAGGTGGAATTGACTTCTTCACAGGCTTATAAAGAACTGCACAGCTGTATTGATCTATAAATAGAATGGTATAAGTCACCTGCAATTTGTTTACTTTATTTGCAGCAAGATTTGCTATGATGTGTGTGCCACCATAACAGAAGGGAAGATCACTTTTATGTATCTCAAATGCTTAAGCTAGTACAACATCCTAAAGATATGTGATGTAGCATTCTTGACAAACAGTGGACAGTTATTAGTATGGTATAAAAGTGGTTTCATGTTTAAACTGATAACATTTTTGAATTTTTTACTTGCATTATATGCCACTGTGAAATTCTAGGCAAATAAGTGTTGCATGCTCAAACAAGTCACTCAAAGCAGAGTTACTTTACATATAATCAAAACCAAACACTGAATGGTTGAACAGATTTTTAGGCATGTCATTCAACTGATTGTTGGGGATGACCGTGGATTGTAGATGTCTGGAGAGATGTGCTGAGGCACTTATATTTATTTTTTTTTCAAATAGTTAGAAACAGAGGATATGTAAGCATGATACCTTTGACTCCCCTTTTTTGGGTCCTGACCTGCAACCTGATCTAAACTGTTTGGGCTGTGCCTCTCTTTGCAAATATTGAAGGCAGTCTGGATTTGTCCCACTGCTTTAGGGTTAGGCCACACCCCTTGTTTTCACAATCCTCTGTCTCTACAATGCAAATAGAGGGTAGATTTAGTACTTCCACCTTAACTTGAAATTTTGACATAAAATTTAATTTTCATATAGCAGAGTGTAAGTCCTCCAGTCCCTTTTATTTCCAGTCCTCTTAGGAGATTTTCAGAAGGCATGCGTTAGCTGAATAGGGCCACCAACAGAACTCCTCACTGATAACAACTGCACCCTCCCCCCAACACTACTCCACAGAACAACAAAGGTTGTGAGGTAATGAGGTGTACCATCTGTGTGGGAGAATCTCCTTTGAAGCTACATATAGCAAGGTTTGACACAACTGTTCTCAGGCCCGTAACCCTCACATGACTAGGGAGAGTGGCTGTGACTTCGGAAGACATATTGGACCCTCTGCTCTTCCTTATGTGAGACAAGATTCAGAAGGCAGGGAAAGCTTTTTCAGGCTTGATTGGTAGACTGAACCATCTACATACCCAGGAAAGGTCTCCCTCACTCCCCAAAAGATATTGGCCATACAAAGACAAAAGTGCTGACCCCTTAAAGCTTGTGGAACACATGTACAACTGTGTCTCCATTTTAGAGGATGATTTTTCTCTGTGAATTAACCATTAAAGTTTTCGTTAGAATTAGTTTAACATTGCCATTTTTTACATGGGGAATGCCAACATAAGAAGCAATAATATGAAGGTTTGAATATAAGTTCTAACATCTTCAGTATTTTAAGGTGATTGTTTCAGCCAGTACACTGAAACAAATAATCTTAAAAGCTATTTCAAAGATTTAACTAAAAATCAGTCACAACCTACATTAAGGTTACATTTGTAAATAGTGTATAAAGAGTTAATAAATGGTATAATAATTGGTTAATCATTTTCACAGTTAGAGTTCAGCAGATCATTAGGTTGCTTATGACTATCCACTATACATATTATGTGCATCTGTAACATGCTTGAAACATACATTCATTTATAAAAGGTTTATAAAGGGTACATCATAATGCAAAGTGACTCAGTAAATTTTCAGTAACTACAGTTCATATTTTATATTTAATAAACTATATACAGTGCAAGTCTTTATCTTCAACAGAATGGAGGCATACTGGTAAATGTGAACATTTCTGAAAATTCTACAGTCATAAACTTCTCAGATTACCATGAGGGAGCTGCTCCAGCTCTCATCATTAACCAGACTCCATGGGACACCCTTAAATATAAACAGAGGTATGTAAAAGTAAGAATTCAGCCATCTCTTTTTTCCAACTTTTATCCAGTTTTTACTGTTGAAGGTAAGGAACCTAAATTCTTGTGTGCTTTTCTTGAATGCAGTATAATGAAGATAAGAAACTGATATTATACAGTGCTTCATATTAAACTTGGCTTATGCCATGAGTTTCAGTGGCTTATTTACCTGCTTTTTTTTATTGCAGTGGGTTACAGGATGAGATGGAGTTAAAACCAAAGGAGGTGCGACTGTTTGCCTGGGCAGATCCCACTGGAATAAGAAAACTAACTTGGACGTATGCGCAAAATGTTGGTGAACATGATCTGCTTAAGGTACATTTAAAAAAATATATATTGTGGGAAGAAAGGTATGACCTAAACTAGAATCATGAATTCACTGAGAGACTGGAGATTAGGCCTTGTCTTTTGATATGGTCATTTAAAATGCAAGAGCTTTTGTTAGGTCATGGTTTTTGTTTCTGTACATAGGTAACCTTTTGTGTAGTTGCTGTTTCTACTTGAGAGTATGTTGAAGAATCTTGTAAGCCCTTGTGTGTAGGGCAAAACTCAGATCTCCCAATTTCCTTTATCTGGAACAAACATTAATCAGCCTAATAAGCAGGCTGTGTATAAATGAGGAGTAAGAAGGATAGACTGTTACTGCTGCCAGGACTAGAAATCTGTCTTCGCTGATACACCTCTAAAGAGAGGAGGCAATGAAAGAGGAAATGGTGCAGCAAGTGAAGATGGTCACTCATACCAGTATCAAAAGTGAACAGTGTACACTCTAATTATTCCTGTTTGGACTGCAGCAGGTGAAAGCAGCACTTCCTGCAGTTATTTTCCAGAATATAATATGTATTTTTTTCTGGGTTGGAGAAAATCACAACCCTGATGACCTTCGCCTCACATGGAGGAAACACTTCCATTGAGTAGAGTACTGCACTGCAGGAGTTGCTCACTGTGAGCTACTTCAGTGTTCAGCAGCACGTACAACATGCAGGTAGGAGAGAAAAATGATTTAGGGCATGGCTACACTTGCAGATGTAGAGCGCTGTGAGTTATACCAGCCGTCGGAGAGTGCAGTATGGAAAGCACTGCCGTGTGTCCACACTGTCAGCTGCAAGCGCACTGGCGTGACCGTGTTTGCTGCACTTGCAGCGGCATTGGGAGCGGTGCATTATGGTCAGCTATCCCACAGAGCACCTCTTCCCATTCTGATGCTGTGGCTTGTGGGAAGGGGGCGGGGGTGCGGGGCATTCTGGGTCCTGTCCCAATGCCCTGTGATGCATCACTTCGCATTCCAGCAACCACTGTGCTTCCGTCCACATTTGGCGCCATCTTTCATTGTTGTTTGTACTGCGCGCTCTGTCTTCCCTTTCAGTCTGTGGGAGTGGATCCCGAACTGCTGAGTAATATGCTGATGGGTCTCGCCAGCATGTCACCTTTGTCAGTCGAGTTATTCCTTAAGCTACAAACTGACAGTGAGGAGTCAGATGATGTCGACTCACGTAACTCATATGACATGAGATGGCATTCACCGACATGCTTACCACTGTGGAACGCCGCTTTTGGGCTCTGGAAAGAAGCACTGAGTGGTGGGATCACATCATCATGCAAGTCTGGGATGATGAGCAGTGGCTGCAGAACTTTTGGATGAGAAAAGCCACTTTCATGGGACTGTGTAATGAGCTCACCCCCACCCTGCAGTGCAAGGACAAGAGATTGAGAGCTGCCCTGCCAGTGGAGAAGCGGGTGGCTATTGCAATCTGGAAGCTGGCAACTCCAGACAGCTACCGATCGGTCACTAACCAGTTTGGAGTGGGAAAGTTGACTGTTGGATTTGTGTTGATGCAAGTTTGCAGGGCCATTAATTGCATCCTGCTCAGAAGAACCGTGCATGTGGCTGGCTTTGCAAAAATGGTTTTCCCTAACTGCGGAGGGGCAATAGATGGGACACATATTCCAATTCTGGCACCAGCCCACCTGGACTCCGAGTGCGAATGCGGCTTCCGCCCTGATCTATATGCAGCTTGCCCGTGTGCAGCAATGGTCTCCCCACCCCTCACGGCACAGTGGTGTGGACATGTTAGCCTGACGGGGACAAGGAGCACAGTAGCGCTCCCAAGGAACCTGTGCAAGCGCATTGCACAGCTTCTGCATGAGACCTTTGAAGAGATCACTGAGGCCAATTACGGGGATGTGAGAGAGCTCATCAACGCCCTATTCCGCATCTAGACATGCATGCAGCCCTAACCCTCTTTGCCCCAAGAGTCCACACCGAACAACTTCCTTCCCAAAATAAAAGCCGCTTACTGGGCACCTCCTCTGGTGTTTGTTCTTCCCCAAGCACCAGCCGCTGCGACTGGCTACTTTCCTCCTGGCTGAGAACAGCTCCTGGCTGCATGCATCTGGGGATGCCAGGGTGTCTTCCTCCTCAGCACCCTTGCTCCCGTTTTCCTCCTCTTCCTGCCTTGTTGAATTGGGCTCTGAAGTGTCCATGGTGATCCTTGGAGTGGAGGTGAGGTCACCCACAAATATTGTGTCCAGCTCTTCGTAGAAACGGCAGGTCGCGGGGGTAGCACTGGAGCGGCTGTTTGCCTCACAGGCTTTGCAGTAGGCATTCTGCAGCTCCTTCACTTTAACTCAGCACTGCAGTGTGTTCTGGTTATGGCCCCTTTCTATCATGTCCCTTGATATCCGCCCGAAGGTATCGTAATTCCTATGGCTGGAGCACAGCTGGGACTGGACAGCTTCCTCCCCCCAAACACTGATGAGGTCCAGCACCTCGCCATTGCTCCACACTGGGGATCGCCTGGCACATGGAGGCATGGTCACCTGGAAGCTGAGCAAACAGGAAGGGGATTTTCAAAATTCCCAGAGAATTTAAAGGGCGGGTCTGATGGTTGGTCACCTGAGGGCAGGGCAGTAGAGTTCAAAGCGATGATCAGAGTGGCTAGAACAAGTATTCTCATGCGCTCATGTGCTTTGCCAGTGTGGACGCGTCGTGAGTTAGGGCACCCAGGGCTGCTTTAATGCACTCTAACTCACAAGTGTAGCCATGCCCTCGGGTAGAAAGACCATGCTGAGACAGGAAAGAGGAAGAAAGGCAAGCAAAACCAAGGTGAAGACATAGGAAAAGATCAAGCAAATCCATCCTGCCAGAAACAGCACTTCATGGGCGGCGGGGGAATGCTGATGGACAATTTTGCATGGGCAAAGGATTAGATCATAGTCTAGGACAGGAAAATAGAAAATAACTGGAAAGTGACAGGCAGAGGAATAAAGGAGCATTTTTTATGACCAGTCTCAGAGATGGAATTTATTTTTCTTCGCTCAATTTTAGTGATAGTGGTTTGTTTTGTTTTTTTTAAATTGAGGCACCTTACAATGTAAACATCGTTACATACTGGAAAATTGCTACTTTCTTGTATCTTCTGACTATTCAATCCTGTTTTAATGTATGTTAAGACACATCTTCTCACTGTATGGTTAGCATTATATTAATTATTGTACATTACATGAGTATTACATTAATATTCACTTCTGAAGTTATATTTCAAAAGCCTAAATAACTCTCTCAGTTCTCCTCCATTCACCGTTGTGTTAACCCTGAAAGAATTCTAACATGTTAAAGGGATGCTATAACTTTTAAACACTACATTTGTCCATTTAATATTGTGATTAGTATAAGGTGCTGTATAATAGGGGGTTAATTTTTCTGAACTCTGTCATTGTACTGCTAAGGTCTTCAATTCTTGAGATTACCCTTAGCTTCTTTTTAAAAATGTGGATATCTTATTTAACAGTTTAATAATCCACAAGACTCGAAATAATAATAATAATAAAAAAAAGGACGGGTTGTATAGGCAGCCCCGGTGACAGAAGACTCCATCCCATTAATATCCTACAACAAATTAAAGGCAATAATAAGACACCTCAGAAATTCTAATTGTTCTGCTTAATTTGGGCCGTTGATGTTTTTTGCTTGCTCCTTGCTTTGTTTTTTTTATGCAACCAATTAAAGTACCTTTCTTTTTTCCAACTCAGGATGAATGTGGTCAATTTCCTTATAATTCAAATACTCAGATACACTGGGTGTCCTTTTTGGATGGACGTCAGAGAGTACTGCTTTTTACAGACGACGTTGCATTAGTTTCTAAAGCACGGCAAGCAGAGGAGATGGAGCAACCTGATCAAGAAATAAACTTGTCACTTCATAGTCTTGGACTTTCTCTGGTCAACAATGAGAGTAAACAAGAAATCGCATACATAGGGATTACTAGGTACTGCAGATGGAAAGCAAGTTTGCCTTTAAATGGACCAAGGAGTAGTTTAAGCATATACTTTAATACATTTGAAAACTGTCATTTTGAAGTGGATTATGCTTCTAAAATCGGACATTTTTTTAGCATTATATGATGAACCTTTAAAATTACATTTTGTCTGCTGTTGTAGAGCTGTCAAGGGAATATAGGTTTTAAATGCCTGTCTTGACACAGTTCCCTAATTAATTTGACATTTATTTCTGGACTTCAAGTCCTATTATCTCATTTGAGTACAGTGGAGTTATTATGTGACAAGTTAAAGTACTGTGCCTCGTGATACAACACAAGTTAAATTTTGAGTTCATTTGGCACTCTGCATTTTAGTAACTTACTTTCCCAATTGCAAATTAAATTTGAAAACACTCCTATGTGCATGATTATAAACAGTTCTTTTCTTCAATTTCCTATTCATAATTCAGAAATAACTTTACTGTTAACTTGATTCTTGGCATTAAATCATATGCCTCTCATCAAAAAATTGCAAAGATAGATGCACAGAAATATCCACAAAAGGACACTAGTAATTTGGGTCATGTCTTCATTGTGTTGTGACAGTAACTGTAGAAATCTGTTTTCAAGAAAAATAAATTTCATTTCTAAATTTCATTTCCACTTTCATCAGTCATTGACTTGGCAGACAGAGAGAGAATCATAATTTTGACAGATGAATGGAAATCAGCATCAGAAACATGGGGATGAGGCGTTGTGTGGTTCATAAACATTAGAAAATTTGGTGTACTCTACTTCAATGCATTTTTATTCAAAAGTGTTAATTACATTAATGTACTTATCTTGTAGTTCTGGTGTTGTCTGGGAATTGAAACCAAAGCAGAGATGGAAGCCATTTAATCAAAAGCAGATAAACCTGTTGGAAAAAGCCTATCAGAAATACCTTTCCACAAACACCATGGAGGATCTGGGCTGGGTTAAAATAGACAACAACTTTGAGGTACTCTTGTGGCTGTTCAGTGTTTAATCAATAATTTTGATAGAAAAGTTTGTATAACAGTTTTTACCATATTAGTACCAGTAATGAATGTAGACAACATGTAAAAATTTTCATTTGGGAAATGCCTTCACAATTGTATGCAGTTGTACATTTAAGTATGTTACAGATCCTCTCCAATCAGACGTTTGTCAAATGCTATAATAAACGTTGATGATATTTGTCTGACACACACTGTAATTTCAACTATGCAGTAGTTGTATGTCGTTTAGGACTAAAACATTCCAGAATTTGCAGAAAATTTGGTTATGAAACCTTGTTTAAATTGGTCTAAAAAGTTTCTACCATGCAGAAGTTATACTTGATGTATATTCTTTATGAAGCACCGAAACACATCTCATCCCTTTTATGATACAGGAACTGGAAACTTTATAAGCACATTGGACTTTATGACAATTGGCTGTTTCACTTACTTTGGGCTTTTGGAATTCAAGACCATAATTAGTGGAAAAACTCAGATATCTGATTTAAAAAATTTAGGCCGCTACACCTTTTCCTAATAGGAAAAGGAGTACTTGTGGCACCTTAGAGACTAGCCAATTTATTTGAGCATAAGCTTTCGTGAGCGACAGCTCACTTCATCGGAAGCTTATGCTCAAATAAATTGGTTAGTCGCTAAGGTGCCACAAGTACTCCTTTTCTTTTTGTGAATACAGACTAACACGGCTGTTACTCTGAAACTTTTCCGAATAGAAATTCTCCTTTGGCTGTAGTAATATTAGGGATCAGGTGACAGCCACTAAAAAGATAATATCAGTCACACTTCCACTCAACTCAGCGTTGTATATGTGCTGAAATCAGATTGCAGTCAACCAGACTTAAATATGTGCCTGAAGTTAAACATATGCTTAAGCGCTTTACTAAATAGGTGTGTACTGCTGAATTGTGGTCATTGGATTCCATCTATTTTAGGGCAATGATGAATGTAAATGTTGACTACTGCATTATCGCTTCTTACTTAAAAATGGGAGCTGTTGTTTCATTTTGTGGAAACTTCATCATCCTCAAATTGATTCACAGATAAAAATTGAGGACATAGCATTAAAGCTGTTAATGCATAGTGGTCTGAGGATAAAAATAGAATTATCCATTTTTATATTGTTGATTCAGAAAAACAATCTGCAGCTTTTCAGGTGTTTATAACATTTCTCTCTTGTGATTTAGATGTTCCTAAAGAACCAGTCATTTGTAGAACATGTACATTCCAAGCATATTGGAATTGTTGAAAAAAATCTCTTAAAGTTTTTAAGGCTAAATAAAATTGAGACAAAACTCTTATGATATACAGTATTATAAACAATCTGAGCTTTTCTTCTATTTTATATCCAAAAAGGTAATCTTTTATACCACCATAAATTATATAGGCCTTAAGTCTTTGTGTAGCTTTGATTTATGATTGTGTTTGAAATAAATGATACATAGGGCACACAATTTTTTGTGATTCAGTATTTTTGAGTTAAAATAATGGGGTGATGATTTTTTCAGAAAATTATCCTAGTTACATAAATTTGTGGCACAAAAATATTTTCATTTGCCTGCATATGTCTTTAATTTTGTTGACTAAAAATGTTAATGCCACCTTAAATTGGGATAAGATTGTTGAATGGAGAAGATAGGAACAAACTGAAGATATGCAGCAAATGTAACAAAGTAACATCTGGTTTTCTTTCCTTCTTTCTAAGAAAAAGAAAAATTCAATGTTGGCTTGTGTATGATGAGTTCAATAACCATTCTATTATGCAACAGCGAGAAAGCTCCGGAAATTCAACTTTTTTAATACTAGTATACTTTCTTTTAATTGAACACCCATTCATGTCTAGAGAAGGCCATTTTAATGAAATCTAGGAGCAATAATAGTAGCCAAATGGAGCTAAAATGTATAATGTGTTCCTAGGTGAATTTTGGTAAGATGCCAATGAAAATGCGCCTCCCAATCAAATGCAGTATTCGACGAAACTTCCTATCGGGCATTCATATTGAGTTCAAACAGTCTCCTCACCAAAGAAGCTTACGGGCACAGTTGAATTGGCTTCAGGTATCATTTTTCATTATTCACTATAGGCTGAACAGGCTTTGCTAGTAAGCGTTGAGATCATCTGAAGCTAACAGTCCTCTTGTGGTAGCCGCAAGGTATTTGTGGTGAGTAATCCTTTGATCTGAAACTCACGGTTAGCTTTTTTTCATTACGGTATAGCTTAGATGACCTTAAAGACATGCTACGAGACTTTACTGTATCCCAGAATTTCACATGTGGTGCTGGTGAGGAATCTGTAGGGCAGAATAAAGAAGAGTGGGAGACATTATAATTGAGGTCATGATGGAAATCTTGTTGTGGCAGAGAAAATAATTTTAAACATTGTTTCAGCATTTAAGTTGTGTATTTTGCATTTAGTTATGAGATATCTCTTACTCTCTGTGCTGTGCCTAGAGGTTTAGAGTCCAATCCTACAAGAATTACCTGGAGTGGTGTTTACTAGCATGAGCAGTCAAAATAGAAATTACTATTCTTGGTAATAATTGTTCGAAAGTTTGGAGTCTTCAGTGTATTGGAAGTCTGAAACCATACTTGTACAGTCAGAACATTTCCATTCTAAAACTTGAGCTTCAAACCTCCCCTTCACCACTTTCCGTAATTGCATACCCATTCATTCACTGCCATGAATTCAGCACCAAAGGTAAATATTTTGAAGTGCTTGCTCTTAGAGTGGAAATATAGCTATTAAATTTGACATTGTAGATTCTGATTACATCCAAGCTTAACAAATTCTAGTGTTGTTCAGTCAAAAGAAGAAAGGGAGAATATTTGCTAAAAGTTTTCTCCGAGGGGTAGATAATACTTGCTTAAAGAATGAGAAACAGGAGTTTGTGGAGGAAGAAAACTTGTGGTATTCTGGTATTAATACTTCTGTAAAGAACCTCTCTTTAAATAACCAGTAATGTTCTTCATAACTGGATGCTTTTTCCCAAATCCTGGGACTGTAACTGTTACTTGACTCAAGGCCACAACTGAAAGTGTTTTTTATATTCCATTTTTTTTGTTTGCCGAATTATATAAAAACTTTACAAACTTAAAAAGTTCAGTCCATTCAGTCCACAGAGGTGTGAAATTTTAAGAAATTAAACCATCTTTATCTGTCTACTAAGCTCTATTAGCTTCAGTCAATTATAGCTTAGTGTTCACATCAGCACTTTGTACTTGGAGCATTAATACAATATGGTACCAAGTATTCATTGTATGCCATATTTAGTTGGAATCTCAAATCATAATGTAAGGCACATGTACTGGAATGGGGCACGTGACTAGCCTGTTGAAACTGGAGTTTACAGAGACCGTATTATTTGATTTGAGCCAAATCCTGTAAAACTTAAAAAAAAAAAAAAAAAAATCCCTTTGAAATAAAGGAGTTGATTTTAGTGGGATCCTTGCTTGTAAGTAAGGACTGCAATATGGCCCCTCACTATTTAAAATATGAAACAGCAACAAACAGTCAGTGTTTTTAATAGCACCTAAACCCCTGCCTGTGCTGAAAGTTGAAACCTTATTTGCACACTTCCAATCACAACTGTTATTCTGATGGTCCTAATTCTTCTTGATAAATAGGTGCTGGCAAGGCTTCAGATATTAGGGTAAACACAAAATAAGCTTGCAAATGACAGTTTTTACTCCAAAACATCACTATGTACCTAAGCTGCGTAAGCTGCCTGAAGCCAAGGAATCCTTTATAAATCTTACTCTCGCTAAAATACCGCTCATCTGATATGACTTAACCATAGAATAGAAAAACTTTTTCACTAGGAGGGTGGTGAAACACTGGAATGCGTTACCTAGGGAGGTGGTAGAATCTCCTTCCTTAGAGGTTTTTAAGGTCAGGCTTGACAAAGCCCTGGCTGGGATGATTTAACTGGGAATTGGTCCTGCTTTGAGGAAGGGGTTGGACTAGATGACCTTCTGGGGTCCCTGCCAACCCTGATATTCTATGATTCTATGACTTTGTTTCAGGTTGATAACCAGTTACCTGGTCCAATGTTCCCAGTTGTGTTTCACCCTGTAGCCCCTCCCAAGTCAATAGCTTTGGATTCAGGTAAGTATGCAAGAGTGATCTAAAATTAGTTAGCTCTGACATTAAATATTTTGATTTAACTGCAGAATGGAATCCATTATAAAACTAACTAATTTGTACATTTTTTATTAGAGCCAAAACCATTCATAGATATCAGCATCATCACTAGGTTCAATGAGTACAGTAAAGTACTGCAGTTCAAGTAAGTAAAAGCATATTATACCTTGCTTTAGAAATGTTAATACCTGTGGAGCTAATACTTTGAGCCTGTACCCATTGTATGCTAAGATGCAATTAGCGTACCAAGTTTTCCAGCCCAAGTACTAAAACAAGTCTCAGTATCATTGGTATACTTCCAGCATAAGCTGGTTTGATTAGCTACTTAAACACATTCAAAGAACATTTATGTTGTAAATGCAGTTTTCCCGCACCAGAAGCTGACAAACCCTGGTGACCTCCCAGGTAAATGGGCAGTTTACATGGGAGTTCTACCCGTGGTCAGAATGAGGGTTTAAGGGTCTGACGCCACGTATCCCATGACCTTTACTTCTTTCTCAGAATTTGTTTCATGAAGCAATTGTATTGTAATGTATGAAATACCAGTTAGTTATTAGGATAAACTCTAAATAGATTAGATTATTAATGTATTGTGCCTTTTCTGTGTTGAATTGTAGCCTACTATTAATAGCGGATCTCTTCAGATGTCTTTCTGTTAGGCCCCTCCAGCTATAAACTGATGCTTCTAATACTCTAACCAGAGCTTTAAAATATTATGAGCTTGAACCTTAGTACCCAGCATGTGGTAGTTAGTTTAAATCTGTGTCTACAAGATGATCTCTGATTTTAGCATGAAAAAGTCAGTCACCATATTTTTCCTTTTATTTTTTCTTAGATATTTTATGGTTCTTATCCAGGAGATGGCATTGAAATTGGATCAGGGGTTTCTAGGAGCACTTATTGGGCTTTTCACGCCATCTACAGATCCAGAAGCTGAACGGCAAAGGGTAATGTGTGTTTAGGAAAAAAGTACTTATTTTACTAAGACAGGTTTGATTTATTACCATGTCAATTAAGTATTTTGAAAATCAAATTTAAAATAAATTGAAAGCATCTTCCAAATGGTAAAATGGCTAGCAGTGGAATGCTCAGACAGTTGGGGAAAAATATGAATTCTCAAATTGAGGTATAGAATTGGGTACTCTGTTAGTTGGTGCGGGCGCCTACTAGTAGTAGCTTGTCAGTGTTTGGGTAACTACTATTCGTAAGAAATGTTAAAACACTTGTTTGCACAATGCATGTTCAACTTGTGGATCTCATGGCTACAACGTGTTGGGGGCCAAGATTGCAGTAGGAGACATAAAATTATTTTATAGGGCTAATGAAAAATGCATAGTTAACTTACATATAGAATATCTTTAATTGAGCTTGTTAATAGTTCCCATTTTAATTGACTGTCAGATTGAACATAAGAATGGCCATACTGGGTCAGACCAAAGGTCCATCTAGCCTAGTATCCTGTCTTCCAACAGTGGCCAATGCCAGGTGCCCCAGAGGGAATGAACAGAGCAGGTAATCATCAAGTGATCCATCCCCTGTCACCCATTCCCAGCTTGTAGCAAACAGAGGCTAGGGACGCCATACTTGCCCATCCTGGCTCATAACCATTGATGGACCTATCCTCCATGAATTAATCTAGTTCTCTTTTAAACCCTGTTACTGTTTTTGCCTTCACAACATCCTCTAGCAAGGAGTTCCACAGGTTGACTCTGCATTGTGTTAAGAAATACTTCCGTTCGTTTGTTTTAAACCTGTTGCCTATTAATTTCATTTGGTGACACCTTGTTCTTGTGTTTTGAGAAGGAGTAAATACTTATTTATTTACTTTCTCCACACCAGTCATGATTTTATAGACCTCTATCATTTCGCCCCTTAGGCATCTCCTTTCCAAGCTGAAAAGTCCCAATCTTATTGATCTCTCTTCATACGGAAGCTGTTCCATACCCCCAATCATTTTTGTTGCCCTTTTCTGAACCTTTTCCAATTCCAATATATCTCTTTTGAGATGGGGCAACCATATCTACATGCAGTATTCAAGATGTGGGTGTACCATGGATTTATATAGACACAATATGGTATTTTCCGTCTTATCTGCTTAATGATTCCCAACATTGTTTGCTTTTTTGACTGCCGCTGGACATTGAGTGGCTATATTTCGAGAGCTATACACAACGATGCCAAGATCTCTCTCTTGAGTGGTAACAACTAATTTAGACCCCATCATTTTGCTGTAAAGTATGCATACTCATTCTATTTCTTCCTAAGGGAGCAGTAGGTGCTACTTGTGCAGTGTAAGACCTGAATGGTTTTTTGTCATCTATACATCTTCAGAAATGAAAAGATCCCCCATAATTTCTGTGTGAGAGTAGTTCCTACAAACTGTTTTTTCTTGAAATGAAACTTTCAAACCCATAAAGTTTCTTATTTCCAGGTGGAACTGAAGGCCCTGTCTAACTGAGTGGGGGGGAAAAAAGCTTTAGGTGACCTAAGAGTTCATGGAAATCATAAGTGTTTATAATTTGTATTCAGCACTCCATCTCAATGAATAAAGTATTAGAAAACTAAAGGATGACAGAAAAATCAAAAAAGAAAAATCTTGAGTGAGATGGAATAAATGTGAGAAGTTACATTTGTCATCAAAATGAGAAAATTTACCCATCAAAGGAAAAACGGGTGTAATAGGTCATCTAGAAAGGATTAGTTTGCCCCCTTTTGAATAAGGAAGAAATGAACGTAGTTATCACAATTTAGTATATGATGGATAATTAATGTACTGTACTTGTGTACTTGGAGGACATCTCTGCTACAGCTATCTAAGCAATTGTGTAATTATTTTACTTTTACCTTTCTTTGATCCCATAACTTTTTTTTTTTCCATTTTGAATTCAGGTTGACATTAAGGAAACCAGAGTTTTGATTTAAAATTTTCTTTTTTTACAAACAGACAAAGTTAATTCAGCAAGATGTAGATGCTCTTAATACTGAATTGATGGAATCTTCCTTAACTGATATGTCAACCCTCAGTTTCTTTGAGCACTTCCATATTTCTCCAATTAAGGTATGTTGTAGAGGAAAATACATTGGAGAAGCAAAAGCCTTAAGTAGTATCTCCTAATTTCTTCTTCATGTTTAACTAGCTATTCACATTGATCAGATTAAATAACTATTTTCTAGCCTTTCATTTATAGTAATACGACCCTACAGGAATCTGTGACTTGTCAGATTTTCAATACCTGGTGGAAAAGTTTCTCAGTTGATCTAGGAATCATCAAGAAATATTTGTTTTATGTTTCATCTGCACTTAGTAACAGTGACTGTCTAAACAGAAGGCTATAATGGATGTCATATGGGTGTCAAAAGTAGGAAGAGTATAAAAATACTAACATATATGATGGTGAAAATATTCACCTTTTTAACGGATGTGCACAATCTGAATAAAAAGCATTAATCTTTCATTATACTTAATGTCAAATCCCACCATTTTATTGTGGCTCCATGATACTGTTTTTTTGAACTTTGTCCTGAAGTTATGTGATTGTTACAATCACAAGTTTAATTTGGGAGCGGGGAGGAAGCACAGCTAGAGCTACTTATGGAATTTGGTCATATACCTGTTGAATTTCATTGGAGATGGCTATGCCTTTTGGTGTTTTGGAGCTCTATCTTAAGGATCTGTTATCTTGGGAAAGAAGGGCTGTTTTTTCTTTCCACCAACTAGCCTTGCAGGTCCCAGTATTCAAAAAAACTGGATGGTAATGAGGCTCAGAAAGTGACTAAGGTGAGTGTGGGGGGGAGAAACAAAACCAAAACTTAAGCAAGGAGAGAGATACTAAGAAACCCCACAATAAGGTTGATGCAGTAAGCAGTTTCTCACCATAGCTGAGAGGATGAATATGGATAGAGAAGGCTCTTCCTTTTGCTGCTCCCTGCTAAGGTAGAGAAATTTTGAAGAGTCCTCCTACTTGCTAAACAGGTAGTTCTTCTTCAAGTGCTTCCTCATGTCGATTCCATTCTAGCTGTGTGCGCACCGACGTGCACAGTTGTCAGAGACTTTTGCCTTAGCGGTATCCATAGGGTCAGCTGTGGTGCCCCGTTGGGTGCCACACTCATGCGTGCGTATCTTAGGCGCCGCCGACCCTATGCCCTCTCAGTTCCTTCTTACCGCTTATAACAGTTGGTCGAAGTGCCTTGTCTTGCGTTTAGCAAGATCGTTAGTGGTTCTTCATAGTCCCTTGTTCTACCTAGTCTGTGTATAGTTAATAGTAAGTCTTTGTAGTGTTAAGTTAGAGTACTTAGAGTCCTGGCTGGGTGTTGGCCCCGAGTGGGACATGCCCCGCTCACCTGGCTTCAAGCCATGTGCGTCATGCAGCAGGCTGATGCCGATCAGTGACCCCCATGACAGCTGCCTGAAGTGTTTGGGGGAAGCCCATAGAAAGGACAAGTGTCGCATTTGTAAAAACTTTCATCCTCGTACATAAAAGGAGCAGGATATCTGCTTGAGGGCCTTCACATTGGAGCCCTCTTCAGCCAAATCACACCGAGTACTTCCTCCTCGTCGGTGCTGAAGAAGTTCCAGAAGAAGAAGAGCCCCTCGGCACCGAAGGACAAAGGGGTTGTGGGCAAAGGATCTTTGTTAGGCCAGACGCTCACCGTGGGGCTTTACGGGGGTACTGCTGAGGTCAGACCCCCCCTGCCTGGCCAGGGACCCACCCCTGACCCCAGGAAGTGGCAAAGCTCTACGGCCTCTCCCAAAGCTGTCAGGGCCTGACTCGGTACCGGCGGCTAGCTCCGCAGGCGCCACACCAGGTGGCTGTCTTGGCTACAACCCTATGAGAAAAGGCTTCAAAGCCTATGAGAGTGCAGCCTCACAGGAGGGTGGAGTACCCCCGAATCTTCAGACCGCAGGTGCACATTCCCGTCTCTACAATCTTGGATCCCGGCACCGTATCCTAGCTCTCTAGCTAGATGACCCAGGTCACCGTCTACTAGGCGTGGGATGCTGGAGCCTCCCATGCTGCAGGTACTTCTGGCCACAGGTTGACTAGGCCCCAGTCTCTCTCGTTCAGGTGGTCTCCTAGACATTGGTCACTGTCCTGGAGGGGTCGCTCAGAATCACGGCACCAGTCCTGGTTGCCCTCCGGCAGTCCTCCGGCAGACGTCACTACTCGCCTTCGCTTCACAGGTCGCCATTCAAAGTCAGCAGGCAAACCCAGGCCTCAACGACTCCACCGTGTTCGCCAGTGGGACAGTGGTCTGGATCAGACCAAAAATTTAGCCCTTTGTCCTGACAAGGGAATTCTCCTCGTGACACGTGAGACTGTCACAGCACCGACCATGGTGCTGTCACAGCAGGGACAGTGGCCTACCCAGTGGCCGTACTGGAACGCATGGGTGCCAGTGATGCAGGTCACGTATTTCCAGCCCTTCCTGGCAGCCGTGGACCAGCTGGCCATGGCATCGCCGGCGTCGCAATCAGAGCTCTACCGAGCCGGACACGGCACCTGCACACTGGACTCCAGCACCAAAGGAGCCTTCCCCAGACAAGGAGGGGGAACAGACTCTATTGTCCACTGATGTGGTGGCCAGGCTGTCCCACTCCAGCAGTCTCCCCCTGATGATTTTAAGGAGCACCAGACCATCCTTAAATGGTGACTGAAAACTTGATCCTCCAGGTTGAGGAGGTCGCAGTAGAGGCCGACCTCTTCAATGTAATTTCAGCCACCAACCCTGCTAGGGTCGTGTTGCCCGTCCTCCCGGGGGTCCTTAAAATTGCCGAGTCACTGTGGCAAGCCCCCTCCTCTGTTCCATTGACCTCTAAGAAGGCAGAAAAGTTCCTGCAAAGGGATTTGAATATCTCTATACACATCACCCTGCGGCAAAACTGGTTGTGTCCGCGGTGAACGAAAGGGATGGACAGGATCAAGTTAGCAGTACGCCGAAGAGCAAAGAAGCCAAAAGGCTTGATTTGTTTGGCAGAAAAGTTTATTCGACGGTTATCCTACTATTCAGGGTCTATAATCACCAGGCCCTGCTGAGACCATATAATTTCAATCTGTGGGACTCCCTGAATAAATTCAAAAAAGCCCTCACACAATATTGTGCCCATGAGTTCGCTGCACTGGTGGATAAAGGTACGTCAGTCACCAGAGCAGTCCTTCAAATGGCCTGGAATGCTACAGACTCAGCGGCCAGAGTGGTCGCATCTGCGGTGGCCACGAGACGCAGCTCTTGGCTGCAATCCTCTGGGTTGTCCCCAGAGATGCAGGCCACAATCCAAGACCTCCCTTTCAAGGGCACCAGACTCTTCTCTGAGCTTACAGACTCAAGGCTCCATGGACCTAAAGACTCCCAAACCACCCTCCGCTCCCTGGGCCTTTATACCCTACAACAATCCAGGAAGCCTTTCCCCTCAGCAGTCCAAGGTCCTGGAGAACTTGCAAAGCGGGCTCCTACAGGAGAAAGGCAAGGATCATAAGCGGTGATACCCATCATCTTCCTGCTCGGCTGCACAACCTGACCCTCCTAGAAGCCAGGGAGGCTAAAAGCAATCATTTTAAGGCTGTGCCCGAGTATAATGCCCCTGTCAATCTGATTGATCCATCCCGCCCTTTCCAGTCGGCCTAGTCCCGTATCTCATCAGACTGTTGAGTGTTCGATGCAGTTTTTATTGGGCTATACCTAAGGCTGCGATTTAGTCACAGAGGTCATAAGAATGGCCATTCTGGGTCAGACCAAAGGTCCATCCAGCCCAGTATCCTGTCTATCGACAGTGGCCAATGCCAGGTGCCCCAGAGGGAGTGAACCTAACAGGTTCTCTAGTGATCTCTCTCCTGCCATCCATCTCCACCCTCAGACAAGCAGAGGCTAGGGACACCATTCCTTACCCATCCTGGCGAATAGCCATTAATGGACTTAACCTCCATGAATTTATCCAGTTGTCTTTTAAACCCTATTATAGCCCTAGCCTTCACAACCTCCTTGGGCAAGGAGTTCCACAGGTTGACTGTGCGCTGAGTGAAGAAGAACTTCCTTTTATTTGTTTTAAACGTGCTATCCATTAATTTCCTTTGGTGGCCCCTAGTTCTTATATTGTGGGAACAAGTAAATAACTTTTCCTTATTCACTTTCTCCACACCACTCATGATTTTATATACCTCTATCATATCCCCCCTTAATTTCCTCTTTTCCAAGCTGAAAAGTCATAGCCTCTTTAATCTCTCCTCATATGGGACCCGTTCCAAACCCCTAATCGTTTTAGTTGCCCTTTTCTGAACCTTTTCCGTAACTTCCAGCAACTGCCGTGACTTCAGTGGTGGGGAGCTGCAGGGTCCCCCGCAGCTCCCAGCCGCTGTGGGCGGTGGAGGAACCCCTGAGCTCGCTTTTGGCAGCAGGGGAACCTCTGAGCTGTGGGTGTTGGGGGTACCCTGCAGCTCCCAGCTGCTGTAGGCGGCTTCTAGCCCCTGCACAGCTGCCCCCCTTTCTGGCAGTATGGGGATCCGCAGATCCCCATTTTGTCCAAGATATTTAAGTCTTCCATGAATGTTTCTTTTTGTATCTGTGAGCTGTCCATACTTTACTAAAAATATCCGTGACAAAACCTTAGCCTTAGCTATACCCTACAGTATATCACCAACCACCCCTCCCCCCCCTTTCCCCGTCCCTCTTCAGGGACCCTTCTCAGGAGCAGGTCGACAACCTCCTGTGCCTGAGGGCAGTGTAGAAGGTCCCTCAGAACATGGAAGGAAGAGGGTTCTACTCCCATTACTTCCTAATTCTGAAGACAAAAGGGGGCTTTTTTTAGTGTACTGTCGTCTATCACCTGGTGGTCAGACCTTGCGGCAGTGCTGGAAGGAGTTCCCTTCGAGGCTCTGGCCGTGTTGACAGCCCTGGTCTCTGATGCTTCGGACCTGGGGTCGGGAGCCCATCTGTGCTATCTCAGTACACAAGGTCATTGGTCCAGTCACGATCGCTCCTTGCATATCAACGTCAGGAAACTCAGTGCGATGTGCCTGGCCTGCCAAGCCTTCCTACCGAATATACTGGGCAAAGTGGTTCAGGTCCTTACAGACAACATGGCTGCCATGCTCTATATCAACAAGCAAGGTGGAGCCAGGTCGACGGCCCTCTGTCAAGAAGCTGTCAGGCTCTGAGATGTCTGTCTGCAGTATGGTATACATCTCATTGCAGCGCACCTTCCAGGGGCCAAGAATGCCTTGGAAGATTGCCTCAGCAGGATCTTCTTGTCTTGCCATGATTGGTCCCTCCGTCCTGGAGGTGGTCAGTTTCATCTTCTGCAAGTGGGGAACTCCCCGAGTGGACCTGTTTGCGTCCAAACAGAATAGGAAATGCCACATCTTTTGCTCGATGAGAGGCTTGGATGGGGGCCCCTGTTGGACGCTTTTCTACTCCTGTGGTTGGGGGCTCTGAGGTATGCCTTTCCTCCAGTACCGTTGCTCCCCAGGGTCCTTACAAAGATCAAGTAGGACAGAGCAAGGGTGATTCTCATAGCGCCGGCCTTGTCGCCCCAGCAGTGGGACAGCACACTGCTGAACCTTTCGGTGGCAACTCCGTTCTATCTGCCTCTTAGGCCGGACTTGCTGTTCCAAAACCATGGCAGTCTTCTACACCCAAACCTGGCGGCGCTGCACTTAATGGCTTGGCTGTTGTGTGGTTGAATGAATGAGTAGGAGCAGCAGTGCTCAGCGTACGTTCAGCAGATCCTGTTGGGAAGTAAAAAGCCCTCTACCAGGGTGAACTACCTCGCCAAGTGGAAGCTGTTCACTTGTTGGATCTCAGAAAAAGGCATCCAGCCCGAGCAGGCCTCATTGCAGCTCATTCTGGGATACCTTCTGCATCTCAAGCTCCAGGGTTTGTCCCTTTCATTGATCGAGATCCACCTAGCAGCCATCTTGGCATTTCATCCACTGCTCAAGGGCAGGTCGGTCTCCAGCCAGGACATGACTGTCAGATTCCTCAAGGGCCTTAAGCACCTCTACCCCCATGTCAAGGACCCAATTACTCTGTGGGACTTGAACCTGGTGCTGTAACATCTTGTGGGGCCCCCTTTCAAGCCTTTGGCTTCCTGTTCTCTCCTCCTCCTGTCCTGGAAGGTTGCATTCCTAGTCGTGGTGACTTCAGCCCATTGAGTCTTGGAGAGTCGGGCGCTCACCTTGGAGCTGCCGTATACATTTTTCTACAAGGACAAGGTACAACTGGGACTGCACCGGCTTTCCTTCCCAAGGTGGTGTCTTAATTTCATTCAAGCCAGAATCTTCTTTCTGAAGCCGCATTAAATTGGCAGAGGAGGGTAGACTACATGTCTTATCTTCTACATCGACAGGACCAAGCTATTCCATAAGTCTACACAATTGTTTGTTGCAATGACCGACCAGATGAAAGGGCACCCTGTATCCACCCAAAGAATTTCTTCTAGGATCATCGCCTGCATTCGCTTCTGCTACGATCAAGCGAAGGTGTCACCGCCAGTTGTTGTCGCTGCCCACTTGACCAGGGCACAGGCCTCTTTGGCAGCTTTCCTGAGCCCTGTACCTATCCAGGGCATCTGCAGGGTGGCCACCTGGTCGTCCATCCATACATTTACGTCCCACTACGCACTGACCCAGCAGGCCCGGGACGATGCTGGCTTTGGTAGGGCGGTACTGCAAGCCACAAAACTCTGAAATCTGAGCCCAACTCCATAGATACTGCCTGAGAGTCACCTAGAATGGAATCGACATGAGCAAACACTCGAAGAAAAATCGGTTACCTTCCATAACTCTTGTTCTTTGAGATATGTTGCTCATATCCATTCCATTACTCACCCTCCTACCCCTCTGTCGGAGTTGCAGGCTAGGAGGAACTGAGAGGGCATAGGATCAGTGGTGCCTAATATACCAATGCATGAGCATGGCACTCAAGGGGGCGCCACAGCTGATCCTACAGATACCACTAAGGCAAAAGTCTCCGACTACTGTGCACATGGGCGTGCACACAAATGGAATGGAATGGACATGAGCAACACATCTCGAAGAACAACAGTTATGAAAGGTAACCATTTTTTGCTTGAAGAGACTCAGAACTTAAATCTTGTATTGCCAACACTGTGAAATGTGCAGTTCCAGAGAAGAATGTTGGAAAAAAGATGTATTTATTTGCTAGCTATATTCAGGCTAGTTAAAATACAAACCTTTTTTGCTAGTACTAATTTCCATCGGGACCCACTTATATTCCACATTATTTTCTGTCTGTGAACATGATTGATGTCATCATGACTTGTGAATAAACGTGTTATTCTCACAGTTTTTATAAACAGAGGATTTTGTTTGAGTTTTACTGTGCACATGGTAGAGCCCTGCAAATCTGTGGATATCTGCATATATCCGCGAAGCATATTTGCCACTTGCAGATGGGTGCAGATCCAAATTTTGTATCCGTGCATGGCTCTACACGTGGGTGAACAAAAGAGCTATTAAGGGAACCTGATCACTGTTTTTTAAGTGCATTGCAGGTGTAGCTGTTCAACTAGTGCAATTTTTAAAAACCAAGTCAACTATAAATAATTTACAAACATGATTGTTGGATTTCATACATACCTGTTGATTTCATTCTTTACAAATATTTTTGTCTTGTAGTTGCATTTGAGTCTGTCTTTGGGTTCAGGTGGAGAAGAATCAGATAAGGACAAAAAAGAAATGATCGCTATTCATTCAGTCAACTTGCTATTGAAAAGTATTGGGGCTACTCTGACTGATGTGGATGATCTTATATTTAAGTAAGCTGATACTTCTGATTAATAGATTTTGACTGTTAAATTTGTAAATAGAGTTAGTGAATCCTTTTAGGTATTTCAGTTCTTCAGCAGTAGTCAGTAAATGATTGGTCTGATTTAACTATTTAGAATGAATTTAATTGCCTTGTAATCAAGTACAGTCACATGCATGGAAAGTGTGTTTGTGTTATTTTTAAAAGTGGACTTGAGATCCTCAGAGGGAAGGAGATGAATGGGAAAGGAAGAGTATCTAATTGTTCTAAACCCTTGCACTGCATCCCTTGGTAGCCTTCGCTTCCTACAAGTGTCTCAAGTAGTGCTCTAGCTACCTCACTGAATAATGCACAATAAAAGGTATAGGTTAGTTAAATAATTTTGTAAATTTAAATACTCTAATCTCAAGTAATAAATCAATAAGAGATTTTTGTTTCAGCTATTAAATGTTGCTATTTGTCTTTCAGACTTGCTTTCTTTGAAATTAAGTATCAGTTTTACAGGCAAGATGAGCTGATAAGGAGAGTTGTTACACATTATAGTGAACAAGTAAGTTCATTCAGTGAATTCTACTTTTTAAACATATTTTTAGGATAAATATGCTTGTCTGGAATGTGAAGCTTTTGTGCTTATTTGGGTATAAACTATTAGTTTTACAAATCCATTGTTCATAGTCATTTCTGTGGCAAAGCATCTAAACGTGAATTACCTCTACTTCAAGTGGATTTCAGTTTCAACAGTTTCTGTTTTTACTTTTGCCCACCTGTATCAAATATGGTACTAGACTCATCATCTACCATGACATTCTGCTGGAGCTACTTGTACATGTACAGCATCTTTTGCCATAGCCAGACTCTTTCACAGTCACTCAAGTAGAGCATGCTTACTCCTGTGCCTATGTCGTGCTTTTGTCCTGGTCTGTAGCATTATGCAGTACTTCTGCTAAGCCACTGTTTTAACACCATCTTACTTGCGCTTGGAAGATTTAAAAACTATGTTCTATAGATTTTAATTCTAACTTGGGTAGTATATTAAAAAAGAGCTGATATGTACTATGTCCACTTTTGTTCTTCATTTAGTTCTTGAAGCAGATGTATGTTCTTGTACTGGGTTTAGATGTCCTGGGAAATCCATTTGGCTTAATCAGAGGTTTGTCTGAGGGTGTGGAAGCTTTCTTCTATGAGCCTTTTCAGGTATGATTTCTTCTTTTAGGTCACTGTATTAGTCAGTTAGCTATAGGTTGCTAAAAATATTTTTGAACCTGATGAATTGGGAAATCGTGGCACTTGCTACTCGAAGAAATGTCTTGTTAAAGGGTATGTCTATAACGTAACAGAAGATGCATGGGATGGCTGCGGTTGGCCCAGGTTAGCTGACTGTGCCTTGCTGGGTTTGTGGGCTATGCAACTGTAGTGTAGATATTTCGGCTCGGGCTGGAACTCCGGTTCTGAGACATTGCAAGGCAGGCGGGTCTCACAGCTTGGGCTCTAGCCTGACCTCAAACATCTACACTGCTATTTTTAGCCCTGAAGCCCGAGCCCGGTGAGCCCATCAGCTGACCTCGGCTCTGAGACTCAGTGCTATGGGTTTATCACAGTGTAGAAATACCCTAAATGAACAGACATTTTCCAATGCACAGCAGTTGCCATTTGATTCTTGAAGAGCTGTAGGATGAAGAGAGGGGTTTGTTTCTCTCTCTCTCTCTCTCTCTCTCTGTATTTTAATTTATAGTAAATTTCATCTTTAGGGAGCTGTTCAAGGACCTGAAGAATTTGCTGAGGGCTTTGTGATTGGTGTAAAGAGTCTTCTTGGTCACACAGTAGGTATGTATCATGTACCTTTGTCATTGACAAAAGTACTTGTTAACTTAGTTCTTGTACTGTATGACCAAATGTCTTTGTAGAGCTTTTGCTATTTTAATTGGGTTGAGAAGGATTTTCAAAACACTAATATGGGAATCATGGCAGAAGCTGTGATAGAAAACACTGGCTGAAGAGATCTCTGAGCTATTAGCAATTATCTTTCAGAACTCATGGAGGATGGGAGATATCACAGAGGACTGGAAAAGGGCAAATATAGTATCTATCTGTTCATAATCACCTAGAAGATAATAAGGTGATAAGTAGCAGTCAACATGGATTTGTCAAGAACAAATCCTGTCAAATCAACCTAATATTCTTCTTTGACAGGGTAACAAGCTTGGTGGATAGGAGAGAAGCAGTAGATGTGGTATATATCTTGACTGTAGTGAAGCTTTTAAAACTGTTTCACGTGACCGTCTCATAAACAAACCAGGGAAGTATAGCCTAGATGAACCTACTGTAAGGTGGGTGTACAACTGGTTGGAAAACTGTACTCCAGAGTAGTTATCAATGGTCCACAGTCAAGCTAGAAAGACCTATCAAGTGGGGTCCTGTAAGTATCGGTCCTGAGTCCGGTTTTATTCGATATCTTCATAAATGATTTAGATAGTGGCATAGAGAATACGCTTCTATCAAGTTTGTGTATGATACCAAGCTCGGAGAGGTTGCAGATGATTTGAAGGACAAGATTATAATTCAAAATCATCTTGACAAACTGGAGAAATGGTCTGAAATAAAAAGGATGAAATTCAGTGAGGAAAATGAAAAGTACTATGATGCGGAAGGAATAATCAACTGCACAAATACAGAATGGGAAATGACTGCCTAGGAAGGGGTACTTTATTAAAATGGATCACAAACTAAATATGAGTTAACAATGTAATACAGTTTCAAAAAGAGCAAACTTCATTCTCAGATGTATAAGTAGGACTGTTGTAAGTAAGACACAAGAAGTGATTCTTCCGTTTTACTTAGCACTGATAAGGCCTAAACTGGAGTATTGTGTCCAGTTCTGGGCACCAAACGTGGGGAAAGATGTAGACAAATTGGAGAAAGTCCAGGGGAGCAACAAAAATGATATAAGGGCTAGAAAACATGACCTTGCGGAAAGATTGAAAAAATCGGGTTTGTTTGTTCTGGAGAAGGGAAAACTGAGGGGGGACATAAGTCTTTGAGTACCTTCAGGAGAGAAGGTTCCCCATCAAAGCCCTCTCAGAAAAGGCAGAAGGTTGTTATAGGTTTGTAAAAGGTTGTTATAAAAAGGAGGGTGATAAATTGTTCTCCATCACCACTAAGGACAAGACATGAAGTAAAGGGGCTTAAACTGCAGCAGGGGAGGTTTAGGCTCGACATTGTGAAAAACTTCCTAAGTGTAAGGGTGGTTAAGCACTGATACAAATTACCTATGGAGGTGGTGGAATCTCTGTTGTTGGAGGTTTTTAAGAATAAGTTAGACAAACACCTGTCAGGAATCATCTGGGTAGTCTTTCCTCAGTGCAGTGGACTGGACTAGATGACCTATCAAAGTCCGTTCCAGTCCTGCAGAATGCAATTCTATGATTCTGTGCTAGGTGTTGTAAAGTCTGCCACTCATTCCATAAAAGCTTTGTTCATTTGAAGATTATTAGTAGCAAACACAATTAATTGAGAGTTCCTAGATTTCAGCATGATGGAGAAAAAGGCAGCTAATTTATGAAAATGTAGAATTCATTGTCAGTGCTGGGATGATAAACCAGTGATAAGTACTAGACTTCGAAGACATTTTTTGGAGAATAGTATATCCAAGACCAACCATTGCTTTGGCTAATTTATTAAAGCATCTATTTTAAATACTGTATCAGTTGTTGGAAAAAGTCAGGTAACAGAGGATGGAACCTGACTCTGTGCTAAAAATATTTCAAGGCATGCCAGGTCAATATGAAATATTTGTCTTTTGCTGCAATAAGTTGCATGCCTATACACTGGAGCCTGTTGCTTGAAAGATAATATGGTATTCCATGCTTCTTGTCTGATGATTTTACTAAATTATCATATTGTCAACTTTAGCACAGAAAGATTCCTCTGAATTGCATGCAATTTAAATTGTACATTATGGTTTGTCCATTATTAAATATAAACAAGGAGCCATGCGACTTAATCTCTCCTTGGCTGACAGGGGGCGCTGCCGGGGTGGTATCTCGGATCACTGGTTCCGTTGGAAAAGGCTTGGCTGCTATAACTATGGACAAAGAATACCAGCAAAAACGGAGAGAGGAGATGGGCCGTCAGCCGAAGGACTTTGGTGACAGTTTGGCCAAAGGAGGAAAAGGCTTTTTACGGGTATGAAATTCAAACTAAACCTACAGTGAACTGACAGTTGGGTCTGTGCTAGAAAATCATTAACTGCATGTATGAAACAATTTAATGGCATCCTCCATATTCAGTTAATGAACTAATAAAAGAAGCAGAAACTGAAGGAAAAAAATTAAAGTCCATTTACATTGCATGGAGTACTGGATATTATCGTAAGGTGATCTATTTTCTGTTTCTTCTAGAATCCACCTGGGAGTGTCATAAAAAAATTTTACATTTTAAAAAAATATCTGAAGAGGAAGTATATGTAGACAAATTGCTTCAACATTTCTGAAATGTAATGTACTTTAGATTCTGAAGTGTGTTCTGTTCATGACAATGATGCAAGTATTTTGAAAAATAGGACACCTAATACTATAGATATGTGACATGAGGCAGAACAGGGGAGTGTTGGGAGTTAAAATCCAAGAGATATCTGATCATAAGTAAGTGAAATTCTAGTTAACAATAGTACTGTCCTATAAGTCCTAAGTATTACTACTCATTATTATCAACTTCTGTAGATCTAACACAAATATGCTAAATGCTTCTGAAAGAATATCAATTATAGTAGTTATGAGCTACTGTCTTTTTGTAACTAGTTTTTGCAAAGTAGGAGGCTCATATCAAGGGTATTTTATTTTTAAAAAATCTATCTTGATGGGTAAGTGTGAAGAACCATGCAATTTATATATTTTATAGATAATAGCTATATCGGGAACAGAGAAGGAAGGAGGCTTCCACTCCATTCCTTATATGACTTCGCACTTTCCCCCATAGCAGTAAAGATGAAGGGCCAAAGGGAAGGACAGACTCAGGCCCCTTCCAACCACTTAACTCCCCTTCCCCCTGGCTAGCAAGTTTCTTGTTGCCTGAAACTTACTGGTTTTTATATCTTTATCTCTGGAATGACTAATTCTTTCCTGATTGTCCCTATGTGTAGTTAGTGCCCTTCAGGTTGCACATGTTCACCATATACCCAACAAACACGATCAGTACAGGATTCTTCCCTTGGGACTCAGGGTAACACCAAGAATGTTCACCAAGATGCTGTCAGTGGTGGCAGGTTACTTCTGCTGACAAGCAGCGACAGTATTCCCTTACTTAGAGGACTGGCTCCTAGAGGGACAATCTTACTGCAAAATGTAAGAAGCAGCTACTGGGCTTCTAGATCTCTTTGACAGATTGGATTGAGGGTGAACCTGAAGAAATCCACCCCAGAAGCCACGGTTGTGGATGAGGTTGGATGCTGTGACTGCCAGGATATATTTACCAGATGGCCAGTTCCTCTCCATCAGTCTCATACAGTGAACCCCAATGACCCTCAGGATGTCCATACAATCCTGGCACTGTTGGATCATATAGCCACAAGCACCTAATGTGATCCCGTTAGCTGGGCTTCGTGTCCGATGTGTGAAGGCTTGGTTACTGACTGTACATACCCTGGTTCAAGCATAGACTCAACCTGCTAGTCAGGGTTCCCCAAAGGTTCTTATACTCTTTTAATTGGTGGGAACACAGATGAAAAATGTGTATGCGCACGTATGGGAACCATTCAACTCCCTGTTCCCAACAAAGACCTTGACCATGGATGCATCCCTCATCAGTTGGGGAGTACACATGGCGGGACAGGTATATAATATTACCTATAGAAATATTGTTATACCTATGTTTACCTATTCCTCCATGTGTATATAATCTTGAGTTCTGTTGTAGGTTCTGGAGAGGAGTATTCCTCTACTGGTTACAGACCTTCTGTCCCATCTCCTCCAGTTTTTCTGTTTCAGTCCAGTCTCTTTCACACTTCGCCATGTTCCCCCATCTTCTTGTTTCAGTTTGACCCTTGGGTCTCCTTGTCCCTGGGCTCCCTGTCAGAGTACATGTGTCCCCACACACTGGCTCACAGTCTTCTCCCCACCCTGGGCTCCTTGTCCAAACTGCCTTCTCCTTCTCTCCCATACCCCACTTTGATTCTTGCTCTCTCTGCATTGAGTTAGGCTGCTGATTCTACAAAATTGTTTGGCCACCACCAGGGGGAGCATTGGAAGCACAGGAGAGAATCTCTTCTCTCAGTTCCTGTGCCACACCATAGGGGCTCCTGGCAGTTGGGAGGAGCAATTCAAGTGGAGGTGCTTCTCAGCCCCTGCCTCCCTGGACTAGAACATACTCAATGGCTGTCAAGATGGTCTTGCCCAGTCTGCTCGGTACACAGGACCCGTGAGGAGATGGAGCATGGAAAATACAGATAGACTCTTAAGAGAATTTAGCTGCCAGATTATTTTTAAAAAAAAAAAAATCTCTACTGAGCGCTTGTGAACTGAGATTTTCAGGAAGGTAATAATTTGGCCAAATGTGGGCTGTTTCTCACGGAAACCACAAAGGAAGCAGATTGCCAACCCTAGGGTGTGACCCACCTGCCAAATTTCAAGTCCCTGCTTGCAGAGTGGTTCATTCACCTCAGGAGCCACCTCCTTGTGGCCAGGCGTGGCGGCATACTGTCTATGGCACTCCCTGCCTATAGTTACTCCATCGTTGTGGTGGTCTCTCTCCCTGCAACTTCGCCTTCTGGCCAGGTTATGCTTTAATCCACCCCTTCCAGGGTAACAGTCACACCCAGCAATAGTCTTTACAGTGGGCCTTCCATCTGTCTTGGTGGTTGGAGGTTGTCACAAATCCACAGGATCAGTGCTACGGTCCCAGCTACCTTGGTGACTGGTACGGAAACCCAGGAATTTTGAAGCTGGCAGCCAAGGTCTGCTGCCTCAGACACCTTGCTGTCTCCCTGGATCATATCCTGTCTTTTCTATCCCCCAGAGAGAGACTACAGACTGTATCCCTGCAGCCCTTCCAAGCTGGGTTTTGGTATCAGTTAAGCTTTTTTGCTGTCTTTCTTGCAGATGCTGCTAGGTATGTTGGGGTACACACACCTTTCATTGCTCCAAAGCATGGAGACGCTACTAGAGCTTCTAAATTAAACACTTGTAAAAATATTTTTAACATGGGCAAAAATATTTCCCCCAGTCTTGTTTTCAGAAGCAGCTGTAATATTTTTGCTAAAACTTTCCAAAAAAAAGTTGAATGTGAGTCAGAGACCCAGCATGTAAAACTTCAGCTGAAATTTTTCAGGTTGTGGCCGGTTAGAAAAACTGAAAACTGTGTCATAATAGGAAGTGTTGGGGCAGCCTTAAGTACAGGCAGCACTCTCAGCTCCACCTATAATTACATATGTAAATAAGTTACTAGTTATGTTCAGTTTTGGAAGAATTCACTCCCCAGGTGAACAGTTGAAGAAGGCTGTGTCCACCTTTATTGTCTATGACAGAAACAACTATAAGATGCAGTAAAAAGGTTCATGTGCAAATTTGGATCACTAATCATTTGGTTCACCAGAGAAGAAAAACAAGCTTCAAATCTGAAGTTTGCAGTAACATGCAACAAACTGATTTTTTTTTAAAAATCTGGTAAGGGTCTGATGATCATAGAACAAATGACCACAAAATAAATACGACGTTACCTACGCAAGGTTTCTCTGAAATGCATGTACACGAGGTTTCTCTGGAATGGATGCTAAGTGCCCAAGTGATCCATTTTATCTCAAGTGAGAAATTCTTCCTAGGAGATGAAAGGCTGTGTTTACGTCCAGTGTCTGTTGTTTATGTGGGTTTTGAATCATACCTATCATCTTTATGCTAGAATTATTTGTTACATGAAATGCAAATTAAGCACATTAGGAATTGTTAATAATTGTTAATAATCAAAAGAAAAAACTCATTTTACTTTCCCAAACTTGCTCAGTAGCGTACATAGCGTGACGTGTGTTTTTCTAATCTTGTTTACTGACAAATTTGTAAAAGCCTGTTTGCTATTCTTGTATTGCACTGCCAATCTTAAGCATTAATCTTTTTAGTGCTGTTGTGGTTGGGGTACTGCCTAATGCATTAATTTACTTCTTTTGTTTACTTTATAAAACTATTCAGCATATTAGTAACCTCCTTTCCTAAAAGACTTTACTGTACTTTGGATATTTCTAAAAGCACTCACTTAAGATTAGGCAAAGTACTGTTGCGATACATGTTGAATCAGGGCTTACCTAGAGAAGACTTGGGCTTGTCTACCCTTACCGGGGGATCAACAAGTGGCAATCGATGCATTGGCGGTCAATTTAGCAGGTCTAGTGAAAACCCACTAAATTGACTGCAGACTGCTCTCCCGTTGATTTCTGTACTCCACCTGATCGAGAAGAGAAGTGTAGTGTGGATCCCACAGTAAGTAAATCTAAGCTACGTTGATTTGAATTACGCTGTTCACGTAACTCAAATGGCATAGTTTAGATTGAATTTACCCTGTAGTGTAGACAAGGCCTCAGTGGCAAGCCAGGATGTGACTCTACAGTGCACAAACCTGCTGCATGCTAACTGGCTGTGTGGACTCTGATGTGGAGAACTTTTAGTTCATGATAGCAAAGTGTGCTAGAAGTTCCCAAGTGCCCTCTGGCTTAGAGAACTTGTAATGCGTGGTAGAAGAGTCTGCATGGCCAGTTAGTGCTTTGGAGGCTAGTATGCTGTAAATTTACATCCTGACTTGCAGCACACTATCTGTACAGAAGCCCTTATAACATGTATGCCATAACCTAGGCTTAGTTAACTAGTTATTGTTGTGTCTTATAATATTGCTCACTAGTGTTTCTCAGCCAGGTAAGCTGTGATCCCTTTTTCATGAAAAAAGCTATGCTCAGTGAAGGATGTCTCTCTCCACCTCAAGTTGTCCCACAACAATCCATTCTTTATTTATAACCAGGATCCCCCTGCTAGTTGTTTTCCCTGTGTGCTCCTTCCTCATTGACTCTACAAGCTTTTCATTAGCATCAGGCTCATTACTGCAAATGTACTTCAATTGGAAGGCCTTCAGTACAAGATAACCAGCCAGAGAGAGAAGTGTTTACTCCCTTCTACTGATTAGATACTGTTTATCACCTCTGATGACCTGTGTTAACTTATATACCTTAAGAACATAGTTTTCAGTAAAGACACGTAACTCCTTAACTATCATTATACATACATTTTGCAATTATTATGATGACCAGTAAGCTACGAGCTCTTGGTAGAGACCTCACATGCCCCCACTCTTTGGTGAATGATTACATCGGGGATCTCTGTAAACTGCTGTATATGTCCTCTGCCAGTTGGCCCCAGTGATCTGTGGGTCACATCCTGTGACATAGGCTACAGAACAGCCAGGGAATAGTGACTGGTAGTGCAAAACAACAGTTAAGTTAAGATTCTCGCATGTTATCTGTCAGGGATCGTCTCTGTGTCCAGTTTAGTAGTTCCCTGTGCCTTCTAATTATTCCAAAGATGTTTTCTTTCATGATGATCATGTCAACAGGAATTCATAATAAACAAAAATAAGCCTCAGGAAAGATCCCATTTGAACGCTTTGCCTAAATGTTAATTTTAAAACACAGCAGGAGAGACACCTAGTGGCTGAATCGTGCTTCAGCAGTTCTGGCTTTCAAGTGTTGACAATGAAACTCTCATTTTTCTTTCAGGGTATTGTTGGTGGTGTGACTGGAATAATCACTAAACCTGTAGAAGGTAGGCAAAAATTATTAGTAAACCTAAAGTCCATTCTTCAGAAGGCTAACACACTGTGCTACTTATAACTTACTTTCTATTGAGAAATATTGACTTAAACATGATAGTACTTATTTAGGTCTGAGCTCATTATTTCTGTGTTTCTGAAGAAAAGTAACATTTTTAAAATCATGTCATTTGTAAAAATTAAAGTTTTGATTTCAGATATTTTTACAGTTGTTACTAAAGGTTCTTGTGCAAATTCACATGCAGACTTTGACAGACCAGTTCACATAATATCATGTGCAGCTGCGTATGAATAAGTTTAAAACGAAAACTTTCTCTGAACGGTCATATTTACAGCAGGCATGTAAATTTTTGCTGTTGGACAATTTCAGCAGAGTTTCCTCTATATCAGCAAATTAACTGTATAAAGCTGAGCTTGAGTAACTATCTCTACCAGCAAAGAAGTAGAGAAATAGACCTTTATGCATTAATGTATTTCACCCCATAGGTGGCACATGCATGTGTGTGTGTGTGTGTGTGTGTGTACAATTAGATGTTGAATAATAGAACAGGTAGTATTTTTGTTGTTGTTTAAGTGACAGGGTAAAGAATAATTAGAGTGGGAGCCACACTAGACATAACATCTGTTTTAACCACTTGGTCTGTTTCTGCTGTTTCTTTTAATTGGGAAGCTTAACTGGCTTGTGCTTAAACCTGTCAGGTAGTTTTTTTGTTTTAAGCCTGCTTCACTCTATCAATATGAGGCATGGTAAAAAAGAATAAAGGAGATTAAAAAATAGGTGAAATTGCTTCTTTTAAATCTGGCATTTAGATAGGGAATCAGGACACTCACAGATATACAATCCCAATTCCTTAAATGTTTACAGAAGAACCATCTAAATATTAGTCAGTTAATAGCACTAAATTTCACCTGATTTTTGCTGGTTGCTAATAAATTAAGTGAATTGTTCTTCTCTTCTGAGCAGTGATTCTGTAAAAATGGTATAAAAAAACTACACACAGTCATTTGGTTCTTTTTCTCGTGCATCATTACCAATGCGAATGGTTTTGGAAGCTAAATTCTTACCTTAGTTGCATTTGCGTAAATCTACAGTCTTCACATTTTGCTCTTAATCAGACCTGTGGAGAATTGTCTTCAATGGAAGTGCACTAGCGTAACTGGCTCTGATAATTGTAACTTTTTTTTAGTAAACAATTCTGATAATGTAGAAGAAAGAAGAATCCCATTCACCCTCTCTTAGCTATGTTGGTTCTGAAGGGCTAATGAGATTTAAGGTGAACAACTATGTTACCAAACACAGACTGGGAAGGTTCCGTAAAGCAAAAGGTGTCATTAATACATAGTATTTTTTCTGAGCTGAACTGCATGTAACCAGCAATTTTGGAATGTTTCAGGTATAGAATTGTTCTAATTAAAGTTAAGTCTTCATAAAGCAGGAGGTGGATTAACTTTAGAATTTGGATCTTCTGCAAGGGTATGTAACTAATACTGTATTTTCTTTTCTGAAGGGGCTAAAAAGGAAGGTGCAGCTGGATTCTTCAAAGGAGTTGGAAAAGGGCTTGTAGGTGTTGTGGCCCGCCCGACAGGTGGCATCGTAGATATGGCAAGCAGTACCTTCCAGGGAATTCAGAGGTAAAATGATGGGGTGGAAGTTAGTGATTGTCTGTTTACCAAATGTTCTCAGGTATGTGGAGTGTGTGATTAGAGATACAGTGGTAACATATGTTTGCTTGACATTTGATGTGATTAAAGTACAAGCTGCATCAGGAGGACTGAGAGTGCGCCATGGTGATGCTTTGTTAGGTGCCAGGTGAAGGAAGAGTGCTACAACCACCTGAGACTGACGCTATTACAGTATAACTTAATATACTACAGTGTCATATGGAGGTTATATCAGCTCCATGCAAACATGAAAAATAAAATGAAAGTCCTGTATTATGGTGTACCAACTAAAAGTCCATACAAGGCTGTAAAAACTAAATAAAAACATAGAACACTCAGTAATTAAAAATGTTGTTTTTCAACTCCTGAATGCTCACAGCCATCTCTCACTTTACCCTGCTGTAATACCTAGACCACTGCAATGACTGTCAGTGGGACTTGTAATCCTAAATCATTTATGCACTTTTGAAACTGCAACTGAAAAACTTTCTGCAAGCTATAGAAGAGTCAATAATGACTTAGAGTTTGGAAGAAACTTCTCCCATAGACATGTAGTTTCATAATTGTCTGACTCATGCAATAGGGCGATGATATAGAGTGCCATGACACACAAATAATTTTGGATAATTCATGGCTAGCTAGCAAGTATGAGCAGGATCTTTCAAGGTTTGAGGAGATGAATTCTAAATAACTTATTTAAAAATCTGTGCTGACTAAACTAGTAAAAGAAATAAAAGAAATGCAAGTAACAAAAACAATTTTGGTGCGAAGTCTGTACCAGGTCTGAACGCGTTGAAATTGTTGGTCTTTGACAGGGTGGCAGAATCAACTGAAGAGGTATCTAGTCTCCGTCCTCCACGTCACATTCACGAAGATGGCATTATCCGGCCATATGACAGGCGTGAAGCTGAGGGTTATGATTTATTTCAGGTAGGAGTTGCATTGTTAACATAAGTACAGCCTAAATTTTCTAACCATTGAGGCGCTTAATGCAGTATATTATTAAAATGCTACTTTGGGGAAGGGACCTGGATATTTATTTCAGTTTATAAAATATGCCTATGTATTGCCATCCAGTGCAAGCTTTAGTCACAATGAAGAACTAGATATGTGCTATGCAGAGTAAATCAGATTACTGCACAGCCTTTCAATATTCTGTTTTACCAGTTGCTCATCTCGTCATTTTGTGTTAAATATATCACCATGACCCTCGCTTAAAAAAGGGGGGGTGTGAAGATATTTTAGCATTTGTGGGACAGTCTATTGTGGGACAATATTTAGGAGGTTAATCCTGTTCCTTATGTTTCCCATGTTTTCAAACTGTGGTTTTTAATGGTAGTGTGCTAAAAGCTACACAACGCATATGATGGTCTAGTCTGGTTGACCGCCTGCATGGTGTTAGACATGGGTGCCATATTGACAATGAATGCTATTTCTCATAAACTGGGGAATTTTAATCCAGTTAATTTTGAGTAAATGCAACAAGACAGCAAACAGGAAGAGCACTTTAAGAACATGCTGGCTGAGATTTCAAATGTAATTTAGCTGAAGTATTGGTTATGATAAAACATAAAAAATACTGGAACAAAAGAAGTGATTTAAAATGTTTACTTCTAAGTTAAGACTGAAACTTGCATTTAAATTGCAAGTTTAAATTGCATTTAAATTGCATTTAAATTGCAAGTTTAAACTTGCATTTAAACTTGCATTTAAGACTGAAACTTAATTATTGATGATTGCATTTATTTCCTGTAGATATCGTTTGTGATCCCTCGGCATGGGTTTCTAATGTTGTCCCCTCTCTCTCTCTCTCTCTCTCTCCTTGCATACGCAGCAAGAACTGGAATAATGGAGTAAACATTTTCCATATTTTTTCATGATTTCCTTCATGGGCCTTTAAGAATTTAGATTAAGGGCATGATTCCATAAAAGAAACTCAAATTATTCATTGACTTCTATTAGAACCTCTATGTAGGAGTTGAATGGCACTTTAAATTACCCAATTCATAGTAAGAACAAAATAATTTACCGGTTACAGTCTAAAGGGTAAGACTGGACGGTAGTACATGCTAACATGAAATCATTTCCTCTTGCGTGTTTTTAAAATGACGTTGGGCCTTACTTCTGAGCTCTGAATGGCAAGTGTTAATAAAGTGGTCACGAAAGAAATATTCAAGGTAGTGTAGATGATAAATGCTTCTTGAATAGTCAGCATTCTCTGGAGGGTATTTATATAGGGATCTTGCTTAAAAATGCCAAGAAAAGAAAGTAAGCATGGCTACTAAAAATGAATAAAAAATTTGCTCCTGTGTATGAAAATGCTTTTGTAATTTCATGAGTCGGTGATATAAAATTTGAAAATATATCCGATAAAATGCTTCCATTCATGGTTTAAATAAGTTGCTATAGGTCTGCCCTTGACACTGCTGACTAGCCACATGACTCCATGTTCATATTGAAAAATGAATAATCTTCTATATGATATGTTCTTCCAATCAAGGAACAGAAGGCTTGGTTAACTCTGCCCTTTGCCCCAAATAAACTTTTTGTATTCCATTTTATGCGATGCATATACATACTACTGCACATCATTTAAAACTGTAATCCCTAGTATGTAAATGCCAACTTTTTTAGCGTGAGTGAAGCCACGAGTCTCTCCTTGATTTGTGAAATTTCATATTAGGGAAACCAATAATTAATCTTACTAGCAACAAAATGTCTGTTCTGTGTTTTATGCATAAACGCTGTTGACAAAAAATTTTACTGGCTTCAGACATTTGTCTTAAACATTATTTATAAGATTGTGATCAATACAATTGTGATCAATACTCAACACTTCTTTTCTGGGCTTGTTGTGGTGCTTGTGTGCATCTCTGCACTAGCGTGAATTTTTTTCAGTTCCCCTCTCAAAAATTCTCAATATTAAATAGTTGCAATCTTTTGTAAAACAATACGATCTTAAACTTAGTGCAGAAGCAGATTTTTTTTTAAAATTCATGTTTGTCATACCATATTAAATAAAAATATAAATATGTTAGTTCTAGGTGTGTGCTTTTCACTCTATTACTTAAAAACACTTTTCAGTGCAGTGTTAGACTTCCTGGTCTGTTATGTGGGGAAAACGCTTTTGGTACATGAAAAGGAAAGAAGTAGCACAATTAATGTTGGAAACTGGCTGCTATAAATATATGGAGCCTCTAAGATTTGTATGTTTAACCTATTTTTTGTGGATTAAAGTTTTGATAATATTATTCAAAAAAAATATTGCTGTACATAGTTTTCCATATTGAATTTTCTTTCTGTTGAAAGCTAGGAAATTCTAAGGTCGCTGTGAAACAGCTCTCTTCACCACCCAACGCTGTTGCTGTACCTGTACATTTTGAGATTATAGAAATCAGGGTGGTAGTGTAGCATAGCACACATGAGCTGTTTTAATGATCAAACAAATACAGAGTTGAGCCTTAGAGGGAAAATAGGACATTTAGTAAAGGAGTCTTAGCCTTTAAACTAAATCACCGTTTCTCATAAAAAGCTTGCACTTGTCACAACACTGCATAATAACTCAGTCTGAGTCCTAATTTTGAAATTTCTTGAGCTAAATTTGTCAGAATCTTACAGTTAGTGAAACATAAATGTTTTATTTCATACTTCTGAGGGGATTCTGCACCACTGCACGTGCAGAATTCATGTCCCCCTGCAGAAAACATATTATGTTGGGGAGGCGCTGCAATTACACCTTTTTGCACACCAGGGGCTGCTGTGGTGTCAGAGTGGGCAGCCAGCTCAGGGCCAGAGCAGCCAGCTGCAGAGAGGGAGCGGGGCAGCTACTGCCCCATCATAGTATCCTGCCATGGGGCCAGGTGGGAAGACAAGGGATATGGGAGGGATAGACAGCGTGGGCAGACGGGGCTGCTGGGGGTGGGGGTTATATAGACAGGCATTCAGAAGAGCTAGCGGGGGGAACAGATGGGTGGGGCCTGGGAGCTAGTGTGGTGACAATATTGCGTTGGGCTGAATGGGAGTGGAGGTGCAGAAACACATGGGGATGGCATGGGGGGATGCAAGGAAAACATGAGGATGGGGGAGGGTAGTGGCTGAGTGCGGGTGCAGGTACACATGGAGATGGGCAGGAAGAGGAGTGCAGGGACACGCGGGGACTGGAGCAGATGTGCCTGAGTTAATTGGAGAGGCTAGGGGTCAGCTAGGTTCTGCATGGGGGAGGCTCCCCAACTCCCTAACAGTCTTTCTCTCCTCCCCCCCCCCACTCCCCCCAAAAAAAACCACAAAAACCACCTGTTCCATACTTCTCCCATCCATACCCAATAAACCTCCAGGTTCACTCCCAGGCTCCTGCCCAGGCATTATTTGCCTCTCCCTCAGCTCCTCTGTTACCCCTGACTCCCCTGAACCTTTGCACTACTTCTGAGGGGTACAGGAAATAGGTTTCTGTCTTGTAGTTTAAATGAATTATTACTCAAAGTTCTGTATTAATGTGCCTAATAAGGAATCTATTTGCCAAAAACCATTTCTTGAATCTTTTTTGTTTTCTGTATTGTTATAGACATACTTGCTGACAGGTATTTTGAAATAAATTACCAAAATAATTGAAACTGGTGTGATTATATTGTGGTATTTTAACAAATAAGATATGCAGAATTTTCAAAATTTTACAATACTGTGTACAACACTTTTTTTTTTTTTTTTTTTTTGGTGCAGAATTCCCCCAGGAGTAATTTCAATGTAGTCCTCATGTTTTTTTCCTAGTAAATTGGCCAGAGTATAAGCCTAAGAAAATGAATATTTTTAGTTGTAAATGAGTTACTATAGTGTAAATTTGTCTCAGACTTCGTTCCTTTCATTCTGTTGCATTTGGTAGCTTCACAATACTCACTGTCTCCCAGCCTTGCACCATTGACATGTTCAACTGTCCTCCTCTCTGCCACTGTCCTGCTGCCACTTTGCCACAACAGCATTTCCAGGCTGTTGTTTTCCTGCTTCCGAAATCCTTGTTCTGGTCTTGAACATATCATGTCTGAAATACTGACTCACTTTGTCTTGTTGAGTAATTCAACTAAAGTTCTCCAGTGAAAACCTAGACTTCTCTCTGGACCATACCTAGGGTTCATTTGCCTTCTGCAACAAATTTAACCTTCTCATTGTCACTTGATTGGACCTTCTCAAATTTTATCTCCGTCTCACCACCCCACTCCTGTGTATCTGCTACCTTCCTCACTCCCTCCACTCTTCCTAATGTGAATGCCTAGCTGCTAATTCTTTTTGCACACTTATTTCCATTTCTTTTCCCCTGTGTCTGGAACTCACTTCCTTACCAAGTCCACCGTGCTTCCACCATCTCCTGCTTAAAGTCCCTGCTTAAAATGCAGTCTTCAACGAGGCATATAAAATTTAGGATGCCCCTCTAAAATTAAATGTAAGTTTCTAAAATAATTAAGACAAAGTCTTGGAATCTTGAGGAAGAAAGTCTTACTTTCCAGACTACCAGTGATGGTGTTTTGTTCTGTCTTAAAGCTGGATTATGCATGAAAGGCACTTGATTGAATTGGGTGCTGCAGACTGGCATCCCAGAAGAACTTTGGCTGTGAGGCAGTAACAATGCCTCTTGGATTGTAACCTCTGGAATGCACTACAGTAGAGTGTCCATAGCTGACCAGCTCTGCTAGTCAGTGCAGAAGATTGGAATAGACTCAATTACTCACCAACAAGTCTTGGGGTAGCTTGTGCCATTAGTTGTCTTGGCCCTCTATAGCCCAGAATGTAAAAATTGCAGTTGTGACTGACTGCTGCATCATGACACTAGTGGGGAGTTCTTTTGCTCTGTTCCCCACAACGTCTGCAACTCCACACACAAAGTCAATTTCAGTCTAATCCATATGTAGAGAAGGCAGTGGCTTGTCTGTTTTAGTTGTCTA